GCTAAAGATCCAAGAAGCAGGAGGAGTTAGTTCCTTGCAGACCTTTCTCCCACAACCCTCGCGGGGCAGCTCCGAGAGCAGACAGTCTCTGGGCGTCCCAGGCAACAAGAGTGAGAGCTTAGAGGCAATCACAGGTAGAGGCAATCGCACTTACCAACAGAGCTCTGCTAAGGTACCAGTCTGGTGAATAAGTAGATTTGGGAACAAACTGTGCAATGGGACTTTTCAATGTTGTCATCAGGCTTCAGGACCCTGGCCAGTTCCCAGAACCTCTCCAGACAGGGATATATATCTATATTTTAACTCTCAAATGAGAAAGTGACACTAGAGAATAGTTAAAGTCTCTTCCAGGGCAAAAATTCTGTTCCGATGTCACAAAAATGTATTAAATGCCAACCAAGGGAATTAGCTCAATGTCACAGAAAGAAGGTTTATCAGATGTCCCAGTGTTGCGGAATTCCCAGCTGAGGGTGCTACCAGCACGCCCGGGGGAGGTTCAGGAATCACAGACATCCAGAAGTCGGACAGGACCCTGCAGGATGTTTAGACATTATCCAAGCACAGGTAAGAAAAGAAGAGCACATGCAAAACCAGAGCAATGTAGAAAACACGGGGCCCCAGCAGCACCAGGGGACAGTAGAGGCCAACTTTTCTGACTGATCCTGAATATTAGCCTGATGTCACTGGGCTTAATCCAGTAGACAACACGGAGTCCTCCCAGAAACAGAAAAGCAAGCAGTTTTGGGTTTTAGAAAGACCGCTATAGGAAGGATGATGGGCTGGAGGAGAGCGGGACTGGACAGGTAGGAGGCTGGGGCCATAATCCAAACAAGGTGAACCTAGAAGGTGGGCGGGATGCGTGAGGGCACACCTCCCATGCTGAGAGCAGCTCAAGCCATGTGATCCCAACAGTTACCTCCTCCCTCCACAAAAGCACGAGGGCACACAGCGTAAGTCCCCGCGTTTGAGAAATTCTCACAGCGCATACAGCTGTCTATGGACACATTTTCATTCTCATTAATAAGACCTCTTTGCATGTCGAAGACACGAATCCCTTTTTATGTAATGTTACAAGTATTTTCCCAGATTCGTCACTTTCTAAATGCTGTTTCTAAACATAAAATTTTCAACTGCTTGTGTATCAAATCCCTTGTTCCCCCCACACCGTTTTCTTCCTATCATCTAACGTTAACCTATATCAACTTTTTACGAATTGTTTTATCTAGATTTTCATCTGATGAGGGAATCCATCTTTATTTTCTTTTATAAGATCCAGCCAGTTACCCACAAATGTATGACTGATACACTCTTTTCCCATTGGTTTGAAATACCTTTTTACTATACGTACACCTGCTTAGACAATCTATTTTATGCCCTTGGTCTGGCTTTGGCTGCAGGGGTGCCCACAGCATTAACATAGCTTTAGACTTTTTTAGTATCTGCTAAGGGGAATCCTCCTATATTACTCTCCATTGTCACAATGTTCTCACCTCGTCTCATAAATTTATATCTGCATGTGAAACAGATATAATGTCCAATGTCCAGCACATACTGTGATTTTATTTAATTTTTAATTTTTTTAATTAAATTTTTTTTAATGTTTTACTTATTTCTGAGAGGGGGAGAGAGAGAGAGAGAGAGAAAGAGAGAGAGACAGTGTGAGCAGGGGAGGGTCGGAGAGACAGGGAGATACAGAATCCGAAACAGGTTCCATGCTCTGAGCTGGCAGTCAGCACAGAGTCTGAAACAGGGCTTGAACCCACGAATCACGAGATCATGACCTGAGCCAAAGTCGGATGCTCAACCGACTGAGTCACCCAGGTGCCCCTATTTAATTTTTTAATGCTTGTTTATCATTGAGAGACAGAGAGAGAGACAGAGTATGAGGAGGGGAGGGACAGAGAGAGGGGGAGACACAGAATCCAAAGCAGGCTCCAGACTCTGAGCTCAGCACAGAGGCTGACACAAGGCTCGGGCTCACAGACCATGAGACCATGACCTGAGCTGAAGTTGGATGCTTAACTGACTAGGCCCCCCAGGCGCCCCACACAGTGAGACTATTTTCCTCCCAGAGACTCTTTGTGCAACAGACAGAAAGGGCAAGAAGACTTGGGACAGGAAATGGTGCGCAGTTTGCTGGGGCCTCGCGCTCCTTGGCTGACATCTGTCAATTTCACCCCCAAGAATATAAGAGGAAACAAAGGAAACGACAGGGTTTCCTCCAAGGGCTGAAGAATCCAACCTACACAGTGGACTTGCTGCCTGTACTCTGCATAGCTGTATGATGCCATCCTCACTGCCCTGTCCCTCCTGTTCACGCTCACACTTTCCTGGTGCAATGACGTCATCTCGCGGGTGCCCGACTCAGCCATGACAGGACACACTCTGTAGCTGGCAAGAGCCCGGCCTCGTCCATACATGTATCTCACTGGTGCCAGGCGACCTCAGTTCACATCCCACCAACAGCTCAACGGGCTCAGCCTCGAGGTCAGATCTTCAGCGGCATATTTTAGAACACCGTTCCTCCGCCTTTAACTACATCCTGCCCTTAACTACATTCTGCTGAATTCTTACCTCTTTCAAGAAGCCTGCTACTCACACAGCACTTTTTACTGTCAGTATCCACAGTATGTATGACCTAGATGTCGAGGTCACCACCTCACACATGCAGTCACGGCACGTGTGTGCTGTCTGATCTTCTTTTCTCACTTAATGTCTTGGTGAGGGCAAGCGTCCCTTGGAGAGGGACAGCGGGTGGTGGCTGACCTGAGTCTCCAGGTGGCCCCAGCCTCCACTACACCCTGGAATCTTGCACTGGGATTGACTCACACTTACAGCACCCGATGGCCCCTTGGGCTTGAGACTCTGATACAGGACATCTATTTGCAAAAACCACAGAACATCGGCAGAAGGGTGGTGTCTGCATGTGCATGGAACAATAATACCAAACACACCAGAGGATGCTTAGTGAGCAGTTAAAAAACGCCAGGCATGGGGCACCTGGTGGCTCAGTCGGTTAAGCCTCCAACTTCGGCTCAGGTCATGATCTCACGGCTTGTGGGTTTGAGCCCTGCATCAGGCTCTGTGCTGATGGCTCAGAGCCTGGAGCCTGCTTCGGATTCTGTGTCTCATTCTCTTTCTCTCTCTCTCTCTCTCTCCGCCCTTTCCCTGCTTGCACTCTGTCTCTCTCTCTCTCTCTCTTACTCAAAAATAAACGTGACATTTTTTTTCAAAAACACCAGGCTCCGTGCTGAGTGCTTTACACACCTCAATCCATTTACTTTGACGACCACCCTATCGAGGGGGCATTATTGTCACTCTCCTTTCAGAGCAAGGATATGGCGGCTCAGGGAGGTAATGGATCCACAGTCACATACAATCAGTGGACGGACAGGGATCCAAAGCGAGGCCTCTGGCCCGGGACCCTGATGTCCCACAACACTGTAGGGCTGTCATGTCTGTATGTCTCATGATCCCCTCGGTGGTGATGTCCTTGAATGTGGTCCACAAGTGCAGGGTCATCCCGACCAGGGGCAGGAGTGCTGAAATCCAACCCAATGTTCCACTGCCTAACGGCACCCATGCATCTGCACCCCAGGATGGGGATCCACTCCTGTTTCCCTTGAAGGCAATGTGCAGGCTGCAGGTGCCCCAAAGACCCGGGTGCGGCTCACCTCCATCCACATGCGGGGGCCTGGGGAGTGGCGGAAGGGTTTATAAATATCAACGAAGTGAACATTCTCTGATTTTTATGACCGTCATGCAGCAACTAGACACTAAGCGGCAATCACCAGCATTGATGACAATCAGCTCAGTCAGGGGATGCTGACCTACTGGGTGCCACCCAGAATGTAAGGCGCAGAGGGGGGTGCAGGGATGAGGCAGACATGGCCCCGCCCTCCAGGGACTCACGGACAAGCCAGGATTGTCTGTACCTATTTTCCTGACTCCCTGCCCCCCAGACACCCTCCCCTTGGCTCTAGCCAGACTTGAATTTTGTTTCCATCTCTTTTGGACAGGGATTCAGCTCCCAAGGAGGCAGTGTGGCCCGGTGCCCAGCACCAGGGTCGAAAGCCACAGTGCCTAGGTTCAAATCCTCGTTCTAACGCCCAGGAGAAAAGCACACTCACCCTCTGTGAGGCCGCGTGCAAGGCGGGGCTGTGGCTGGTAATCAGGAACCTGGATCTTGGGAAGTAACCACAACTTCCCAAGCAGAGAGGCTCATGGTGCCTAAGCTGCTGTGTAAGCCGCATGGTTTACACCAAACACACTCCTTCTGGGAGTCTGGAACGGTGGTTCATGCCAGACGATGGGTGCCCACGTGCCCAGCCTCTGAGAAGGACCCTGGGGCCCATCTCTGACGGGTTTTCCTGGTGACAACACTTGACGGGGGTCACCTACCTGTTGCCAGAGAATAAAGGCATCCAGTGGGACTTTGCTGGGAGAGGCCTCTGGAAGCTGATGCCTGGTGACCTCCAGACCTTGCCCCACACATCTCTGCCCTTCACTGATCTTACTTTGCATCCTTCTCGGGAATCAATCGGACAGGAGCATGGCTGTACGTGGGGTCCTGTGTGCCTTCCTAGTGAACCCCTGAGCCTGAGAGGGGTCTTGGGAACCATGACCCAACTAGCCAGGTGACCTTGGGCAAATTACTTGACCTAGGTATGTCTCGGTTTCCCCACGGAATCTATTCCCTAGCGTTGCCGCGAAGGTCATGCAATTCAGCATGTGTGAGTGGCTGAGAATGCCTGTCTCTGGCAGGTGCTGAAGGGGTGTGAAGTGCGGCTCTAAGGTAAGTACACACCGTCTTGCTCAGATGGAAGGGACATCCGGGACACTAGCCGACAGCCTCCAGCCACGCGGGGCAGACCGCAGACCGCCAAGGCCAGCAGCCGCCCCGCCCCTTGGCTCTGAGGACCGCCAGAGGCCAACACACCAGCGGCAGGAAGACACGCTGGGGCGTAAGGTGGCTGTCCAGCTCAAGTATTTTCTCTTACCTTTATCTTCTCTGCTGTTACAGTGAAAAGGGCTTTTAGTTGCGTTCTGTTCTAGAAAAAGAAAAAGAAAATGCTTTCGTCAACAGGTTTTGGGAGTCTGACACACGGGGCATCATCCGGGGTACCTGCAACCCACCGTGCCTGGAGACGCACCAGCCCTGGACTACTGGGGGCCGGGCCTACGGGGGGTCCTACAGTCACTTTGGAACGGGGAAAATGAAACGCAGAGCCTCCTTCTGTCCCGACGGTGCGTGTGCATGCAAACTCCAGTCTCCCTAACTGGTGAGAAAGTAGGAACAGAGTGACTCTGGTGACATGCCTGGGGTTGGGGTCAGGCCGTAGGGGGTGGAGGACGGACTCCGAAGCTCACAGCCGTGCAACGGGGCAGCCATGGGCCCTCTCCAGCGCCACTTTCTCCAGGAAAGGGTAGACAATGGCGGTGGATGGCTCTGCTGAGCTCACCTCCCAGGGGGATGTGCCCGGCCCCCAAACCCTAGCTCCCCACAGGTCTGTCTGCTCCTCATGCCTCCAAATCTCCTCTGCTTGGAGGCTATGGGGAAACGGGAAACCACAGGGTGTGGGGACCATTATCTGTCCAAGCACATGGCATCTGAGAAGACACAAGGTAAGAACACACTTCCTCCTGGGGACGCAGGCAGAAGGTCTGGCACTTGGGCTGGTGGTTGGAGCCAGGCTGCCAGGGTTCACACACGGCCCCACGGCTCACCAGCAGTCTGACTTTAGGCAAGGTATTGACTTCTCTGTGCCTCAGTCTTCTCATCTGTAAAATGGGAATCCTATTCGACTTGTGGGGTTGCTGTGAGGATTAAATGAGCTAATATGGAATGTAGAAGCGTGCCTGGTACATGGAGGGAGCCATGGAAGCATTCCTGCTGGTGGCTGTAGTCAGTGGTGGTGGTATCGTTGTGTACAACGTGGCCTTGAGGCTTGGAGCTTGGAGCCTCTGAGCCAGGCACCTGTGTCATTCTATCACGGCCACTGCGGAGGCCTCCCTCTCTCTATCGGAGCGACGGTCCATCTACGGTGGAAACCCCGACCCACCTCCCACAGTGGCTACAGCAGCAGCCCAAACCCATTATGGGCCAGCAGGCCAACCTAATGGAGGCTCTGAAAGGGAAATAAAAACATTACAAGGTCTGTTTTTAGGAGAGAAAGGGAATCTTTTTTTCAAAAAATACAAGTCTTTAAAAAAAGATGTGAAGCAATCACTTGCCCCTTCCTATTCCTGAACTGCCTCTGTTTTGGGATATTCGTGATGCCCCATGAGTTTCGGGGTCCCGACCTGCATTCAGAAGCACACATTCGATTAACGTTTTCCATGCCCTTCTCTGCCTCTGGGTCCCTCCTCTTGGTGTTTTCTGGCACCCAAGGTCTAAGCCGAGAACAGCTTCAATCAAGTGTGCGATGAGGCTTGACTTCATCTCTTTGCAAAACGTAAATCTTCAGCCCTGTGCTTCCTGCAGGAACTTCATGGCCTGAGGAACACGCTTTATTTTTATTTTTTCTAATTGTTTTTTTAATGTTTATTTATTTATTTTGAGAGGGAGAGAGAGAGAGGGAGGTAGGGAGGGAGAATGAGTGAAGGAGGGGCAGAGAAGGGCGGGGGAGCGAGAGCGAGAGAATCCCAAGCAGGCCCCGCACTGTCAGCACAGAGCCTAATGCGGGGCTTGAACTCATGAACTGTGAGGTCATGACCTGAGCTAAAATCCAGAGTCAGACACTCAACCCGCTGCGACCCCCAGGTGCCCTGGGAACACACTTTAGATCACAGGAGAAGTCAGAAAACATGGACCAAACAAAATACTGAGTTGACTATAAAGGGTCAGGTGGGCAGGAAGTTTACATGATCTACCGTAAGATGCTTGACACTAATGTTCTAAGTCTTTTCCTCTTAACTATGCATCACCGAGGCATGCTTTATCTAAGCCTGCATGAAGGTGGGGTACAAACACAATGCACCTCGGGCTGTACCCCCTCCTACTAAGGGAATCGGTGAGTGGGAACGACAGTCGGTTCCCCCCCTTATCTGCCAGGGATGCATTCCAGGACCCCCAGCGGATGCCTGTAACCGCACTAGATGTTCTATTTTGTTCCTATGCATGTATACAATGTAACTGATAAGTGAGGCCCAGTGAGAAACTAACAACAGTCACTAAAAGTAGAACACTTCTAACAACAGAGTGTAGAAAAAGTTATGTGAATGTCGTCTCTCTCTCTCTCTCTAAGTGCCGTCTGCCCTGTACTCGCCCCTCAGTTAATGAGGACGTGAAGATTCCACACCCCTGGGATGAGACGAAGGAGGTGAGTGGTGCAGATCTTGTGACGTGGCCTCAGGCTACTACTGACCTGCTGACCACGTGTCAGAAGGAGGGACAGGCCCCAGACCACGCCGGCCTCGGGGAACTGCCGGCTCAGGAAGCAAAACCGCGAATAAGGGGGAGCCCGCTGTGTTCTTGCGGTCGCCTCCGTGACTCTCAGGCCAACTCGAAACCGAGGGGCAGAAGGAGAAGAGATCGGGGGGAGACTCTTCCTACTCCTGCCATTGTTCAGACCGGGACACGGGGGCCCAAGGAAGCTGCACGGCTCTGACACACAGCCGGGAGGTGGTTCCCAGGCTCCGCCGGGCCAGACACGGCCTCCGCTCTACTGGGAGGGCTCCATCATGAGGGGCACTTGCCTGTTTCAATTACTGTCACACACACCCTTGTTGTATACGTCTTGAGAGGGACTGACCAGCCGCGCTAACCAGGTCACGTGCAGCCGCTGGAAGTCTCACTCAGAACTTGGGTCACGGTCAGCCCCAAACGCACTTGAGCTTCTCTACATCACGGATGAGATCCTAGCAGTCCCCCGACGGACGGTGAGGTCCAACCCCGTGAGACGGCTTGAAAATACGGTGCAGGAGCCCCTGTCCACCTCCAGCACTTGCTCACTCGCTCGGCAAGCACTGGCCCCCAGGAGCCGTCTCCAGGACAGGATCTAGGTCGGGGCCATGCTGACCGTCTTCCAGAGCCGGCAGGCAGGAGCCCCGAACTCAGGCCAGTGAAGCTCGGGATTCTGGAGCCTTCAGGGTAGGTGCACGCTTTCCTCTCCATCTGCAGAACTGCCCAGAGAGCCCCCTGAAGCTCTGGAAGGTGTAAGAAATCGCAGGCCACTGCATAGACACATATCCCCTCAGAAGACTGGAGACACTGGTAGAATCATCTCCTTCTTATCGACAGAAGCCTGAGGTTCAGAGACGTTAAAAAATAAAAGAGGGGTGCCTGGGGCCTCAGTCGGTTAAGCATCTGAGTCTTGATTTCAGCTCGGGTCATGACTGCACGGTTTGCGGGTTCAAGCCCTGCACCAGGCTCTGTGCTGACAGCGCGGAGCCTGCTTGGGAGTCTCTTCCCCTCTCTCTGCCCCTCCCCCACGACACTCACCCTCCCTCTCTCTCTCAAAATAAGCCAACTTAAAAAAAAAAACTTGCCTGAGATTCATTAGTTTACAGATTTGGTCATTCATTTACTGAACAAATATGTACTGAGTATTTACTGTGCAGGTTCTATTTAGGGCACTGAGAACACAGGCGTCAGTAGGCAAGGGGGGTCCCTGGTGTCACGGACTTAGTGGGAGGGGAGTGTGACGGTTTCTCAGGGAAACAAAGTCAGTATGACAAACTACACACCAAAGGGACAGACAGGACCCATCAAGGTGCAGCGACTTGGGCAGTTGCCCTTGAGTGAGTGGAGGGCCCCTCCAGCCCCCGGCCTCTGCCCCACACCCGCCTTCTGAGGGGTTGTGAGGTCTGAACATTCCGGTACACGGAGGCAGATGCCTCCAGTTTCACTGAGGTTCTGAGATTCCCACTGTTGGTTTCTGTCACCTTCTTAAGTTCTGAGTTTAGCCTCCTCAGTTTCCCATCCTCTGAAACGGATGGTTGTTCCTCTGGGTCATTTTGTCACTACTCTGTGTCCCTCTTTGTCCGCTCTTCTCAACGTTCTACCTGATTATTTTCTGAGACATTTGTCTCTTTTGACAGGTTGATAGTGTCCCTGTATCAGGTGAAACTTTCTTATCTCATTTTGTCTAGCATTTTTTTTCCCCTCCGTACAGCAGCAAAGCCACAAACAGGTCAGTCAGCCTTGGGTGGAAAGAGCCGGAAGCTGTGCGGTCCGATTAGGGTTCAGTGAGGTGATCTGGTGCAGTCACGCTCTGAGCCTCCTCCTCCCCATCCAGTACAAGGGGCCAAAGTCCTGACAAAGTGGCCAACGTACCTAGGCAGGGGGTCCCCGAGGACAAGGGCGCATGCTCCTCCTGTGTCCCCGGAGTGTGCACAGTGCCCTGGCTTGACACTCGACCAATCACACTCACTGCACACACAGCTTAAGAGGTCACTGAAAAATGACACGAACGGTAATGGTGTTCCAAGCTGAATCGTGTCCCCTCAGAACCCATGTGTCGAAGCCCTGGCTCCCAGCACCTCACGACATGACTGTATTTATGGGGAATCACTTTGAAATGAGGCCGTGAGGGTGGGCGTAACCCAATCTGACCAGTGTCCTTATAAAAAGAGGGGATCGGGGCGCCGACACACATCGGTGAGGGACGACCTCGTGAGGACACGCAAGAAGACAGCCATCTACACACCAGGGAGTCAGGCTCGGAAGGAACCAAATGCCCACACCTTGATCTCAGCCTTCAAGCCCCAAGAGCATGTGAAAAATCTATTTCTGTCTGTGGTTAAGCCACCTCATCGGTCGAACTTGACCAAAGGAGCTCACAGCGACTCATATAAACAGTAACTCCTGGCTGAGGGCTTATTATATGCAAGACACAGGGACAATGAACTGAAACTACTGATGGCTGATCTTTGTAAGAACCCCACATCAGGCCCACAGGAGCTGAGTAGTTAGGGTCCCGAAGAGATGCTCAGGGAGCCAAGTTCACGGCAAAGTGTGTGAGATCCCAGGGCCCACGCACTCATCTGGAATTCAGTATCACTGAAGGAAGGAAAGGGGGAAGGGAGGAAGGAAGGGAAGAGGGTAGAGAGGAGGGAGGGAAGGGGAGGAGGGAGGAAAGGAAAGAGCTAACGGATACTGTGCACTCCGCGTCCATGCTTCCGAACCAAGAGTGACAAGACAGAAATCAAAGTAACGAGGAAATACCAGTGCTGAGCTCTGGAAGGTGAGCCAGGCAGGAAGTACGAGGACGTCTCCGCTCGCAACGTCTCCGGCCAGGATGGAGGCTGTGTAGCTGACCGAGAAGCAGTCTCCAACTGCTCAGGAAGAAAGCAGGTGTGAATCAAGAGGGGGCCCCTCCACCACACCCCCGGATAAGCCACACACGTATGCAGCCACCATCATCACTGATGCGGGAGGCAAGGGCGCAGCTCAGAGCTCAGGTGCCCATCACGGGGACGGCGAACGCGCGTGCCCACTCATGGGTTCCCTCTTCTGGCACCTGGAAGAGGCTGTCGGCAGGTGCCTGGTCTTACCTGGGCGCCCTGGCCCATCCAGCATTGCCAGGGATAGGGCGGGCCCATCTTCCTAGTCCATAAAAGGGCTTGGGAAGTCACTCACACACGTGGGAAATCCGGAACCCTTTTGTTTTGTTTGGAGTCCAGGTGAGGGTCTGTTTATCCCCCCACAATTCCGTCCACACAACTGAGATACAGTCTCTATGGGACTTTTGGGCCTCGGCTGACAGACCGACAGGAAACACTACATTGGCTCCTCCAGGGGTCTGGCTCCTTGAGCACAGCAAGGGGGATGGGGAGGCAGGACCCGGGAGGGGCTATAGAGGTCACTGTGGGTTCACATGGGGCCCCTCCAGCCGCAAGCCTTGACTGCTTCATTACAAAAACCAACTGGACTCAAGGAGACGATCCCTGGGAGACAGGGTCTGTGGCTCAGAGCTCTCCTTAGTCAGAACCGAAGACCAGCTCCACTGCTGGCCAGGGGGCCACACTCAGAACCCAAGGGGAACAAATCGCCGGGAAAGAGAGTGGCCCCAGACGAGGTTGGGTGACAGGGCAGCCACCACGCAGGTTTCTAGCTTTGCTGGAGGCAGCGAGCTCTCAGCCCCTCTTCCTGGAGACACCCCTCCATCTGATGTCGGAAGTGCATTGTGCCCACCTTAAGTACTAGCCGTGGAGGCTTGCACTGAGCTGACGCTCTCAGGTGGGCTCTGCACACCTGCCAGTGACCAAACGCTCTCGGTGAACTAAAACCGATGAGAAACAGCTCTGTCCCGGTTCTTTGTGGCGGATGCCTCGAGCCTCAGCCACGGTGTGTGGAAGTAACGAGCGCTGGGTCAGGGGATAAGGCTGTGCCCGGCCAGAGCTGACCCTGGCTTGTTGTCTGAACTGGGTGCTGGTGGGGCTGAGATGTCATACTTCTTTTTCATTAACAGCTTTGAGATAAACCTTATGTCTCACCCAGTTCACCTGGTAAGTGTGCAAGTCAAGGAACTGTGTGTATTTACAGAGTTGTACAATCATAACCACAATCTGATTGTGAGGACAAGAAACTTCACACCCAAAGGTGCAGCCAACCACTACTCTACTTTTGGGGATGAGGCTGCCTTTCTGGACACCTCGTAGAAATGGAACCATACAATATTGCTTGCGTTTGATTTCTTTCACCGGCCTTTTTTGAGGTGCATCTATGCTATTGCATGGGTCAGTACTTCCTTCCTTCTTTTTTTTGTTTGTTTATTTTTGAGACAGAGCGTGAGTGGGGGAGGGGCAGAGAGAGAGACAGGGAGACACAGAACCCGAAGCAGGCTCCAGGCTCTGAGCTGTCAGCACAGAGCCCAACACGGGGCTTGAACTCACAGACTGCGAGATCATGATTTGAGCTGAAGTCAGACGCTTACCCAACTGAACCACCCAGGTGCCCCAATACTTCCTTCCTTCTTACTGCGAGTGCTCCTCCATTGCGGGGACAGATCACACTTTGTTTACATGACTGTCTCCTGTGTTCCCTTAACTCTGGAATATTTTTAGAAGTGAGACATGTGAGAAACCTGGAGTTCCGCTCATTCAGCTTCTAAGACAAAGGATCTGCGTCCTTTCTGCTGCTGAAGGGACCCCAACTCTTTCCAGACAGTTATAGCCCTCTAGCGGGAGGGGGTGGACAGAATCAAATATTAGGAAGATGGTGTGGGGAATTTTAATTTAATTTGAGAAAGCTGGACTTCGGATTTCAAACTTACAAGGGCAAAGATTCTGATCTCAGATTTTAATTCCTTTAGGACTTGACCACATTCGGGTTTCAAATTGTAGGGGATTCACTTCTAAAAATTTTCACTTCTCCCTGAGAATCTGCACAAGGGAGGTGCTGGCAGATCTTTATGCCGATGAGCTCAGAGCTGTGCCTCAATTGCGCCGCAAAACCCGACGCACCTCACTGACTGGGGTGTCAGGACGTGTGTGAATGGCTGTTAGAATCAGGGAGGACTCCCAGCCTCGGGTACAGAGCACCCTCTGAGTTTTCTGACCATATACTGCTCCGAGTCATTCCCAAAGTCTTCCCGGGACAGAAAAACCACCTCAACCCCCCACCCCACCCCCGCTCTGGCAGTGCACAGGGGCAAAGGGTGGGTGGTTTCGGCGGAGGGGGGTGTGCGGGGCGGCCGGCACTGTCCTGGGTCCTGAGCAACACCGCTCTCCTACCCCGGGGGAGCAGCCATGTTCCCGAGATGCGCAGGTCAGTGAGGGGCCTGGGGGGCTGACGTCCTCAGGGCAAGCACACGCCCACCACCCCCAGGTGTCAGTCCATGAGCACGTGCACCCTCCCTGAAATGGCGCTGGCCTCCCCCCCCACCCTCGCTCACTCTGCTGGGAGGCTGGGGCACGCTCTGCCGGGCAGCCTGTCTTACTCGCGGGAGCAGGCTGCCGGTGGAAAGCAAGAGTGCTCAGCGCCGGCAGGCCTGGGGGCAGCAGCCCGAGATGGCCGGGGGGTGACAAAGGCCATCCTGCTCTGCCGGTCGCAGGGCCACCTGACCTCACCCAGGCCTGTCCTCCAGCTCTGCCTCCACTTGGAACAGGGATGGGGGCTGAGCCCTCCTATGCTACGATCTGCTTCATTTCTCAACGTACTGGTCTCCAAAAAAACCAAAAAGTAAAGAAAGAGAAGAAAAGAGCGCTGAGCCCACGAACCACTACGATTTTTACTCCAAAAATCCTCAACGCCTTCATTCTACCTTTATGTGCTGATAAATCACTAGGCTCACAAAGACGAGGTCACAGAACAATGGAAATGGTAGCACAGTGAAGGTCCCGTAATCAGAGCTTCCCCTGGCCCAGCAGCGTGTCGCTCTCCCAAGTGACCCGTGACCCCATGGCGCGCCCTCGGCCAGGGGGGGAGACCTCCCTGCCTGCCATGCCCAGGTAGTGAGCCCCCCAGTGGACTGCCCCCCTCACTGTCCGTGCTCCAGAGGACCCTGGCTCTGATGAAAGGAAAGCACCACGTGATAATGACGGTGATCACAGAATGTCCACGGGCTGGGTCTGTGGGTCACTTGATTTCAGAGTCGCATACTTCCCCCTCGGGAAAGTGTCCTGCCCACCAAGTTGAACAGCAAAGTCCTTCCCCGGACACAGCGGTGAGCCCACGACCCCAAATGCCGCACTGTCCACAACGCGTCTGGCTTAGCAACTCTGCACCGTGTACTTCACGGCGTCAAGAGGCGGATCTCTATTCTTACCACATTCGCCCAGAAGAAAAACCACAACAAAACGGCAGCCTGCATGGGCAACACCCCCGCGGGCCAGGCCGTGTCCTGACGCTCTCCGCGCCCTAACCCCCTTATCCTCACAGCCACGTCCTGCGGCAGGTACAGTCACAGCCCCCGGGTCACAGAGAGGAGGTCGAGATCCAGGGATGTGCGGCAAAGGCGGAGGAGATCCAGGCGGGGGAGGCGGGGTTCCGCACGCGGCGCTCACGGCGGCCCACGGCCCCAGCGGGCGAAGAGGGCGGGCAGGGCAGGGGGGTGCAGGTGCAGGTGAGGAGGGCGGCGCACGCAGGCACAGGGGCGTGAGCAGAAGCCGCCAGGCGGGGGGAGTGGCAAGTGCGGTCGGGCGGGACCACAGACGATGGAGGGCGCCAGGGGAATGAGAAGACAGAGGCAGGCCTGCGGGCCATGGCCGGGCAGACGGGGGGGGGCCAGGGCAGGCCGACTCGCCTGGGCTCCGCGAGGCACTGGCACACTCACGGGCCATCCCCAGTTCAGAGAAGCTCAGCCACTTCCATAGGAGACACAGCTCCTGAGTGGCCAAGCCAAGGTTCTTTTGAGACCGAGTCTGTGCTCTGCTCATGGCCCTACGTTCTGTCCAGCTTAAGAACCGGGGGATTTATTTCTGCATCTTTGAGAGAAAGCACTGAGGACCACTTAGCTAGGACGTATCATAACTGTTCCCGTGACACTGCTTAAACCACGGCCAGCAAAGACATCACACCATCGTGGGCCAAATCCCCTGGTAGCCTGTCAATGGTAAGGGGTCCAGAAGGATGCTGAGGCCCTGCAGAGGCTCAGAGGGCAAGTGTGGGCGGATGGAAGAGCCACGTGGACCCTGGACATTGAAATGGACCATGTAACAGGTACAACAGCACAATGGTCATGGGGTGGGCAGTCATTTCCTCCGTGGAAGAGCAAAAGAAGTCTCACCCTTTTAAGAAATTTGATGGTCCTGAAGTCATGCTAACAATCCCAGAATTTGTTTAAACTTGCTTAATTAACCAGGGCGCCTGGTGGGCTCTGTCGGTTAAGTGTCCAACTTCGGCTCAGGTCATGATCTTATGGTTTGTGAGTCCGAGCCCCGCGTCGGGCTCTGTGCTGACAGCTTGGAGCCTGGCGCTGCTTCGGATTCTGTGTCTCCCTCTCTCTCTGCCCCCCCCCCCCACTCATACTCTCTCCCTCTCTCTCTCAAGAATAAATAAACATTAAAAAATTAAAAAATAATGAAAGTACATACTTCTTAACCGCCCCCCCCCAATCCTACCTCTCTCTAACCCAAGCAACAAATCCAGCCTTTCGGGTGTGGGTATCGAGCGGTGGTCCCTCCAGCACCTGAGAGTGAAACCCGCGGTGAGTGAGCCCACGTCCCGTGGTCAAGGACATGCCTGCCACACATCACACGCTCCACCAGCGTCTCTAAGTACATTCTCCTTCCCTCCCTGACTGCACGGGCTCTGCGATTACCTTGCAGAAACTTCTTTCTGAAAGCCTGGAATCCCGCCGATGTCCTGTTTCCAGGCGACTCCCTGATGGAGAGGCCAGTGACGTTGTCGAGCAGCAGGAGATCAGAGAGGTTGGTGGCCGCGGGGGTCCTGGCGTTGTCCACAAGCAGTCTCACCTGAGCTGTCTGCACTTCGCTCTGCCCGGACACCTGGCCAGGAGGACACAGGGGCAGATTTGCTGGCACGTCTGACCTCGAGGCGGAAGGAGGGCACAACGCTCTCACGAGGCCCTTGATAACCTATCCGGTCTGATCTCAAAGGCCCCAGGAATGTTCTGACCTGTGCTTCACTAAGCTGTTGCTTGGGGACCTCTCCAAAGTAACTGGGACCCTGAAATGCAGGGAAATGACTCCTTACAGGAAAACGGAAGAAAACAGGTCGAAGCACAGAACCGCCGTCAGGCTGGGCACACTGTGGCAAACAGTGTCACCAAGAAGAGCAAACGATGGCTCCTGCTCACTCAGTCACATTGAAGGTTCAGCCCAGCCCCAGGGACCTGCCCAGGGCCACGGACGGCCATCTGACCTCCCGGCTGGAGTGAGCCAGTCTCCGGCCCCCTGGCCGGTCTCCCCCATGCAGGCTCGACTTGGCCACGGGTCTGAACGGCTCGGCAGCTGGTAGCTGCCTAGCGGCCCAGGCAGCTGGGCTCCCCGCCTGGCCCCTGCAACCTCGCCCTGTTCCCACTCTCTAAGCTTCCCCCACACCCCTGCCCTGCCTGGTGCCTGCCCTGCTGGAAGGGGTGCAGGAGCTGAGGACAGAGGGAAGCAGTGTATACACACACACACACACACACACACACACACACACACACTCATAACTGCATGCATACGGCAGAAACATCTCCATGCAGACTCAGGAGAAACTGCTGGCACCGACTGTACCCAGGAAGGGGCAGGACAGCTGACGGCCTGAGATAAAACCAGGCATGTGCAGTAAAGGGTTAACCCCGCAGGTCTGGAGGGCCCTGACCCTGAACACGCGGAGGAAAGGACGGCCCCTTGACCAGCTGCTGGTTGGTTAACTGTAAAGCTCTTGGACTTTCCTGTCTGCGAAGGGTATCTTTGTGTACGTATGGCCTTGGGCCACACCAGGCCCTCGGTGCTAATGATCCAGCAGGAGGCGGGGGCCTCGAGCCAAGCTGTGTCAAGGTGACCTCCGGAGGGGCTAGAGACAAGTCCTTGAAGTCAGCCACAAAGACACGGCACGACTCCGTGACGGACCCGCAATAAAACCCCCGGACATCAAGGCTCAGGGGCTTGTCTCTGGGCACCGATACTTTGTACGTGATGTTGCACATCGGTGATTTGGAAAATGGAACACCAGCCACACTACCCCACAGGGAAGGACAGCGGAACCTCCCGCCCAGTGTCCCCACAACTCTGTCCCCTGCGCCGTTTACTCTGCTGACCCTAACCTCTAACCTTTCACTGTAACATATTCTAACTGTGATTCTAACAGCTTTTCTGAGTTCTGTGAGTCCTTCTAGTGAATCCTGGAGCCCGAGGGTGGTCGTGGAGACCCCAACACAATGATAACGTGAAACGCTATCATACAGATTTACTGAGGATGAAAGATGTAAAAGACACCAAATAAAAATGTTAAACAGTCAAGCGCCCTATCAGTGTCAAAATCTGAAAGAAAATGTATCATTCTTTCTTTCCTGTTCTAAATGATCACAGCGCCGGGCGCCTGGCGGGCTCAGTCGGTTAAGCGTCCCACTTCAACTCAGCTCATGATCTCACAGCTAATGGGTTCAAGCCCCACGTCAGGCTCTGTGCTGACAGCTGGGAGCCTGCTTCAGATTCTGCGTCTCCCTCTCTCTCTCTGCTCCTCCCCCACTCACACTCTGTCTCTCTCTCTCTCTCAAAAAATAAGTAATAGAAACATTTTAAAAATTAAAAAATAAATGATCACAGTGCATTTTCACTAACAGGAATTTAAATGTCACCAAAAGCTCTTGGTCCTGGTTTTACAATATGAAACTGAAGATCACTAATATGTCATTTCCTCTCTTACGAGTGCAGTCACAGGTGCGTAACCCGTGGTCCACCAGTCCTTGAACACAAAACTCTACCAAGATGTGATGTGGTCGAAACCCAACTATTTTCTCTTCAAGTATAAGCCACCTGTGAATACCCACCACAGCGCATTTCTGAAAAATCACTCCATCCTCAGCAGTTCCTTGAACTCCCCTGGAGATGTCTCTGTACTGCAATAAAACATGGAAATTATCAGAAAATGAAAACCACTACACGTATTTAATAAAAAGTACAAGATGCAAAAAAATCACCAATAAGTAAACAAATAAACAAATGCATTAAACAATGTACAAGATGCACTTTTAAAAGAGGGGTAGAGGATTGCTTCTGCGAGGCTGATAACGTCCTTAAGTGATCTTGAAGGTTTTTTAACTTTTTTTTTACATTTATTTATTTTGAGAGAGACAAAGAGAGCAGAGGAGGCACAGGGAGAGAGGAAAAGAAAGAATCCCAAGCGGACTTAGCTCTCAGCACAGAGCCTGACGCGGGGCTCGAACGCACGAACCGTGAGATCATGACCTGAGCCAAAGTTGAATGTGTAACTGACTGAGCCACCCAGACGCCCTTTGGAGATTTTGTAAAGTGTTAAAAAGTCTTTAAAAGTGGATTCCTCCTGGGCACCAGCTGACGGGGTCCACCAGCCGCACACAGCAGGGGCCCAGCGAGCTTGGATCACGGAGCGCCCGGGCAGCCTCTGTGAGCTGCTCCACTGTCCACACAGAGGATCCACCCAGCTCGGGCCTCCTCAGCCCGCTGTGGCTCCCCTGGGAATCCCCGAAGGAAAGCCAGAGCCTGCCCCCCAGATGCCCCCCATAATCACAACCGATATCTGTCTATGTCTGCCCCTGTCATATCCCCCCGAACCCAGGGCACATCCTTTACACAGAACCAGACTCTGACCTCACTCACTGGGAAGCTTCTCTGGGCCACCCCCGCCCTCTGCCCCGCCCCCCTATTTCCTGCAGTGGGGCCACCATGTGCAAACCACAGCACCCCACGGTGATGCCAATGATCAGAACAGTGGCCGTTACTTCCCAAGCCCGGCCACAAGCCGGTCCCCACATCGGTTCTACCTCTCCCGTTTTACAGATGAGGACACTAAGGCTCAGAAGGTTGGCTCACTTGGCCCGGGTCCCATGGCAGGAAGCTTGGCCTCTAGCCCGGCTCTGTGACCCCACATCCTGCACTTCCACACGTGCAGCCCTTCTCTCTGTGCAGAGACAAGGACGTAGAGAAGGGAAGTCACGTCCCTGAGAAGGTGTCGCATCAGCCCAGCATCAGCCCAACCAGGCCCCCGACCCCAGGTGAGCTCTCCGTCCACCCCTCCCCCGATGACTTTGACCTTCACGAGCCTGAGAGCCGGCACCTGGCTTTCTGTTCTTCTGACCCTCCGACAGCATGGCTAGTCACGGCTTTTGCGCACACACACGCAGGAGGGGTGAGAGCACAGACATGTGACAAGGAGAGGCCACGAGTCCTCTGTTCCTAGTGACAGAGACCCCAAAGAACAATGACTACCACTGTCAGGAGTCGTGTGGTGGCCCCCCAAAAAGAGAGGTCTGCATCCTGACCCCTGGAACCAGCGAATGTGACCTTCATTAGAAAAGGGATCTCTGAAGATGTAATTAAGGATCATAACAAGATCCTTCTATTCTAAATTTAGGTGGACTGGGTTTAGGTGGCCCGAGATCCAATGACAGGTGTCCTTATGAGCAAAAGGAAAAGAAAAAACACAGAAGGCAGGCCGTGTGAAGGTGGAAACAGTGCTATCTCGCAGTTTATGCGTCAATTTGGCCGCGACACCCAGATTTTTAGTCAAACACATCCAGATGTGTCTGTGAAGGCACTTTGCTTCATGTGAGATGAGCATTTAAATCCGTGGCCTGTGAATAAAGCAGAGGATCCTGCAGAATGTGGGTGGGCCTCACCCAATCAGTTGAGGAATTAACAAGAAAGACCGACTGCCCGTGAGGAGGAGGGAGTACACACAGACACACAGTTCTTATTGATTCTGATTTTCTGGAGAATCTCAATGTAGAGATTGAAGTGATGTGGCCAGAAGCCAAAGAAGCTACCAGAAGGTGGAAAAGGCAAGAAAGGATTCCCCTGCATCCTTTAGAGGGTGCATGGCTCTTGTCCACTCCTTGATGTTGGGCTTCTAGCCTCGAGAAGAGTGACAGAATAAATCTGTTTTAAGCTACTGGGTTTGGCAGCTCTAAGAAACGAATTCAAAACTTAGCAGGGGGCTGAGAAGCGAGCTCAGTGGCCCTCACACCATCTTAGGTCATGAAATTATAAGTAAAAGGCAGCCCGGGTGCCTGGGTGGCCCAGTCGGTTAAGCATCCAACTCTTGATTTAGGCTCGGGTCATGAACTCGCAGCCGCTGGATCAAGCCCCGTGTTGGGCTCTGCACTTGAATGTGGGGGCTACTTGAGACTCTCTCTCTCTCTCTGCCCCTCTCCACCCCTCAAAATAAATAACTTAAAAAAAAAAAAAGGGCAGTCCTATGTGAGGCAACAAACAAAACAGAATGGGAAATCACAGCAGTGGGGTGCCTGGGTGGCTCACGCTCAGGTCATGATTTCAGAGTTCGTAAGTTCAAGCCCCATGCCGGGCTCTGTGCTGACAGCTCAGAGCCTGGAGCTGCTTCAGATTCTCTGTCTCCCTCTGTCTCTTGCCCTCCCCCACTGGTGTGCTCTCGCTCTCTCTCCCTCTCAAAAACGGATAAACATTTAAAAGAAAAAACACAAACACAACAGCAGTGCGTGGCGCCGCGGTGAAGGGCAGGGTCTCCGAATCCTGGTTCCGCACTTCACCTGCGGGACCCCGAACACGTTTTGTAATCTCTCTCATCCTGCTCCCTAAACAGCACCTGTTTATAGAACTCGTAATGAGGCTCTGACAAGATGATGCACAGAAACTGCTAAGGCCAGGGCCTGGCGCAGTCAACACTTGTTAAATGCTCGCCATTGCGGTAGGTAGCAGCGTGCTTACGAGAGCCGGCCTCGAATGGGTCCCACGGAAGCAGGACCAGAGCCCCACTTCAGAACCAGCAGCCCACTGCTCGGATCCAAACCTCCGATTCATCTCAAATACTAGACGTTGTACCTCAGAAAAAAGCTCTTAGGAATAATACCTGTACTTAGTGGAAGGGAAGGACCAGGCTTTTCTGCAGAACCAAAGTCTGCGGCGTTTTATACACAGTTGGCCCCAGACTGGGTTCTTTCCAACTTCTGATTCTTTCTGTCGAAGCACCGAACGCATGACTTACCAGGCGCTGAGTTATAGGAGACTCTCTTTTAGACAAAGCCTTCTTGGGCCCCGAGGGGGTGAAAGCAAACGTGGGTGGGGTCCAGGGCCCAGGAGAGGCTGCGGAAGCCGCGAGTGCGTTAAAGACCTCACTTTTCCTGCTGAATTTCCTTCTCAACGGTGCTCCCCCTGCAAAACAGCAGTGCATGTGCAGGACGTAATGCAGGAGGCGTTAAGACATAGGGATAGACCCGGGGGGCAGACCGCGTGTGTGCGGAAGGCGCTGGCTGAGAGGGGCTTGCTGAAATTGAGTAAGTGAATGAATGAACAAATGAATGACTTATACTCTTTCCCAGGGATACGAGACATGCCCACTGAGGGGCTATCGAGCCTAAAGAGAGCGTTTCTCAAAGTTCATGCAGCTTATGGTGGATGTGTGCTAATATGTACATTCCCGGGCTCCCCACCCCCACCCCAGACTATAGAATCAGACCACCAGGCAAGGGAGGTGCCCACACATGGCATCGGACAGCCCTGGGTCCGAATCCTGCCTCTGTCACTCACCAGCTGTGTCCTTGGGGAAGTCATCTAACCTCCCCGTGCCTCAGTTTCCCTAACTCTACAGAGGACAGGAGAGTAAGTCTCAGCTCACTGGGTCCTTCTGAGGACCCGTCTGCTGCAGAAGGGGCCCTCGCTGAGCACCACTGATGGTGGCCCTGAGGAGGATGGGCCACTGCCTGCCGAGCCCCCCAACATGGAACAGGTCCCTCCAGAATTCGTTCCGTGTCAATGACTGTTGAAAACTTAGGAGCACCACGAGTAATATAAGTGTCTCTCAGAACATCTTGGCGGGGCTGTAAGGAGTGGGTGCTGATTGCCTATGTGGCCCCGGAACCCTCTGAGCCTCAGTTTCCCTCACCTGAGGATGTGGCTAAAATATCCCCGAGAAGAGGCTGACTACGGAGCAAAGGAAACGACATGCAGAACGTGAACACGCTCAGAGTAACCAGGGCTCGACGCCAGAACCTCAAATGTCTGCGGAAGTGCGCGTTTTCAACGTTTACCTTCTATCCAGTCACAAACCGGATTCTGATTAAGAATGAATTTCCCTCTCGGTCTTCCTTACAGTATACTGACGGCACGATCTTCTACACGTGCTTTTGAAAACTTTTATAATTTCAAAATACACATTGGAATAAATAAGCATGTGAATTTAAAAAATGGTGTGGAATTAGATCCTGGATAAAATGAGTCCCTTTCTTCCTGGACGGTGTCTGTGGTTGAGTCAGGTCACGAAGTTGGAACAGGGTTGAAGGTGAGCATTGAGGCCTCGCCAGGTAAGCGAGCGGGCGCCTTGCCAGGCCAGCTGCTGACTCAGGTCGGAGTAAATCACACAGGTGCTAGTGGGACTGGACGCCCGTCTCTGGACCCTTACCCAGCTCCTCGGGCTAAGGGACACACACTTTCTCGGCAGACTTGCTGGACATAAAATCTTAGGCCACTCTCGGCTTTACCTCTGGTGCACCTGCTTACGCCCCCCCGGGCCCTCAGAAGGTCCAGCCAGAAGACTATCCACCCAGCACATCATCGCTCCGTGGCCTCCCCCTTCTTGCCACCAATCTGTGCCATCTGTGCAGTTCTTGGGTGGCACCCTCACTCTCCTGCCTCTGGATGCCATACGGCTGGAAGCCCCTCCTTCCATCCCCTTGTTCTGCTGAACTGTCACTTCTCAGGACCTTGCTAAGGAGCACCTCCTCCAGGAAGCCCTCCCTGAAGCCCCTCCCAGGGACCTTACTTCTCCATCCCTTGCTCTTAATGCAGTCAGAGTAGTAGCCGTGCTCCCTCTTGCCAACAGGTTTGCATCGTCAACAAATAAAAGGTTCTCTACCATTGCAGTGACATCATCTCAATCTATTTTTTTTAAATGTTTTATTTCTAGGAGAGAGAGAGGGAGACAGTGTGAGCAGGGGAGGGTCAGAGAGAGAGGGAGTCACAGACTCTGAAACAGGCTCCAGGCTCTGAGCTGGCAGTCAGCACAGAGCCCGACGCGGGGCTCGAACCCACAAACCGCGAGATCATGACCTGAGCGAAAGTCGGACGCTTAACCGACTAAGCCACCCAGGCGCCCCCATCTCAATCTATTTTACTCAAACTCCAGGACTCCGGCTGGAAAGAGGGTTTGGTCAGCGAGGCCCCTCCTCTACTCAGGAAGCACCCTGCTCAGTCTGCGCACACAAGCAGGGCCACCGTGGCCCCGCCCATCCAAGTTCCCAGGAGGCAGAAGGAGGCACGGAACATGGAAGGGTCCGTCCCCAGCCCCAGTGACGGGGTCAGGGCCAGACACAGGACCCAGGCTCAGCCCATTGGTCGCCCCTGGACCTTGGCAAGCTACTGGGAAGTCTCTGCTGCGGAAGGGCCGGCTGTACGGCTCCCCAAAGGCTCCGAGGGGGAAGCAGGGCTGAGATGAAAGACGCAGCCCAGGGGCGCCCAGAGCTCCTTGATCTGGCCACGTCCCGGCCTTACAAGGCCAGCAAATTCTGTTTTGCGTAGGTGAGTTTCAGCTCAATTTCTGTCTCCTGATGTGGTAGGCTGACAAATGACGCCCGAAGGTGCCCGGGAGCTGGTCCGGGGGACCAGTAAATAAATATGTCAGGCTATATGCAGCAGGGACTTCTCCCATGTGATTAAATCAAGAGCCCTGAGATGAGGAAATCATCTGGACTAGCAGGTGGTCGTAAACGTAACGACCAGGTGTCCTTCTGATAAGGAGGCAGAGAGAGAGCTGACCGGCAGAAGAGGCGAAGGCCACAGGACCACTGAGGCAAGATGCTGGCCTGCTGGCTCTGAGACGGAGGAAGGGGCCAGGACCCGTGGAATGCCCGGAGCACAGCTAGAGAGGCTGGAAAAGGAACAAACGCTCTCCCTGGAGCCTCGGAGGAAGTGCGACACCTTGACCTCAGCCAGCTAAACGGATTCTGAACTTCTGCCCTCCAGAACTCCGAGAGAATAAATCTGTGCTGGTTTTAAGCCATGACGTTTGGGGTGATTTGTTACTGCAGCCGCAGGAAACTCATACACCTGGCTAATATGCACCTTCTGTATTCAATCAGACTCCCTCGGGGGAGAATCCAGACAGGACACCTGCCCCTGAGCCCTGCTCTGTGTCTGGAGCTCCGCCAGCGGCTGGAGGGGACAACACGCTGCCCTTGCCCCGTCAGGTCAGCAGATAATGTAACATATTTGCCCAAGGTGGGCGGGTCAGTGGAATGTGAGGCAAGTGGGGGCAAGACAGGTGCGATTTAATTCTCTTTCAGGGTCGAAGCAATGAAAAAAATCAAACAAAAGACAAACTTACCGGTCTTAACGTGAGAGCTTTCCACGCTGGGCCAAATCAAATGGGGCAAGTCCTAAAAAATTCCAAAGGCCAAAGTCACTAACCGAAGACCCTACTTGTAAGAAGTGATCAAGAGTCATTTTCGTAAGTGGCTCATACAGAGATGAGTTGAGCTTTTACCTGGAAATCTGAAATACATTTTTCTAGCTCAACCACTTCCACCGTGAGTACGGGATTACCTTCTCTTTCCCCCAGAGACCATCATCTCAGTCACGACTGCATTTTGGGAAGCTGTCCAGAATGTAGCACCGTGTGGTCAAAATGTCAATGTACTCAGACAGACCTGAGTTCGAATCCCAGCTCTGCCTTTCACTAACCCCGTGACACCGGTTGAAACTCCAGCCTCTGAATTCCCACCATCTTGCCAGTGCCTATGCAGTTCCTCTGGAGTGGCTCATAAAATACTAGATAAAGAGACCAGAGAACTGGATTCTGGCTAGAACCATCGAGGTGCTGTGCATCCTTAGCCAAGTGGCTCAGTCTCTCTGAGCCTCAGAGCCTCCTCTAAGAAGTGAATATCTCAAAGCCTCCCCCAACCTGTTTCACCTTGCTCAGTGATGAAACCTGCCCACAGACGGCCCAGCTAACTCTCTCACCCCACCTCTATAAAACAGCGGGCCCTGGAAAGGCCCAGACCTTTCTCCTGTAAATGAATAAAAATAAAGCTGCCCTGGGTTGAGCCTATGAAATGGGCTGGGTCCCATGCTGTACACTCAAGGGAGTTAGACGATCGGTCTTCGTAATAGTGAAATGAGTGCCGTTCTCATTTTCCAGTAAAATCCCCAGACTCGGGTAACTGCATCACTCCCTGCAGCTCCCACAGGGAAGAAGTGCTGGGAACTCGCTCTGAGCCCCTACAGCCCAGCTCTGAATGTGCTGTGCTGAGGGGGAAAGGCTGTGCACAGGCAGGGAAGGCCATGAGAGCTGAGAGGGGAACCCGGGCTGGCTGGGGGCCTGGCCTGAAGGCCAGTTCCCGTGGCGGCTGTTGAGACGGCCCTCAGCTGCGCAGGACGCCACGGGATTGAGAGGGAACTGCGTGGCCACGGTCTCTGCCTGCCTGGATGGCTTTCCCAGCATCCTTGCTTGTGGTCACATGAGCCCGTCCCCTTGGCCACTGAAGGCCACGTGTTTCAGACAAAGTCCATGCAGGCCCCCAGGAGCCCAGGACCCTGCACAGCCCTTTGGGGGATGACAGAAGCCAGCTCTCCTGGCTGCACGAAGGCCGGTCTGCAGGGCTGGAATGTGACGTCCACCCGTGGAGGGGTGAGGAGGGAGCAAAGGGGAACACAGAGAGGGGTGAGGACACAGCCAGAAGGTAGAAAACAAGTCAGACCCAGTCAGCTTTGCAGGAGACCCGCCCTTGAGCCCTTCCTGCCTTACCCCAAGGCAACCTTACAGCATCACATGCACCAGAAAGCCCCCTCTTCCCCTAACCCCCACAAAGACACGGGTGTCTCCTCTCTCTCCGCCCCCATCGGGTCCGTGTGCAGCGTGTCCCCCTCCTCTAGGCTCTGTGGGTACAAGCAGTCTCCTCCTCTCTCACGTGCTATTCCTATTCCGTGTCCACACCTGACCCATCGCCAAAAAAAAAAACCCAGTTTAAGAAATAACACAGAGCCTGGGTGGCTCAGTGGGTTAAGTGTTAACTCTTGATTTCAGCTCAGGTCATGATCTCACAGTTTTGGGGATTGAGCCCAGCACTGGGCTCTGTGCTGCTTGGGATTCTCTCTCCCTGTCTCCCTGCCCCTCCTCCACTCTTTCTCTATCCCAAAATAAATAAATAAGCTTAGAAAAAAGAAAACACAACACATAGGGGAACACCCAAAACGACTAAGAGAAGGATGGGGGTTAGATACTGGTACCTGCGTGTTCACAGGATCACACTGAGGTACCCCACACCCATGTTCACGGGATTGCAGTGTGATACCCGCCTGCGCACGTGTTCACAGGACTGTGGTGAGGTGCCCTGTGCCTGCATTTTCATGAGATCGCAGTGAGGTACCCGGTGCACTCGTGTTCACGGGATTGCAGAGAAGTGCCCGGTGTGCACATGTTCATGGGATGGCAGTGAGGTGCCCCATGTGCACGTGTTCACAGTGCATTAGTCGCAATAATCAAAATGTGGAAACAGACCAAGTGTCCGTGGGCAGATCAGTGGACAAGCACAATATGGTCCATCCCGAAGATGGGATGTTTTTCAGCCCTAAAAGGGGAGGACATTCTGACACCTGCTACCACGTGGACGACCTCTCACAACATTGTGCCGGGAGAAATGAGCCGGCCACAAAAAGACAAACACCGACTGCACTTGCAGGAAGCCTCTGGAGTGGTCAGCTTCACAGAGACGGAAAGAAGGGTGGTGGGTGCTAGGGGCTGGGGGAGGGAGGCCAGGGGAGTTAGCGTTTCTCGGGGACAGAGTTTCAGCTTTGCCGAGAGGAAGTGTTCCGGAGATGACGCATGGTGGCCGCACAGTGTCGTCACTGTGCTTAACGCCAGCAAGCCGGGTGCTGGGCAGTGGTTAAAACAGTGATTTCGGTTGTGTGTATTTCAGCACAATTACCAATAAAAATAAATGAATAACTCAATAGAGCAGATCTGTGACCTACAAAGAACATTAAGATTCAAGAGAAATCACTGGATTGCAAAACTATAATGTGATTCCTTTTAATAAAAATGGATTTCTAGGGGCACCTGGGTGGCTCAGTCAGTTAAGCGTCTGACTTTGGCTCAGGTCATGATCTCACAGTTTGTGGGTTCGAGCCCCGTGTCAGGCTCTGTGCTGACATCTCAGAGCCTGGAGCCTGCTTCAGATTCTGTCTCTCCCTCTCTCTGTCCCTCCCCTGCTGCTCATGCTCTCTCTCTCTCCTCTCTCTCAGAAATTTAAAAACAAAAAACATTAAAAAATGGATTTCTATGCTTTACATACATTATTCTGTATCTAATCACTGTGTTTACATGTTCATTTTAATATGTATTTGTTTACATATAGCTATGTTTATCTGTACATACATTTACTTCTATGTTTAACAAGTTTAAAGCATACATAGATATTTAATAACATAGTTCACCCTTATCATATATTTAATACACTTAACAATATGCTACATAACGTATCATGACCACATGTTATTATGTTGAGAAGTCTAGAAAGAGGTGCTGAAGTGTCAGCGTTGGCGGCTTGGGGAAAGGAGTGGTGCCCCTGCGGGCAGGGGAGGGGGCCCCTTCTCTCCACACCATCCGTGTTGTTTCATCCCCTACAACTAGAGCCACACCTCCATGAGTCACTACAACAACAACATAACAGTGACTGAGCAATGGAGGCCACGCTACGGAGCTGCCCTGTACACCTGTTCTTTTGGGGTCTTCCGGGTCCCTCACACCCAACATGAATACTGTCCCCAAAGTCTCCTTGGACAGGAGTATGTGGCCAGCATGGCCACCAGATCATAAAGCGCCTTCCCCCAGGCAGAAGGAGGTACCTCTGCCCCAAGCATCCTTCCGTCTGCCAGACGCTGTTATGGTGCACCAACCAGTGTGGACGGAGTGAGTCTTTACCGCCATCCGGCAGGGAAAACATCTCATGGTAACAACACAGATCCAGGCTGCACATGGGGACCTCCTCCTAACGAGTCCGATATAGGAGGAAGGGTAATTTCACAGTGAGAAACCTGGCCAACGCTACTCCAGCCAGGAGGCCAAGGTCAATACCAACAGCGATAAACCCTGTTTACAGTAGGCACCCAGACAAACCCCGGGGGGTGGGGGGCGGCACCCTATGAAACAACTGACCCTCAAAACTGCCAGGTTCATCAAAAAAGAGAAAGTCTGAGATGCCTACACAACCAAGGGAAGCCTAAGGAGACAAGATGACTGAACTATGATGACCTGGGTGCGATCCTGGACAGAAAAAGGGCATTAGGTTAAAAAAATAAAAGTTCAGGCAGTCTGAATAAACCAAGGACTTTAATAATAATATTAATAACACGAGTCCGTTAGCTACAACAACTGTACCATACTAAGGTACGACGTTAGCAACAGGGAAAACCAGATGTGGGGCCGTGGCAGATATATATGAACTTTCTGCACGACACGCTCAATTTTTCTAAAATCTAAAGCTGTTCTAAAACGGGAAGGCTGTGAACTTACACCACATATATCCACGAGGTCTCTGGCGTGCACCCAACACCCACACACCGGGACGTGGGTACAACCCCTGGGTCCTGGGCTCCACCCATCCTCTCAGCCAGCATTTGCTGCACGGCCGGCCGCGCGCGAGGCACCGCCAGGTGAGCAGAGCAGACCTGGCCCCTGACCTCACCGAGGGGTGATGTCTCTTTACCGACACACTTCCACTTGAAGGGGGCAATGCTACTTTGTTCCAAGGGGGCGAACAACCCACGAAAGCCCTTGGGAACCCCAGGTGCTGGGAGCCCTTGGCCATGGGTCCAGGGATCTCCCTGGTTTCTGCGTATCGCCAGCCTGGAGGGAGCCTCTCCCGGGGCTCCATGGCCACACGAAGCAGGCTGCTTTCGGGGACACCATACTCAGGCACCAGCCGATACCCCCTTTTGATACCCAGCCTTCACCTCCCTGGCTATCCCTCCCTCCAAAATGGCAGCCCCTGAGAAGGTCACCATGACCTCTACAGGGCTGTTAAGTATCTAGTTGCGCATCCTCACTGCACACAACTCACCAGCAGCATCCGATCTGGGACTGTATTAGCATCCCGTTGCTGCTGTAGCAGCCACCATGAACTTAACAGCTTAAAGCAACACACACTTATTACTTTACACTTCTGGAGGCCAGAAGTCTGACACGAGCCTCAACAGGCTAAAATCCAAGTGTGCGCAGGGCTACCTATTTTTTCTGGAGGCTCTAAGGGAAAGTCCATTTCTTGGCCTTCTCTGGCTTCCGGAGACCACCCACGTGCCTTAGATCAGGGCCCCTTCCAGAATCCTCAAGGCCAGCTGCAGCAGGGTCTCCTCCCACTGAATCACCATGACCTCCTTCCAAAGCCACGGTGCTCTCCCACTCTCTCTTCTGCACCCTCTTTCATGTTTTAGGGCCCTTGTGATTACATCAGCACCACCCAGAGAATCCAGGGTAACCTCTCTCTTTTAAGGGCAGCTGAATAGCAACTATCTGCAATGTTAATTCCCCCTTGCCAGATAACCTAACGCGTTCACTAGTTCCGGACAGATGGGGATGTATGGGGGAGGAGGCATTGTTCTGCCTCGACCAAGGCCCCTCTCCCTTTAGCGCTCTCCTCCCCTGACCTCCGGGTCACAGTCTTGGTTCCCTTCCTGTCACACCAGCCATACCTTCTCATCTCCTGTGCTCGGTCCCTCCCTCTCCCTGCCCAGCCATAGGCTCTGGCGTTGCTCCAGGGCGCTGCCCTAAGGCCTCCCTCTGCCCAATCCATACTTACCCCAAAGGTGAGCTCAGCCATGTCTCAGCTGACCACTGCCCGGTGTCACCAGCTCGGATCCCTCAACTAAGTCCAGACTTGCCGACCCAACGCTCCACTGCACACGCCCAGCTCAGAGGCACAAGACGGGAACAGAATTCCTGATGGCCGAGAGGGGCTTCGGCATGTTAGCCAATGGCATCTCTATTCTTCCACTTGCTCAGGCCGAAATCTTCAGCTTCATCCTTGACTCCTCTCCCCGGCCCCCCCTCCCAACCAATCCCAGCAAATCCCACTGGCTCCACCTTCAAAACACATCAGAAACCCCACAGCCAGCAGCCCACCATTACCCACCCTGGTCCAGCGTTCCTGGGCCTGGTCTCCCAGTCGCCTCCACTCTTGCTGTCATTCTGCCCTTGGTCTTGGAGGAAGGGGGCGGGGCTTCTTCAGAAAGATGAGCCACAGAGTGTCACTTTCCAGCTCAACGCCCGCACACCTTCCATCTAACTCAGAGTAACAGCCGGGATTCTGGGCATACGCCACGGGACCTTTCCTGATCTGGCCCCTCCTCACCCTTCTGGCCTCACCTCCTCCACACCCCCAAGTGCTCTGTCGACCCTGGGGCCTCCTTGCTGGTCCTGGACCACACCGAGCACATCCCACCCCCGGCCTCGCTATCATGGCACTCCGGGAGGCTCTTCTGGACGTGGCCTTGCCCTACCTCATTCCACCCAGGGCTCTGCTCACCTGGCACCGCATCAAAATGCCCACCCTGACCGCTCCCTAGACAGTGCTCACTGCCCACTCTACCCACTGTATTTTTCTCTGCAGCCTAAACCACCGCCTGGCACCACTGTGTACTCCTTGTCTTGCCGCAGGAACGCAGACTTCTTAAAAGAAGAGACAGCTTGTTCTCTTACCTCCCAGGGACCCCGAACGGGGCCTGGCACCTAGAAACTCTAGACATGATCGGCTAACTCAGAAGCCTCTTGTCCACTCAACCCTTCAAGGCCTTCTCTTCGTCCAAGAAACGTTCCATGGAACTTTCTGCCATGGTGAGAATGTTCTGCAGTATGCGCTCTAGCACACGCAGTCATTAAGTGCTTGCAATGTTTGCATTTAAATAACCACACATGGCGAGCGGCTCCCGTGTTGGACAGAGCACCTTAGGGCACCTGGGAAATGGTTGTGACCGCCGCTCAGTTTATCCTTCGCAGGAAGGGACAGATAATAAGATACCGATAAGCGTCTGTCTTCAGGTTTCCAAAGCACTATCTTGTGGAGCCTTGCAACAAGTGTCCCCCAGCACGTCCCGGCACTTGCTTCTCAGAGAGAAGACCAATTGCGAGCAGGCCAGGTGAGTGGGCTCCAAACATGGGGACCAGGGCGAGAGCACGGGACAGGCCTGGGGGGGGGGGGGGGGCAGTGGCTCCCCGGTCCGGATTTTCTCTGCAAAATGGACCAGATGCGTCCCACCTCGTGGGACGGAAGCACATGAAAGGACCCTGTGAAATGCGGCCGTGAGGACTTTTTAAAAGTTCAGCAAATCCACGGTTATTACTTTGTCTTCTCTGAATAATGGAAAATGAACAGAATCTCCTAGAGATTTAAAATCTGTAGCAAGTGTAGCAAGCGCCTTGGGGGCTTGCAGGCCAAGGACCCAACAGGACCAGGGAAGCCAGGCCCTGGGGGAGGGTGGGAAGGACCCCAAGGCCATGGGGAGAGAGCCACTGAACAGGGCGGTCCTGGGAACAGAAGCCTGACTCTGCCAGGGATTGGTGGCACGGGGTGTGGACTGGGGAGGGAGGTGGTCATAGGGACACCACCCCTGGACGCCAGCCATCTGGGGAGAAATGAGTGGGAAAGAGCTCAAATTAGGGGTGGGGGAGACTCAGAAGGAACAGTCACCAAAGGCCAGAGGCTAAGTCGTGGGGACTGAACCAAGCGACTGTGGTTGGGGGGAGCGCAGAAATTCCAGCGGATTCGGCGGGGGGGGGGGGGGGGGGGGGGGGGGGGGGGGGGGGGGGCAGTAGAGCTGATGGCCAGTTTCAGAGGAAGGGGAATCGAGGGAGGCAGCCAGGGCTCTGTGCGTTCCCAGGCTGGTGGCCACAGTGGGACGGGAAGTGGATAAATTCAGCCACCAAGGCAGTGCCGTCGATGAACCTGCACCGGGCTTCTAACGACCTCTGCCGCCGCGGCACCGACGCGAACTCGCCTCCCTCCCGATCCCACCCGCGCGGTGGACGCCGCAAAGGCTTACTGCCCGGGAATCGGGAGGCACAGGAAGTGAAGCGACTTTGCCCAGGTCACGGGGCTTTGAGAAATTCGGGGAGAGATTCGACGCGGGCGGCGGGCCAAGCCCAAGCCCGAGACGCCGCGCGCGCGGCTCCATCTTTCCTGGGACTTTGCGCGGCGGAGCGCGAGACACCATAACACCCGAAGCATCCGACTCAGACCTCGCCCTCCCTCCGATAGGCTTCCCAACTCGAAGGGGCCTCCCCGCCGCTGGTGTAGACGGAGCCCCGCCCGGCCTGAGTCCGACCGGTGACTAGGGGCGCGCCCTTCTTACCTGCGCAGTCCGCTCGGGTCCCGCCCCCGGAGCGGCGGGGAGATCCGGAGAAGACTGTCCTCCGAGGGGGCGCCCGAGGGGACCCGGGCCCGCGGGGAGGCGGCCTCGGTCCCCGGGCCCTGCGGGCAGCGCCAGGGCGGCGGCCAGGACGCCCCCGGCCAGCACCCACGTGGCGCTCCCCGCGGCGCCCGCCGAGCCCATCGGCCCCTCCGGACCGGCGACCCCAAGGTGGCGGGCGCGGCGGAGTCGCCGGAGCTTCCGGACCCCAGGCCCGCCCCGCCGCGGAGCATGCTCAGTACGAGCCGCCGCCGCGGAAAGTTTTCTGGAACACACTCAGGCATCTGGGACTGGGCGGGCTGGGAGGCTGCTGGGAGGGGGGCGGGCGTGGGACGGAGGGCGGGAGCGAGCCTGGGGCCACGCTTGGGTTTGCTCGCGCCGCGCCTGACAGCTCCTCTCTACCCAAATCGGATCCTGATCCCTGATCGGGTGGCTCGTCTTCTCCCAAAGATTTCTGAGGTTCCAAGTGCCCCTCCACTGATACCTACCAGGTTCTCCGCTCAGAACCATCTCCTCCAGGAAGCCTTCCGTGACACAGGCACACACCGGGCCGAACCCAAAACGGGCTCCAGATGCACCAGCCCCTTGTTAGAGAACTGAACATTTAGAGAGGCATAGCCATGTGTCCTGGAGAGCCCAGAGGGGACAGGACAAGATAGAGAGGCGGTGGGAGGGAGGCTGGCAGATCAGAAACCAGAAGGAAAGGCCACTCTCACTTTCTATTGGATTTAATTCAGCTGGGCTCCTACTGCCTGAACCCTTATTGTGGATTAGCTGCTGGACCTGCCTAGGTATCTACCACCTACCAACTTCCAGGGCGGACAGGTAGTCACCCCAGCCACTGTGGGGAACCAGGGGGAGGCGATTTGGTGTCTGGAGCCGGGGAGGGGCAGCAGGCGAGCAAACTCCTTGAACTGTCCCTGGCAATAGGGTTGTGCCTTGCCAAGGAGGCCAGAGGAAGGGGCGACACAAAACGGAAGAGGCCAGGTAGAGTAGTCTCTCTGCTTCCTCTGAGTCCTCAGTGATCTGCTCCTTGGGGAGAAGGCTCCTGTCCTGCAACTTGTCGTGCAGTCTCAGGCCAGGAAGGCTGGCACCAATCCCTTCCTTCTCCCCCAACCCCTCCAAGGACGGGCCCTCCCTGACTCGACACAGACAAGGCACTGGGGTCTGAGAATCTGAAAAGTCATTAGCCAGGCTCCCAAGAGGTACGGCTGCCCTGGGGGGTGGGGTACCGGGCAGGATGCCAGGAATGAGCCGCGGGCAAAGGCTAGATGCTAGCATATTGCAGGAGCATCAGTTCTATTTGGCGTGAGTAATTTAAAGGGTGGTTTTAATATCCAATCAACTTTACAATAAAGTAAAATGCAAAGAACACTACATTTTAAAAACTAAATTCTTCCTATCCAAAGAAATAGCCAGCATAAAAAGCAAGAACTTCAGGTTATTGCCCCAGACACGTTCCCAGAAGCCTTGGAGATGCTTCTAAGGAAACATTTAGGTGGCACCGTGGAGTGGAGCGGAGAGTGTGAGCTCTGAAGCCAGCCAGACACGGCTGTTAATATATGGGTCTTATTTCCTAGCAAGACCTTGAGTGAGCAACTCTCCTCAGGTTGTCCATTTCTTTTTTTTTTTTTTTTTCTAGGAGAGAGAGAGAGACAGCGTGAGCAGGGGAGGGTCAGAGAGAGAGGGAGACACAGACTCCGAAATAGGCTCCAGGCTCTGAGCTGGCAGTCAGCACAGAGCCCGATGCGGGGCTCGAACCCATGAACCGCGAGATCATGACTTAAGCGAAAGTCGGATGCTTAACACCTAAGCCACCCAGGCGCCCCCAGGTTGTCCATTTCTTATACAGAAAGTAAACCCGGATCATTGTTTCCGCCTTGCCCACCTGGAAGGTTAATGAAGTAATGAGTCCCCAGGATGAGAGCCGGCATCTAGAGCTGCTCAGTAAATGTTTCCTTAAGGAAAGCTGAATTCCTCTGGTTGTTTACCTCCCCGCACAGCCATGAGGTCCCCGGGTCTGGACCTTGTCTGGTTCCTTACCGGCCTGGGGCGGGTTCCAACAGCAGGGCCTCTGTGAAGGCTGAGTGAATGAATGACCACGCAGTGTCTTGTCCCTCGTGCGGGCTGGGCGTACCCACCTTCTCCCTACACATTATCGTAGAGGAAACTATGGACAATCCATGCAAGAATGGGATTAAAACAGTAGTCTTCAGCCTAACAAGCTCAGAGGCGGTGGCGGACTGTGTGGTCCAAACATGGCCGACTGGTACAGGTGCGGAGCAGGACTGGGGTCGGGGCCCTCCTTAGGTCACTGAGCCGCCGTGACCTTGAGCTTCCTCATCTGGAGGGTAGGCGGAGAGTAATAGTGCCCATCTCAGAGGGCGGTTGAGAAAGTTACATCAACAGGCTAAATGCGTAGCAAATCTTACACGCTCGAGAAACTTAATGGAGCAACGACCTCCTCCGTGGCTGGGGGACCTGACCTCCTCCGTGGCTGGGGGGGACCTCTCGCCCCGGGGGGACCCCTCGCGCCCCCCCCCCCCCCCGCTTCCTTCTCGGCTGGCCGAGCAGCGCGCCTCGCTCCAGACATGCTCAGTGCCAGGGCAGGCCGGGGCGGGGGCGGGGGCGGCTCGAAGTTTGGGGCGGACCACCCAGGCTCCTCCCCGCGGCCGGGCCGCGCCGCGCCGCGCCGGGAAGGGGACTCCAGGCGGAGGCGGGAGAGCGCGCAGGCCGGAGGAGTCTGTGCAACGCGCCGCGCCCCTGCCCGCCCGGGCCGCGAGTCCGCTGTCGCCGAGCTGGCGGGGACGGTGCCCCGGACGACGGGCCGAGGCGGCGCGCGGCGGCGGCGGCGATGCGGCCGGTCCGCCGCCTGAGCGCCCCCGATGGCCCGCGGCGCGGCGGCCTGCGGGCGCGACGCGCGGCTGCCGCTGGGCCGGGACGCGGTGCGGCCGGTGCCCGCGCTGCTGGCCCCCGCCGTGCTGCTGGGCGCCGCGCTCGGCCTCGGCCTCGGCCTCTGGCTCGGCTGCCGCGCCGCCCGCCCGCGCCCGCGGCCACAGGTGGGTAGGCTGGCGGGTGTGGGACGCGCGCCTGGCAACGCGCGCACCTGGTGCTGCCCTGGCTTCCCCTCTGCCCTGGGAAGGGGGCTGGAGATCCATTCCTGGGGGGTGGGGACGGCGGTGGAGTGACAGAACGGCACCGCCCCGGGGTCCCCCGGGTGGCTGCGGTCACAGTAGCCACTAAAGAAAGCGCTCTGGGCCTCAGTCTCCTCATCAGTAGCACTAAGGGTTTGGGCTCGCAGCTGGCGGAGGGGCCCGGCTGAGCACGGTGGACAGGGTGGGGAGGGCGGGTTGCGATCCCATCCTTTCTGCATCTTGCTGGGTGGGTTGCCTTACTGGCCTCTAGTCCCAGCTGCCACCCTGGGGTGCATTCATGTATTCATTCACTCGTTCATGCGTACCGTAAAAGTTGGATGAGCACCTTCTGGCCACAGCCCTGGGGGCTTAGACACCTATTCCCGGGCAGGGTAGACCCCGCCCTTGCAGCTGGGGTTCACAGCCTCCGGAAAATGATAGATTTCAAGTAAACATTTGACGGTTCCAACCTGCTGAGTTCTGCGTTGGGAGACGATAGTGTTAGCACTTGCTGGTTTCTGACCCTGTGCTGGGCCCTGAGCCGCATCCTCTGCCTGAATTATCTCACTGAATCCCCATAACAGCTCTGTGAGTTTGTTCTGTTAGTGACCCCACTTTGCATTTGAGGAAACCGAGGCACAGAGAGGTTAAGTGACTTGCCAAAGTGACCGAGGCGTGTCTAAGCCCCAAGCCACTGTGCCCTCCGTGGGTGGCAGCCGTCATGGGCTCGCTGCGTGAAGGGGATTGATGGGTGCTTCCTGTGACCGTTGTTGTGGAGTCGGGTGTTGTGTGGACACGGCCGGCAGACAGCAAAGCATTCCATCCAGGGCGGTGTGATCACAATCGGGTCCTTGCTGCTTTGACCTCTTTGGAGCATAGTCTGGTTGGATCTGAGTCGAGGTGTGTGGTCTTGTTGCCTGCATTCGTGGCCCATTGGAGGAGACAAGTCCGGCAGATAGAAATGTGGGCTCTTTCGTTTTGCCATTGACTTCGGGGGAGTGTTTTGCCGGAAAGGAGTGATAAAGGTCGAAAGTAAAATGTGTAGAATGCTCGCAGGTCAGTTTGAGGCTGTCACATCCCGCTAGCGATTAAGGGACACCCAGAGACTGTGGCCTCTTGTGTGAAGAGAGAGGTTACACGTACAGAGCCTTTGCTGGGTGACCTGTTCTGAGCCCAGCGTTTGTGGGGTTTGGGTTCTATATTCTCACTCCCGACCTCTGAGTGAGGGGAATTGTCATTATCCTCGCACGCCAGGTTGGGAAATCAAGGGTCTGCAACGTTGTTCTCGGTCTGGGGTCACATGATGAATAAACGGTGGGGCTGGATTTCAACCTCTGTCTGAACCCCTAAATCAGGGCTTTCAGCCATCCGCTCCCTGGCGAGGTAGCCATTAGTCTCTGTCTTAGTCTGTTCGGGCTGAGTAACAAAATACCATACACTGCGTCGCTTATACACAACAGAAACTTATTTCTCACAGTTCTGGAGGCTGCAAGTCCAAGATCAGGGGCCAGCATGGCTGGGTTCTGGTGAGGGCCTCTTCCGGGTTGCAGGCTGCTGACTTCTCACTGCTGGTCCTCAGAGAGCACCAGGGTCCGAGGAATCCCTGGGACTCTTGTAAAAGTTCCTCAGGAACTACTCACCTCCCAAAGGTCCTACCTCCAAATTCCATCCTCACCTTGGGAGGTGGGATTTCAGCCTGTAAGTGGGGGGTAGGCACAAACCTTGACACCACAGCAGGGGCCCAGGTCACAGCTGAGGCTTACCGGGTTTGCCCAGCTGGTCAGGAAGGGCTGCACTAGTCCTGTTGAAGGTAATGGTGGCTCAGATGAGGCTGAAGTAGCCATAGAAGGGAGGGCTGACCGGGTTTTCGGGTGATTTGGATGGGACCTTAGGAAAAGCCTTCTTTCTTTCTTTTTTTAAGTTTACTTTTTTATTTTTGATAGAAGAGGGAGAAGCAGAGAGAGAGAATCCTAAGCAGGCTCTGCACTGGCATTGCAGAGCTTGACACGGGGCTCGAACCCACGAACCAGGAGATCGTGACCTGAGCTGAAATCAAGAGTCAGATGCTTAACTAACTGAGCCACCCAGGCACCCCAGCAACAGCCTTCGTTCTAAGAGGACTCCTTTCCTCTTCTCTTCCCTGAGTCTCTTTTTCCTAAAATGGACACATGCCACGATCTGGCTGTCAGGGGTAAAAACCTCTCTCCTGACTCCTGATTCCCTACAGAACGTGATGTCCAATGTCCTAGCATAAGGAAATGGTGTACAGTGTGCCTCATCTTCCCCAGGGGCATCCAGCCTAACACAAGGTGCCCGGTACCCACTGCGTCCAGCTCTCCAGGCACCCAGAATTCCTTGCTTCCAGATGCTTCTCCACTTCTGCACATCTGTTTTCTCTGCCTGCGGTGACCTTTCTCTGCTGCTCTTTTTTCCCACTCATCCTTCCAGAGGCAGAGAGAAGACTGCCTCAGGCTAGATGAGGTTCTTCCCCCCTCCTGTATCCTGGGTCCCCTGTGCTCCTCTGGTCCAAGTCACCCAGCTCATGATTTTTTCTAGCACCACTTTCTTTCTGTTGCTTTTCTCTGTGTATTCGTTGGAGTTCTTTCATCATTAAAGCTTTTACTTGCATCGTCATACAGGCGCATCAAATGTTCATTTACGAAGTCTCAGAAAGCAACTTGTCCAATTCTTTCAGCTGGTTTTTTGGTCATTTTCTTCCCACTTGTAAATAACTGGCTTCCCCGCCTGCATCTTGTCTTTTTGGCTTTAGGCATCGTGTTGACTTCACACTGCCAACCGGGGAGTGATTCAGCTCTCTTCCCCCCTCCTTCACATGTACACTCACCCCAGCCGCCGCCGCCACCCTCCCTGTTGGCCGTAGGGTAATTTTGGTTCAATCAGTGTTCAGTGTTTCCTTAGGATTCTGTAAGCGCTTTTTCACTGTGAGTCAACGATCAGCTACAATTATGATTACTTTCCTTTTTTTCACTGCACTGCACTTTCTTTTCGCTGAAATTAATAGTTACCCAGGGTTTTTTTTCCATTTGTTTATATTCTGCGTGCCCATTCTTTAACACTGAACACCCCTCCATTTATATGCATTTCTTTTCAAGACATTTGAAGGCGTTAAGCATTGGATAGATTTTCTCTTCTTGCAAAACCCCTCTCCGGAAAACTTCTTGCCTGCTTCCGTCTGAACTGGGTTGCTCTCTGGATCACTGTGAGTCTCATTTGGACCAAACCAGCAACAGCAGCAGCTGGGAGGCTGTTAGAAATGCCAGTTCACGGGCTCCATCCCAGACTCACTGATGACAGTCTCTGGAGGTGGGGCCGGCAAGCCAATTATGGGTTGTTGGTTTTTTAATTTTTTAACATTTATTCATTTTTGAGAGACAGCGCGAGGCGGGGAGGGGCAGAGAGAGAGAAGGAGACACAGAGTCCAAAGCAGGCTCCAGGCTCCGAGATGTCGGCACAGAGCCCGACGCGGGGCTCGAACTCACGAACTGTGAGATCATGACCTGAGCCGAAGTCGGACGCTTGCTTAACCAACTGAGACACCCAGGCGCCCTGGCAAGCCAATTATGTTTAAGGAGCCCTCCCAGGGATCGTTTCGTTTTTCAATGTCAAGCGGCAGCCGGTCTAGGCTTTTGCTGTCACCAGGGGGACCTCACCAGCCATCACCCTGGAACTTCCTCCCCTCCCTGGGATTACATCCTCTTTCAGGGTCCTCTGCACGGTCTTCCTGGGCTAATTTCCTCACGTGGGTGGAGCATGGGAGCAGGTACTCCAGGATCTTCCTGAGAAAGAGATGGAGGGAAGTGCTTTTGAGAACCTCTGCGTCTGGAAGTATCTATATCCTCTGGCTTGACACTTAGCTTGGTGAGAGTAGTTACGTTACAGATGCCACATTGGGAATAATACCCCGATTTTCCCCTATTGTCTTCCAACTGCCGTTGTTGTGGAAAGACAGGATTTTGTTTTGATCGCCGATAACTTTGTTTTGTTTCCCTGTATCTAGTCTTTGCTCCCAGCTTAGAAGACACACCAGGATGTGTGTCGGTGACAGTCGATTACGCTCCCTCCCGCTGTGCATTCGGGAGGCGGTTTCAGTGTGGAAATCTTTGATGATTCCTTTCCTTTTTTTTTTACATATTGTGTCTTTCAGGAACGCGGCTCATGTTTTGGTTGAATTGGACCTCCGATTGCCTTCCTTCTCTTCCGGTTTCCATCTCTTTGTCTTTTTACGCTGTTTTCTGGAAGGCTTTTCTCCGCTTTATACTTGTATGGAGATTTTCACATTTTTAATTTTCAAGACTTCTGTTTTGTCCTCAGAACGTTCTGCGTTTACACCGCCCTGCTCTTGTCTTGTGAATGGAACACCTTCTCTTGGCTCCCTGAGGATCTTACAGTTGCTTAATTCGTTTCAAGTTTTCTTTTCTCCCCACACAGCGTCTGTTCCTGGTTCACTTTTTCCTTTAGTTTGTTTGTGGTTTCTCTTTCCTGTTAGAGTTTGTCCTCAAGTGGCTGGTGGTCCTTGGCTTCCTGGTTGTTTTTAACTGGGGAGCAAAATAACGATGCCCCCATGTGGAGCGGGTGAGGTTTATCTCCCACAGTCTCTACTACTAGAAGATCTGATTGGCCCCTTGCCTGTGGACCCCTAGTACTGGTCAGCTGTCACTGCCAAACAAAACAATCCCTAAATCCTTGGCTTCATCATCTGCACGTCTCTACACATCCCGCACTGGTCCAGCCACAAGGGCTTCCCTAGACATGCTTCTGCCACAGGGCCTTTGCACTCGCTGTGCACTCTCCTGGAAAGCTTTTCCTGAGATATCTGAATAGCTGGCTCTCTCCTTTCTTTCAAGTTTTTTCTCAAATGCCACCTTGCCCAGGAGGCCTTCCCTCCTAATGCCCCCCCTCCTCCCATCCTACATCATTTTCCTCTATAGCACTTACCATCACTACTTTCTACGTGTTTACTTATGTCTCTCTTCTGTCACTGGAATGTAAACTCCATGAAGGCAGGAGCTTTGTTTACTCTTGTCATTACTCGATTCCCAGCAACTAGAATAAGCCTGATACTTAGCGATGCGTCGTAGCAGTTGCCAACTAACTCAACGACACGCTTGCGATATTTCTTCAGGGCAACGATTACACCCATGAGCAGCCACAAGAGGGGCTTGATAAGTGTGTCTGGCATGATGGGATTTTAAATACAGTCGATAATTAGGACCGAAGAAGTCACTGCAAACCCAGAATTAGCGAAGACTCCATCATTGCTCCTGGGGGAAACACAGGCTGGGTTCCTGCAAGAGCCCGGCCACCTCATCTCCATTAACCGGCCAACACACACCCTTGTTTTATGTGGGTTTCTATTTGGCCCATATTGTTGGTGCGTTAACATTGAACTCATGGCCAACAGCACTGCAGCTCGTGCCTGAGCGAGGCTTATCCAGCACACGCAGTGCGGATGTGTGAGAAAAGAATGGCATTGATAGAACACAGAAGGGCCACCTGTTTACAGTAGGGGACCCTACGCGGAAAGGCAGGGCGCCACCTTCTGAACTGGGTTGTACACTGCAGGCAGGCAGCCCTAATTCTCACCACCCCGCTAGTGCCCAGGAATGACCACAAAAGCACTGCGAGTGTTGATTGGAGGGGGGGCCTTACAAATAAATGTTAGCAATACGGAAATTTACAAATATAGAATCTACCAATAATGAGGTTCCACCTTGGTTCACAGTATAAACCGTTGTATAATGTAAGGTTACCTAAAATGTGTTCTTAAACTCATCCCATGGCATTATGGGAAATAACAGGAAAATTCATCTTTGTGTGCCATTTCCCGTGTTGAGTCGCGCCTCCAAGGAGCTCACAGGCCACCAGGGGCCACCAACCCAGAAGACCAATGGAGTGACCTTTGATCCAGCGGGGGTGGGACAGTCCTGAAGGCTGCGTGGCTGACGGACCCCGGGTGGGGGTGGGAGGCAGGGTGCTGCGCACAGAGGGCCAGGCAGAGGCATGGAGATGAGCGCCCGTCGGGTGGGGGGTTGATGGCTCGAGTTCCAGGGGCACCAGGCTGACCGGCTTCCCTGTGTTCTCCCCACCCCCACCTTTGGATTTTAGAAAGATGATGCTCAAAGCCTGCTCAGGAGTTTGGAGCCTAACGTACAGGACCCCTCGGAAGCAGGCTCCCCGTCCAGGAGGAGGAAGAGAGAAACGCAGACGTCAAAGGAGGAGACTGTGGATGTAAGCCGCGTATTTGGGTTTATTTGCCGAGTCGCACACTGGGGGTTGAGTGCCCCACCTGGCAGCACGGATGTCACCCCCTTGAGCCCCTGACACACGTCCTGTCCCAACAGGCTTCTTTTCTGCAGTTTAATCTACGTACAGCAAAATGCACACATTTTGAGTTTACCGATTGTAACCAACACCCCAATCTGGAATGTTCCGTCACCCCAGAAAGCTCTCCCGTGCTCCTTTCTGGTTGACCCTCCCTCCGCCATTCTTCCCCCTCCTCTGCCCCTCGCGAAAGTAGCTGCTGCTGTGATTCCCGTCACCACGGTGGTTTTACTGTTGTAGAATTTCACATTAGTGGGAGTGTGTGTGCCCTTGTGCTGACCTTGCCTCGACACACTGCTCTGGAGACTTACCAGGTTTTTGCATTTATCAGTGATCCATCCCTTTTGTTTTTTATTTTAAAAAATTTTCTTAATGTTTACTTTTTCCTGAGAGAGGTGGGGTAGTAACAGAAAGAGAGGGAGACACAGAATCTGAAGCAGCTCCAGGCTCCGAGCCGTCAGCACAGAGCCCAACGCGGGACTCGAACCTGCAAACTGTAAAGTCAAGACCTGAGTCGAAGTCAAAGGCCTAACTGACTGAGCCCCCAGGAGCCCCCAATCCATCCCTTTTCATTGTTCAGTCCACCGTGGAGATATATCACAACGAGGGTTGTTACCAGCGTTTGGCTGTTCTGTGAATGTTTGTATGTAAGTGTGTTTTCATTTCGTTTCTATTTCTTTTACGTGCATGTTAAGTAAATGTCCAGGAGCTCTGGCTCTGAACCTCTTGAGAGACATGTTGAAGGTGGATTTCTCCCTGTTCCTTCCTCACTGGCCCCCAGCCTGTCCGCTGTGAGACATCATTTCATGTGTGAGCTCCGTGGACAGAGAGGGCGTTTCTTCCAAAGGCATGCTATTTCTAGACCCTTGCTGGTCCCCAGAAAATGCTATGGATCCTGACCATTTAGTCTCAATTGCCCAAACGTAAATATAGATATTTACGCAGGTAGATAGGCAGACAGAGAGACAGAGAGAGATGGAGAGGCGTCCTGAGAAAAGGGGAAATAGTGAACTGAGGTGTTTCTTAGCGCCTCCTGAATGCCAGGCATTTTCACACACGTCACTTTTGAATGATGTGAGCGCTCGTGTGGATTACCTCATGCACCTCTCTCAGCGGCCCCACCAGGTGGATCTGTCTTCCCGAGGATTCTGGAGACAGGCTTCCCTCACGCAGCCCCGTGGATGGATTAGCTGCCCTCGCGGGGCTGGGGCTGGGGCTGGGGCGAGCCCCTGGCACATAAGAGCTGCGTCCAGCTCCTGCTCCCTGCCTCTCTGTCCTCAGGCGCTTGGTCTCCCCGTGTGTTTGCACGTGTGTGTATCGGCGCGGCTCTCTGTGTGTCCCTCTCTCTCATGTCTCTCTCTGCCTGCATCTCTGTGTGTCTGTGTCTTTCCCTCATCTGTCTCCCTCTGTCCGTCTGGCCCTATCATCCCGTGTTGTCAAAAGCCTGCTCGTGACAATGGGAACATATGTGTGCACCGTGTTCACAACAGCCCTCTCCAGCCACAACGTGGAAACCCAAATGTCCCATCCACTGATGAATGGAGAAACAGAACATCGTCTAAAGGAACGAAATCCTGGCGCGTGCTTCAACCCAAATGGAGCCTGAAAATATGCCAAGAGACGCCAGTCACAAAAGACCACGTATTATAGGATCCCACTCGTATAAAATGTCCAGAACAGGTACATATACAGAGGCAGAAAGTAGGCTGGTGGTTGCTTGGGGAAGGGGGGTGTGGGAGGGAGCGAGGTGGCAACGAAGAGGTAATAGCTAAAGGGTGTGGGTTTCTTTTTGAGATGGTAAAAAGTGTTCCCCAATTGTGGTCATGGATGCGCCTCGCTGTGACTGTGCTAGAGATTGTTCAATTGCACAGTTTATGTGGTTGAACTGCTTGGATACCCCCCTGCTCACACAGAGGGCAGCCTTGGAGATGATGAAAACATCACAGGCTCTGCGATCCGGGACCCCGGAAGCCAGCCCCCAGCGCCATCACCTGTCTGCTGTGTGACGAGGGACAGGAAAACTAACCTATCTGATCACCCATCAGTTAACTCTGCAACATTCTGACTGCAGGACAACTGCTCACTCAGTGTTTGCAGGGGAGCCCCGCCCTCTTACCCCTGAAAAGCCTCACTCCTTGTTTTCCCTAGTAATGCTTTCCCTGCTAACTGGTTAGCTGTGCCAGCCGATGCCCATTATCTAGCCAATGATTGCCAAGAGTTAAGTTAATGATCTGCCCGTTCCAGTGACTGGCTTTGCCAAAATGCCTGCCCCCCGCAGGCTGAGCTTGTCAAGGAATGCGGCCAGGACGGAGTCTGAGCTCTAACCTCGATGTCCTGAAGTGCACCGAAAACCAAGGGATTTGTGGTTCAGGCCCCTCTGCGCATGAACCTTATTTTGATGAATAGCTCACGACGGTCAAAAGCAAACTGAAAACTCCAGAAGGCTCTGAGGCGTGTGTTGCACAGCCTGCCTCCCTTCACCTTGTCCTGCTCCGGAGGCGGGAGAGGGGACGGCTCCTCTGTGGACGCATCCCCGCACTCACTGAAAGAGCGCCTTTATGCTGGTGAGTGAAATGCCTTTTCTTTTCCTACAATTACGCTTTCACTAATTTTCTGAATAATTGCGTGGCTTCAGCTGAAGAAGCTTTACATCGAGAACTTGCACAACAACCAATTTTCTGTGTAATTGTATTGCTACGGTTGGAAAGATTATCAGAATTTGGAGAGCATCTGAACTTAATAAGAAAAGCTGTAAACACACACACACACACACACACACACACACACACACACCAAAAAGCCCCTAAAAACAGCAGATGCCAGCTTACTCCTGGATTCCATTTGCCAGGCCCTTCCACGTCCTTCACCCTGACAAACATCGTGACCATCACAGTGTCAGTCCTTGTGCTCGACTTGCAGTCTGCAGGTGGATGGGATGGAAATGCACGCGCGTTCACAGCCTCCCCATCGAGCTGCAGGACGTGCACGCCCGGCTTCTACACCACTACGCAAGTGGACCCCAGCATCTTCATCCTGTTCGTCTGATTATGTTTCTCCCATTAAGTACGATCTTTGTTTTCTGTCTCCCGCTGGAGGGCAGAGACCACGCCCTTCCTCTCTGTCTGTGAGAAGTTTAGAACCACACAGTGGTGCCCTCTGCTTCCCTGCCTTCCTTTGAGCAAGTGCACATCCACAGCAAAGCAGCCAGGGCTGGCTCTCCGGGCGTGCAGCCTGGGCAACCGCACAGGGCCTGAGCTCCATCGGGCTCTGCCTCAGGTCTTTGGACTCTGCTGTCCTGACATTCTTAATCCCTTTTGAATAAGATGCGCAACCTCCCATTTTCACTTTGTATGGGACCTCACAAATTATGTAACCTGTTCTGAAATCAGCCTTTTTAGTCTTACTGCTATCCGTTGCTTTTGTACCCACACAGCTTCAAGCAGAGATTGGAACCGGGTGCTGGGGGCCAGGCCCTGCTGGGCTCCCTTGGATCACAGGAAAGCCAGGAAAGGTTTTCAGCTGGCAGTGATGGGCATTCCAAGTTTAAAAGATCACTCGAGGGGCACCTGGGTGGCTCAGTTGGTTGAGTGTCCAACTTCAGCCCAGGTCATGATATCACAGGTCCTGAGTTCAAGCCCCGTGTCGGGCTCTGTGCTGACAGCTCGGAGCCTGGAGCCTGCTTCAGATTCTGTCTCCCTCTCTCTCTGCCCCTCCCCTGCTCTTGCTCTGTCTCAGAAATAAACAAACATTAAAGCAAAAAAAAAAAAAAAAGATCATTCAATTGCTATGTAGAGAATGAGTTGGAAGGTGTTAACCTCTGAGCCTTGCTGCATGAAGTAGGGATGATGGATATAGCACGGACCTCCCCAAACTGGCTGATGTGTGATAATTACATGAGCAACAGTGCATAAAGAGCCTAGCACACAGTAGGTGCTCAGTGCATGGATGGGGGAGCCAGTCAGAAGGCTGTTGAAGCCCTTCGGGTAATTATGGTGGCGGCTGAGGCCAGGGCTGTGGGTCTGAGTGACATTTAGGAATTTAAGCATAGAATTTGTGGTTGATGTTACATGGCAGGTAGGGTGTGGGAATAACAAAGTATCTCGGGATCTGACCTGTGTCCTTGGCGCATGGTGACACCAGCCCATGGTGACACCTACTTCCTTTGTAACTTCCTGGCTCTTACCCTCATTCTTCTTTGAATGACGCTGAAGGAGACAGAAAGGTGTCAGCAAAGAGGAGGGAATCTGAGCTCACATCGCAGTCCCGGCATGTATTAGCTGTGTGACCTTGGACTCACGGCTTAACTGCTTTGGGTCTCACCTCCCCTGTGAGAAATGGAGACAGTAGCCTCAGCGATTGGGCCCCTGGAAGTGGAAGTCAGTGGCACATGTTGGTGGTCTGTCCCGATCATCTAAGCCTGGTTTTGTGCATCATGAAGTACAGATGGAAATGACAAGGCCCAGCCCTCGCCATGTGGCTTCCGTCCCCACCCTGCTCAGAAGGGCGTCACAGCAAAACCGCTCTGGAGGCGTCCCTGGGCTACACCGCTGGCTTGGTCGGGTGCTGTTTTGATGCCCGCTTCATGAGGAAGCGATAAACCCTTCTGTGTCCCCTGTGATAGGGTGTCTTATCCCGGGGCAAAGTTGGCAACGAGAAATCGGTCGCTTGTTATGGAGCTCTTTCTTCAGAAAGGTTTGGTTGAAAAGCATTGAAGGAGCTGTGGGTGCAGTTTTCTGGTGGGTAGAGAATTCCCTTGGTCTGGAGACCCAGGCTCGTGACTCACCTGCCTGCTTGCCATCATCACCTGCAAGTTGTTTCCAAAATATTTATTTGACACCCCTAGCAAAATGCAGGGGGCGGAGGTGGCGGGCGGCTCTAGCAGGAAAGAGATACAGAGAAGATGTGCGGGTCTGGAGCAGCTGTAAGTCTTTCCAGCTGTGGTCAGAGACACCTCTCCAGAGACACGCCTCTTCCCCACCGTTACTCAGAGATGTCCATTGCTTCTCTGCTCTTCTGTCCCAGTCACTGTGCTGGGCTCTTTGTGTCATGATCCTCGGGGCAGATATGGGACCTTGGTTTCTTTCTGGGAAGACTGAGGCTCACAGAAGTGCAAAGACTTGCCCAGCTGCTTTTCATTTAAGGCTCTGATGCAGAGTCTTGTGAATATCACCATGTGCCAGTGCTTATGCCCCTGGCAATGCTAAAACTACTCTGTGATTTCTTTTCCACTAAAAGATGGTTCACAATTTTTAGGAACGCTCATAAATTTTTGTCATGTTATTTAAATACTTATTTCTTTCAAAGCTGAAGACTTGGAGTTAAATCAGGAATGTGCTATATAACCTCTACTCATCCATCCACCCATCCTCCCATCCATCCATCTGTCCATCCACCCATTTGTTCATATGTCCATCTGTCCATCCATCTATCTCTCTCTCTACCTGTCAACCCATTCATCCACCCATTTGTGCCATATGTCTGTCCATCCATCCATCCTTCTATGTACCTATCTATCTATCCATCCATCCATCTATCCATCCATCCATTTTTTCCATCCACCCATGCATCCATCCACCCATCTGTCCATCTGTCCATCCACCTATCTACCCATTTATACCATATGTCTATCCATCCATCCATCCATCCATCCATCCATCCATCCATCCATCCATTTTCCTAGCCATCCATCCATCCATCCATCTAGCCATCCATACATTTGTCCATCTATCCACCTATTCATTTACCCATCCATCCACCCATCCACCCATCTACCCACCCATCCCTCTCACAAGTGATCACCTACTGGGATCTGAATGAGCCTGTTACAGTCCCTTCCCAAGGCCAGTGTTACAAATGGGACAAAGCATTTTTGTAACTCTTGGTGGTTTATCCTTCATCTTAGAGAAAGCGCCCGATGCCATGTGTTCTTCCTTCCCAGGAATGTGGGCCATCTTTCAACAGCAACATCACAGCATTTGCACTGAAGGCAAAAGTCATCTATCCCATCAACCAGAAGTTCCGGGTGAGAGTCCTCAGCGTTGTCTTATACTAGAGATGGGGGTAGAAGTGGGCAGAGTAAGGGTTTGGGGTCCTAGCTGAGGGCTTTGTGGTAAGTCATTTTAATAGGGATAATTTTGAGGCCTTATAATGAAGCAGCACTTTAGGGTGAATCTGCTGAATGACAGCATTGTCAGAGACAGAGTAGAGCAAGGTGTCCCCAGAAACCCCGGGTGACAGCATAGTAGGGCAGCGTCATGCTCTTTTCGCACTGATACAAACACCGGCCCTCACGCAGTTCCCAGCGTTGCACCTCATTTGCAGACCCCACTTCCGCCCTACTGGACCCTGACTGTGGGCTGGCACAGCGCTAAACATTTCTCACGCGTGAGCCACTTCCTGTAAGTAAATCACACTGTTACTGCCTCTTCACGCATAAGGAAACTGAGGCCCAGAGAGCCCAGTGACCTGCCCGAGGGCACCTGGCTGTAGGTCTCTTACACCTGAAGCCAGGAATTCACACCCGCGGTCAGGAGACTTGCAGATAGTAGCATATCCCGTGGCTTCTAGGAGCCCTTGCCCTATGAGAGTGTCCATGAAGGAAACAGCCCCTGGGCCAGTGCGGGAGAAAAATGTTGCCTGTGCTCCTGGTTGTCAACAGGATGGGCTCTGGGGTCCCACAGACTCCATCCTAACTCCCATCCCGGCCGTTTCCTCTGGGCCGCTTCCTGACTGGCCTCCTGTTTCTTTCTCTGGAAATGGGGGTGATGGGCCCTCCCGCCTCCCCAGCTGTTTGAGGGTCAAATGGGATGACAGACATAGGACTTAGCACTGCGTGTGACGCCCGCACACTCAGTGCTTGCTCTGCGTCCCCAGTTATTATTTGCTGTTGAAGACAGCCAGAGCCAGGATCTGCAGATCCCTGCACCAAAGAAATGATTGCACCTTGCCGCACACAGGCTTTTCCAGATGAGAATTTATCTGCAGTACTGGGACTGCCCCCGGGAACGCACACTGGGAACTGCCTCCTTCACTTAGCTATCTGGTGGGTGGGTGTTGGGCAAAACTCCCAGACCAGGGGCATTTATTCATCGTTGACACCCCTTGCCAGGCAGGCTCCTGGTGGGCACTGGGGATTATTCAGGGGTGGGACAGCGTCACTCTCGCCCTGGAGACCCTCACAGTCTGGGCAGAGTGTGGGATGGTGCATGATAACTGGCGTGGGCTGGGCCCGGCTGCCAGGGAAGGACGACTCTGGGTCTGTGTCTGGAGGGAGGGATGCCTCAGCCCAGCAGTGAGTGACCAGAGTCTGGAAAGGCCCAGAAGTATGAAATGACAAGGGAAGTTGGGAGCTGGCTGCCAGCTTGGTGCTACTTGGGCAGGAACATTCTGGAGCAGTGGAGCAAGCCAGACAGAGGTGGCGGCTGACATTTGTTAAGCCCTCCAGCTGAGCCAGGCACTGGGCTGAGACCTCACGTGGCCGTGGCAGCATGTGTGGCTCAAGTTCCTTGATGAAGAGCTATCCACGGGCAGCAGGAAGCCTCCTCGAAGGCCTGGGGTCAGGAGGGTGATGCCCAGGTCAGTGTAGGTGGGGAAGAGCAGGTGGTCAGCAGGTCAACAGACTGAGCAGGCCCAGGGGTCTGAGACAGAAGAGAAGCGGTGGGGGGCAGGGAGGGGAGCAGGTGGAGAAGGTCAGAGTTGGCAGCCAAGTGTGGGGTGCAGGTGGGCCACCAGTGAACGAATCCAGGCTAATAGCTAAGGGCTAGGAGCCTGGCGCAGAGGGGCTGGCCTCCTGTGGACAAGAGCTAGGACACTGGTCCCTGGGGTGTGGGTACAGGTGTGACCCCGGGCCGGAAGCTCTACCTGTTGACTCTCAGCCTCCCGGGGTGCCCCAGCCTGGCCCTCCTGGGACCGCCATCATGTAATGCCGGCGGAATTACCGAAGCCAAGTCGCCATAGGTCTTTGGACCTCTCCAGAGTGGTCCCAAGTGGACTGAGTGAGCTTTCTCTCCCCCACCCCCAGCCGCTGGCCGACGGCTCCTCCAACCCGTCGCTGCATGAAAACTTAAAGCAGACTGTGTTACCCAACCAGCCGGTGGAGGCCTCCCCATCCAGCAGCCTGGAGAGCCTGAGCCAGGCCGAGAAGGAAGACGGGAGCTCCTTGTCCAGCATCCACTCGACGACCAGTGACGACAGGTTCCTCAGCCGCACCTTTGTCCGAGTGAACAGCTTCCCCGAGGTGCTGATCTGTGAGAGGTGAGGTGGGGGCAGCGAGGGATGGAGAAGCAGGCCCGTGGACCATATATCACTGTCAGGGGAGGAGGTGGAGGTCCAGAGAGGTTAAGCAACTCAGCCATGGACACACAGCCACCCGGCGTCCAAGCTAGAGCTCACCACGTGGTGTTGGCCAGTGTGAGGGTTATGGAATCAAGCCTGAGCCCTGAGGAAAGACATTAGGGGTGTCGTTGAATCACCAACATGACTGGGGGCTTTGCAGAACAGCAGCCAGCACTGATTAGGTGCCTCCTGTGTACTGGGCAGACCACTGAGCACTTTTCAGGGATTAGTTGTCTCACGAGTATGACTGGGCCTGCCTTATTCACCTCTGTGTCCCTGCTGCTCAGGGGACAGGGACAGGGTCAGTGATGGATGAATAAAAATCAGTCAATCAATGAATTAATTCCTCTTAGCAACCCTATTTGGTAGGTGCTAGGATTGTCCCCATTTTACAAAGAATAAAGAGACACAGGAAGGCTGAGTCACTTGCCCAAGGTCACACAGCAGGTGAGTGATGGAGCCGGGTTCGACCTTATCTCCAAAGCCCACGCTCTAAATCGCCAAGCTACTGAGCATGTGCGAGAGGCTCTGGAAACTGAATCGGGAGCTTTGTGCTTTGGTCCCCAGACTTTAAAGTTTGGTGAGTCCCAGTGGCCCTGCTCCATGAGATAAATCGGGCCCAAACTCAGCTCAGGGCCGCGGAAGGAGTGGGCCCAGTCCCTGAGCTCAGTGCTGACCTTGACAGTGGCTGGGAAGGGGTGGTGAGGAGCTTTGGGACTTCCCGGGCTTGTAACGGTTTGGGCGGGAATGTAGCTGTTTGAAATGAGTGTGCCCACACCAGACAAACGGTCAGATCTGCCCAGCCACTCACCCACCCCGTGACCGTGTAACGGCTCATTGACTTCCTAAGTCTGTTTCCCTGTCTGTAAAATGGGCATGGTAACGCCTGCCTGCGGGGGCAGAGGAGTCAGGGCTTGTGACGCAGACGTTACGATGCCGAATGGGGTGTCTTCCTTCTCTCCTCTCACCTCCGACCCTTGCTGCCTTCTGCCCTTTGCATCTCAGGCAGCCTCTCCCTTCCGGTCACAAGTGACGGATGCATCACTTGGGCCACTATTCAGAAGCTCTGTACCTGCAGAATTTAAAATCTAGACTCGGGGATGCCCCGAGGCTTGTACCAAGCCAGGATGTGCCCCTCCCGGGAGCCCCCTCCCCACTCCAAGTCCTCTCAAAGGCGTTCCGTTTCTCTCTCGGCTTTTCAGTGTGGACCTTGACTTGTGTATCTACAGCCTTCACCTAAAGGATCTGTTGCATCTGGACGCGGCGCTGAGGCAGGAGAAGCACATGGTAGGCGGCGGGCTGAGTTTCTCACCCTTTCCGGGGTCATGGACGCAGGCTCTCTGTGGCCACTGAGTCCTGTGTGCCCTCAGGGACTGGTGACAGTGTCCTGGGGACAGTGGAGCCACGATGGCGGGAAGGCACAGTGCATTAGGCATCTGATGATGAAACAGAAAAGCCATTCGTGCCTGCTGGTGGGGGACAGGCTGTACTTTCCCCGGCGCTGTGGGCTCGGGCAGAGAGATGAGAGCCTCTGCCCAGGGTGCACGTCCTGATGGAGGCAGGGGCCAAAGGTGTTGAGAAGAGCACAGCAGTTTTATTTACAGTTTTTATTTTTATTTTTTAACGTTTATTTCTGAGAGAGAGAGAGAGCTCATGCGCACACAAGCAAAGGAGGGGTAGAGAGAGAGAAGGGACGTAGGATCCAGATGCGGGGCTCGAACTCATGAACCAGGAGATCATGACCTGAGCCAAAGTCAGGCACTTAACCGGCTGAGCCCCCCAGGCGCCCCGAGCATGGCGTCTTTAAAGGAGTGATGATAGTGGTGATAATACTCTATTCACGAGCACTAATGTTGCTGATTGCTTGCGAAGTATCGGACCCTGGGCACGTTACACAGGCAGTTAGCTCTCAACTTCACCACAGCCTGGAGAGGTGGGTGCCATCATCATTGCACGCTACAGATGGGGAAACTGAGGCATGGAGCGAAGGACTCACCCAGGGTCGTAAAGCCCTCGGTTGGAGTGGAGGTGGGCAGTCTGGTGCCTTGTTATGGGCGTGCATTCTCTGAGGGGGGAAGGGGGCCATCAGAACCACACACAGTGAGTCAGCACTGGGTCCAAGCTGCAGGGTGGGGATGGGGAGCCAGAGGGATGAGGAGGCAGAGCCACCCAGCCCTCAAAGGCCCCGGGGCTTAAAGAGCATCATTTCTCCCGTATGATCTAATGAAGGATGAGATCTACGGAGGGGAGGCCTACTGCAAAGAGAATGGGAGAGGGATCGACAGAGAAGGTGACAGAGACTTGGACACAGAGACACAGACGGACATGCCCATGAGATGCTCCCTTAGAAACTAGAAAAATCAAAGCATCAGGCTGGGGATGCTGTAAGAAGAAACGCGGGCTCTGTGACAGCAGGAGGGAACTTGTAAACAGGGGTCGGTATTGGAAACCGGGAATCATACACCAGGATTCTAGAAATAGAGCCTATTCTGGCAGCCCCACTGTGCCCGGAGAGCCCTGTGGCCTTGACGCGGCGGCCCACCTGCTTTCACTCGGCCACATCTCTCCCCACCGGCAGCCCGTGGCCCTGGTGATCTTCTCGAAGGCTCTGTGCTCCCTGGAGGGTCGATTGTGTCTGCACTCAGAGCCCCATCCAGCCAGTGAGTGAAGTGGTGCCGGCCGCTCACCCCCAGAGCAGGCAGCAGGTGCCGCAGGGAAGCAGCCGGCTGTCAGGCGGAAAGCACCCACTGTCACTCATCTGCCCACCTTTACCGTGAGCCACCTCCCCTGCCTGCCAGGCGCAATGGACAGGGAGAGGGATGATGCCAGCCACCAGGGACAGCCCCCACCTGCATGGAGCCCACTCTCTGCAGGCAGATGGCGGCAAACCACACACTTTACACCGTGCAGACTGTGGGTCAGAACAAACGATAACGGCACCGCCGGCACGTGTAAGGGGGTCCTGAGTGAGTGTGGGGGAGGTGGCCAGCCTCCCCTGAGGGAGATACATATGCTGGAACCTAGGGAAGTTCCAGAAGCGCTGGCTCAGGAGTCCAAGTCCTGGGCTCCAGTCCACCCTCCCCTACTTATGAGCTGTGTGACCTTGGGTAAGTCACCTTCCCTCTCTGGGCCACCTTAGGAAAGGTATAAAGATGACGTTTTCCCAGCTCTTGCCCCACAGAATTTCTAGGAAGTGAAGCCGTCTCTGTGGGCAGGGCTCCGGGCTCTGCTGGGAGTGTGAGGAGCAGCGTCACAGCACCGCGTGGGAAGCACTCCTATCTGCTGGGCTGAGCGTTCTGCGTGTCTGATCTCAGCGAAGCCTTACTGCCATTTTTCACCCACAAGGAACCTGAGGCTCAGAGAGGTCAGGCCAGTTGCCCAGAATCACACAGCTTTGAATGACAGACACAGCCCAGATGAGATCTGTCTGAGTGTAAGGTCTGTGCACCTGCACACAGTAGGCGCCCCGTAGAAATGCGCATGCTGACACCACCGAGGGTTACCGCTCTGCACGCGTGGCTTTCCCCTCACTGCGGGGCATACCTCCGCGGGGGGTGGGACCCGCAGGAACACGCCAAGCTCTTGCAGAGGCCTCGAGTTCCATTTCTCTGGTAGTGATCCGTCACCACGGGTCAGAGTTCACGAGGGACTCTGGCCACAGACAGACGGTGTCCCATGCAAACTGTGGGATCACGGTGTTGTTACAGCTGATACTGCGGTAACACTGCGGTTGGCCACATGCCAACGATAAACCAGAATAAAAAGGTGGATCAGTCAGTTTGGCTCAGGTCATGATCTCCCATTTCGTGGGTTCGAGCCCTGTGTCAGGCTCTGGGCTGACAGCTCAGAGCCTGGAGCCTGCCTCGGATTCTGTATCTCCCTCTCTCTTTCTGCGCCTCCCCCCCCCCCACCGCTCATGCTCTCCCTCTCTCTCTCTTTAAAAAATTTTTTTTAAAAAGTGGCTCAGGCCAGATGCTTAGAGCTCCCTGGTGGCCCCTGAGGGAGAAAGTGGCACTAGGCTTGTAAGGAGGTGGCGGGAAGCTGCATTTGACACCGTTCAGAGCAGAGTAGCAGAGATGGGATGTGTGTATGGGGGAGAGGGAGGCCAATAGAGGGGTCATTAGAACCAAAGGATTCCTCCTGGTGCTGGAACATTCTCTGTCTTGGATGTGGCTGTGGTCTCATGAGCCTGTACTTGGGTAACATTGCACAGAAACACACACACACACACATACACACACGACTGCATGTGACAATGAGTGCAAACTGTGAAGCCTGCCGTAACTGCACTGGACACGTTTTGGTTTAGAGGCTGCCTCTGTCCATCGAGACAGGAGGCCGGAGTGGATGACCTCATACATCCCAGTTCCAAACAACTGTCCCTCTGCTTCTTCCCACAAAGCAACACCCCCTTTGCCTTCGGTGTTTTCTTGACTCACAAGGAAATATGCACCGTGGAAGGAATGGCACACAATAACTGCCTAAATGGAGAAAACGAAGGAAGTAGAGCATATTATTTAGAAGCTTGATGAAAATGCAATCCATTACAGACAATTGTCATGATTTATAATCTGAGTTATTTTTCTAGAGTGAAACTATATATGTGTGAAGAGATAGAGGGCTAGAGATAGAGATGGGGAGGAGGGAGGAAGGAGAGGCTGAGAGTGAGTGAAGGAAAGGGGGGAGGGAGTGAAAGATACCATTTTTAAACCTTTCTCTCCGTTACGTTTTCCTTCTTGGCAATAGATGTTTATCCAGATTTTAAAAATGTGCCTCCTTGATCTTCTTCCTAAAAAGAAGTCCGATGATGAATTATACCAGAGGATTCTTTCGAAACAAGAAAATGTAAGTACGTTTTCAACCTGTATCTCAAGGTAACTTAATAATAGTTTATTACAATATGTAAAACACAGCATTATATGAAATTATTTTTGCTTTTATGTATAAAAATAACTTATTTCAGTATATGCCTTTTAAACACAATGCAATTATACAAAAGTATGTGTACAAATATAAAAATGACCAGAGATTATTATGAAAATTTGGGAAAATATTGAAAGCAGGACAAAGAGAAGCGTGTTGGTCATACCCACTACTCGGAGGAACCACTGTTACCATTAGCTTCTGCCCAAGCTTGGGTATTTTTATTTTTTTATTATTTTAAAAAATTTTTTAATGTTCATTTTTGAGAGAGAGAGAGAGACAGAGGATGAGCAGGGGAGGGGCAGAGAGACAGGGAGACACAGAACCTGAAACAGGCTCCAGGCTCCGAGCTGTCAGCACAGAGCCCGACACGGGGCTCAAACCCACCAACTGCGAGATCATGACCTGACCCGAAGTCCAGCACTTAACCGACTGAGTCACTTAGGTGCCCCAAGATGGGGTATTTTTAAGCACATTATCAGGTTATTGGTTATAACTATTTGTCCTAGTTTGCATTACACTCCTCTCAGTCTTTTACACAAAGTACGTTATTTTACGTGCAGCGGAACAAGCCAGGGCTTAGCGTCAGACATCCTGGTTCTTTCTTTCACAAACTCTCAGAATCCCAGGTTCCTCCTGTGCTGAGGGATCATAATTCTGTCCTACAGGAGCACGGAAGGGATAAGAGAAAGTGTATGAAGCATCGGCCAAGTAATAGTTAGACCCTGAATACATGAGAGCTACCATCGGCCTCATTACGACTGCAGCAAACATCTTCAGCTTTATCAGGGGCAGAATCCTCACCGTCGTTACCATTTCATCCCCGCCATCACCACCACCACCGGCATCATCGCCTCCACCGCCATTTCTGTCATCATAATCACTCACACCACTATCATTACCACCGCTGCCGCCGCCATCTTCCTCATTACCAGCGCCATGCTACTTGGGGGACTGGGAGGGAAGGTTTCCTCCCTGCTCCTCTGGATTCCGTGCGGAAGGATACAGCACAACAGCACAACACCCCAAGGAGGTACATCATGGTGGTCATTGTCACCGTCAGTACCACCACCACTGGGACCGTCCTCATCAGGTGCAACACAAGTCGCGCAAGTTTTGTTAAGTTTATTTATTTGTTTTGAGAGAGAGGAGAGCGCACAAGTGAGCGGAGAGGGGAAGAGAGAGAAGGGAAGACAGAATCCCAAGCAGACTCTGTGCTGCCAGCGCGGAGCCCGACCAGAGGCTCGATCTCACAAAGCGTGAGATCAAAACCTGAGCCAAAGTCAAGAGTCCGACGCGTAAAGGACAGAACCACCCAGGCGCTCCTCACACATTATTTTATTCAGTCTTCGCCACAGCCCTGTGAGTAGCCATTATTCTTTGTTTACAGTTGAGGAAGCTGAGGCTGAGTTTAAATGACTCTCCAACGAATAAATAACAATAATCATGGTGACACAGGGAATTACGCAAGAAATAATGGAGCTGTGTTATAGGAAAGGAGTAAGAGCTTTGTAGTCGCAGACTCAGGGTCGCATTCCACCACTGGCACTGGCACGGTATGATAATCACAGCAGTGGCTGCTGCTTACCGAGAGGTGGTCTGGCCAAGTACTTCCAGTGAGTACTTTTCTTTAATGCTCATCATGATGCCCTGACTTCTAGACAAGGACAAGAAGTGCTCGGACCGGCGGCTGCTCTTGGGAGAGAAGCAGCATCATGGAGGTGTGTGCAGTTGGAGGCACGGGTATCTGGGGTCTTTGAGGCTGAGGGATGAGCCCAGCACGTCTCTTCCTATGGGGAGGAGACTGCAGACGAAATACCCCATCTCCCTGAATATCAGGCTCCCCATCTGGAAAGAGCCAGCATCTTTCTCTCTCATAGTGACAAGGCTCCGAAATCACGCGTGCCTTCACCATGGATGCCCAGAAGCAGTTTTGAGCAATATCGTTTTCCTGAATGAAGCTGGGGCTGCCCCCATGCAAATTCCAGTTCTCCCGACACAGCCCTGGAGGAGACGGGATTCCTCCCGTACCCCACAATGGGGCCTGAAGGACTCTGTACAGAGGGGGCTCCTTCTTCCCCAGTTCTGAGTTTATTAAGAGACAGAGTCCAAGAGACACATACAGAGAGGTCGGCTGCATTACTGAGACAGGGCAGCTTGGAGGACATGGCTTAGCTCTGCAGCATTTGGAATCCCAGGACTAGCGAAACGCCTGCCTCATCTGGGGCGAAGCTGGCCTGCCCAGCACACCCTGGGCCAGGGCCATGGCACGGCAATGGCCTCCCCTGAATGGGCCACACCAAAGAGGAAGAGGTTGGACAAGCTATGGGTGCACAGTTCCTGCTTTCAACCCACCAATCACATTGCTCCACGCCTCCTCTAAGGTGTACTGAGTATTCCTTTCCCACGGAAACCAGAGGAATGGGGAAGAAACATTCCCCCCAACACCCCAGATGTGATTTTCCAGGACTTCTTAAGGAGTAAAAGACAATATTTCATCATTTTAAAAACTATATTCTGTTGGGGGGGGGGTGGTGAGGAGTACAGAAGAAAAGAATCCAGTGTTCTTGAGGCTCTATATTTACTGAGAAAAGTAGATTTCTATCATCAAACCTTAAGTAGGACAATGCCTAGAGCGGTTAATTATGGTTAAGAAATATCTTATGATAATGTGAAAGATAAAAGCATTTCTTTTCTAGAATTTAAGATATATTAGATTTTATCTTTGTTTATTTGCTTCCCTCCCCTCCATTTTTCCCAGGACTTGGAGGAATTAGAAAAAGGACTTCAGGTCAAACTGTCAAACACGGAAATGTTGGGGACTGCTGATTCTGAATACATCACTCTGGCAGATGTGGAAAAGAAAGAGCGGGAGTTCGCTGAGCAGCTAATAGATAACGTATGTGATGGATTTTTTTTTTTCCTGTATAAAAACCTTGGTTTCTAGGACAGTTAAATTGGCGAGATTAAAGCGACAGCACTTAGAAGCATGGTTAATACTTGAATTCCCTGTTGCACTGAGCCCAGAGCCACAGATCCAGTTTCCGAAGTTATGTGATAGAGTAGATATAATTCAGGGGCCAAGATTTACAAAGTTTCATTTTCTTTTGGTTTTAATGAATTCCCCTTGTTTAAATTTTTGATTGATCTTTTGATCATTCTAAGCAAAGATTGCTCTAACCCTCTATGTCATTACCGCCCTGTGGATTAGAACAGATGCTAGCTGCTAACTTCTCCAACCCGAGGTGTCACCCATAAAAGCCGGCTTTAAATTCTAGCGAGGGTGGCTTCCCTCAAAAATCCTTTTTCCTGCTTTTCAGTTCCATTGCCCCCTGTTCTTACATTAGGTGTTAAACAAACATTGTTTTGGCACCTAAGCCCTGTGCTGCACACTGGGGATGCAGAATGAACTTAGACCTGGCCTTGCCAGAGAGATGCCCCATCTAATCTGGTGGGGGAAGGTGCGGGAAGGTGAGCAGGTGTGGACTTCAGCGCTTATAAGTGTTGTGATAGATGAAAACACCAGAAGGCTGGGGTTCCCTGGAGAGAGGAGTTTGTTGCACCCTAGGGTTAGGAAAGGCTTCATGGAAGAAAAGACCCATAGAGAGGCTTTCTGGGAGAAATGGTGGGGGGCTGGCCAGGGGATGCTGGCAAAGAAGGGAGCCGGGGAAGGCCGAGGCGCAGGCAGAGCGAGATAAAGCCAGACGTCTGGCCTGAGGGTTTTCATCTTGTGCCAGAGGAGGTGGCAGTCACTGGAGGTTGGCAGCAGATGGTGGCTGGGTCCATTTCTGTTTCGGAAGGACTGCTCAGGCTGCTGTGTGCAGGATAGGAATGAGCTCTGCAGCTAAGGCAATAGAAATTCCATGAAGGCAAATGCAGTAGGATGGGAGCAGAGGGGTAAGAAATGGTGGGGGAGCTGCCGGGGTGTAAAGGATCCGTTCTATGGGAATAAGGACCCCAGAAGGAGAGCCAAGTTGGGAGGGGAGCTGGTGAGTGCTGGCTTGAGATCTTGAGGTGGAGATGCCCAAGGATGGAGAGTTTCTACTAAGCTTGGGTCAGAGGGCATGGGGAGGGAGGGTGTTCATGGCACGAGATGGCAGAGGGAGGGTGCTCAGCCTGGATTCCAGGGTCCACGGGCTCCCCGAAGCAATGGACCTGTGTGTCCGTGTCTGCATATTTCAGACAGATGATTCATACTATGCCCAAGATTCTCTGACATATGGTGACCTCCAGCCATGGAGATGGCCCGGCCTGGGGAGTCTGTCGAGTGTGTAATGAAGGCAGCCTGGTGCCCAGTCTTGGATCCTGGTAGCATTTAAGGAGGAGGAGTCAAGGAGAATTGAGACAAGAAGGCAGAATATGGACCGTGAGGGACCAGGAGAAAATCTTGTGCTGGACAGCAAGGGAATCAAGCGTTTCTGAGAACAGGGTGGGCACCCTAGCTCTCTGGAGCTGGAGGGATGCCAAAGCCAGCTGGACATCCATCTCTGTTCGGGGGGGTGTGGGGCGTCGTGGATGATAGTCATGTTCCCTCAGAGCAATCAGGAAGGAGGTCATCTGGTGGCAGGGATGGGAGGGAGGCTGGAGGTGTCATGAGTGGCTGCCAGCCGACTGGGGCAAATAACAGGTTACTGGGTGCACGAGGTGCCAGTCCACACAGGCGCAGGCTTTCTCTCGGCCGTGCCCAGCCACCAGGAGGGGGCTGCTCAGGGCGACTCAGGGTTTCAGGTTGTGTTTGTCTCCACCTTTCACCATTGCAACAAGGTCAGGGTGGGCTTCTGGTGCCGCCGAGCCCCAACCCCTCCCATGCCCGGTGCAGCAAAAGGTGCCTAGATGAATTCAGTGTCTGAGAAGCAGAGCCACAGGGAGAAAACGACCTTTCAGGAAGTTGAGTGGCCTGCACCAACTCTGCCCCTGCCCCCCATCAGCTCTGCGACCAGGGACCTCACCTTCTGAGCCTGTCCCTGCATCCGGCCCATATGCACTTCACCTGCAAATCAGAGGCGTGAAGCATGGAGCCTGGCACCTACTTGCATGCGGTAAAGGGAAGTTGTCCTGACTGCCAGCGTCACGGTTCTCGCAGCTCTGGGCGGCTGACTGAGCCCCGACACTCTGAGCCCCTCGGTGATTCCCACCTCTCCTGCTGAGGAGATAGGGGGAGGGGAAAAAGATTTCAAGGCAGAGTGTTTTCATGGCTGGCATCGTCTCGGCCATGTTGCTCTATTTTGTACTTTTAGGGCAAAACTAAAATGTAAATGGCCATTCGTGCTTTTATTTCCAGTGCACATTTAATCCCTTTCAGAGATCTGGAAGCTTCCAGGAGCCCACTGTCGAATTTCACGCACTCCCCAGGCAGCAATCATGGCCTGTTTAAGAGTCTTTAAGCTGTTTACGCAGGGTGATCTCATTGTGCCTGCCTTCCTTATCAGCAGAGCTCTGGTGTTTGCTGAAAAGCCACCTCGAAATGGACAGGCACCTACAATATGCCTAGGAGGAACCTCTCTATAGAACTCGATTATTGCCCAGATAAGCTCGTGCAGATTGCAGAATTGTTTAGAATCTCAGTTTGTGATAAGGAATGAATTGTAATTCTCAAGCATGAGCCATCTAGCTTTATAGCTTTCTTAAATAAGTTTTCTACACCCACCTCTTGCTTCTCATTCTCATTTCACAGATGGAAGCTTTCTGGAAACAGATGGAAAACATCCAGCACTTTCTTATGGACCAATTTAAGTGTTCCAGCTCCAAAGCTCGACAGCTCATGGTGACTCTCATGGAAAGAATGATTGCAGCCGAGAGGTTATTGCGTGACTCTCAGGATTTGCAGGCTCTGGTATGCTGGGGCGGGGGTGGAGGGAAGAAACATGAAGATACTCACTCTAGAGAAAAGGAATCCAGAAACTTAATACCCCATAAAGATCAAGTCAAACACCTTTAAGTTGTAGATAGGAATATAGAGTCCAGAGAAAAGCAGTGATCCATCACTTCATTCATCTGTCCATCCATCTTTCCATCCATTCACCAATCCATCCATCTGTCTATCCATCTACCCATCCATCTGTTCATCCATCCATCCATCTGTTCATCGATCCATCTATCCATCCATCCATCTATCCATCCATCCATCCATCCATCCATCTATCCATCCATCCTTCTGTCCAAATATCCAAACATCCATCAACCTACCCATCCTTCCATCCATCCATCTATCCATCCATCTGCCCATCCATCCATCCGTCCATTTGTCCCTCCATCTATCCATCTATCCATCTGTCTGTCCATCTGTCCAGCCAGCCAGCCAGCCAGCCAGCCAGCCAGCCAGCCATCTATCCGTCTATCCATCCATCAGCCCATCCATCCATCTGTCCACTTGTCCCTCCATCTATCCATCTATCCATCTGTCTGTCCATCCGTCCATCCATCCATCCAGCCAGCCAGCCAGCCAGCCAGCCATCTGTCTATCCATCCATCTGCCCATTCATCCATCCGTCCATCTGCCCATCCATCCATCCATCCATCCATCCATCCATCCATCCATCCATCCTTCTGTCCAAATATCCAAGCAACCATCTACCTACCCATCCTTCCATCTGTCTATCCATCCATCTGCCCATCCATCCATCCGTCCATTTGTCCCTCCATCTATCCATCTATCCATCTGTCTGTCCAGCCAGCCAGCCAGCCAGCCAGCCGTCTGTCCGTCTATCCATCCATCTGCCCATTCATCCATCCGTCCATCTGTCCATCCATCCATCCATCCATCCATCCATCCATCCATCCATCCATCTATCCATCCATCCATCCATCCATCCACTCATCCATCCATCTACTCACCTATTCCTTAAGTGGAGATGCCAGCCAGCTTTGTGTTAACGTAGCATAGAGGTTCTCAATCCCAGCTGCACGTTGAAGTTATTTGGGGAGCTTTAGAAAGGACTGATGCTTGGGTCCCAGATGGGTCCCCATCCCAGAAATTCTGAGTTAATCAGTCTGGGGTTTGTAGAGCTCCAGGGGAGCACAGTGAGTAGTCATTGTTGACTCCCACTTATGTGGACAGAACTTACATTTGCCTTCCTGATGGCTCTGAATCACCTGAAGAGCTTGCAGAAAATGCCTATGCCCAGACCTCATGCCCAGAGATCCAACCTGATTGGTCTAAAGTGAGGAAAGACCCTGTTACTGGCTGGTTTTAAATCCCCCCAAACAATTCTGATACATAGTTGTAGGTACAGCCCACTTGGTATCTGACTTTGAACCTAGGTTCAGCCCTTTGAAGCTGTGTGACATTGAACCAGTTACTTAACCTTCCTGAGCTTCAGTTACTCTACTTATAAAAGAGTCGTTCTAGGAGTTTCTACATATAGGACCCCGGGAAGTGCTCTGTGACCCATAACACTCTCGTCACCGTGGGGTTTCCCTGTGGTGGTTTTGGCCTTGTCCTGCTGTGTGCAAGGCCAGGGCACGCTATGCACCCATTTCCCCCTTCCTCTGACCTTGGCAACTCATTAGTTACCTTTCAGACCTGTGCACCCGCCCAGCTCACACCCGGCCCAGAAACCTGCAGCAGGCACACTGTCCTTGGCTCAGAGGCTCATCAGCCTCCACCCACGGAGCAGGCCCTGCGGCTTTCCCACAACCTCTCGGCTCCAGAGCGTGGTCTACAGACCAGTGGCATCCGCGGCCCCTGAGAGCCTGTTAGAAACGGAGTGCCTCCCCACCCAAATCAGGATACGCATTTTCAGAAACGCCCACGGTGCAGCCCCCATCTGAAAACATACCATCAGGTCCACACACAACCTCCTCTCCCTCCTCGGCGCTGCCAGAAGGTGGGCACGGCAGGTACGCCCAACGAGCAGAGCGGGAGACAACTGAGCGACCCGCTGGGTCTGACCTGCTGTCTGATAGCATCGCCAAACCCGGGCGACGAGCTTCCAGCTTTGCCGTCCAAACCCTTGTGAATTAGATTTTAATTTGATAAGGCTGCTGATACTAATGCCGATCAAGAGAGAAAGACTTCCCTCCCCCCCTTTTTTTCTTTTTATATAATTATTATCCAGCCAACAGGATATTGATGCAGGAGGGAGAAATGTATCCTCAGCTGACTCCAGACCAAGCATTAGCCAATAACTTCCACAAAGGAAGAAGGGAACGAAGGACCCAAGCTATCAATATGCCCCTTCTCTTGACCAGTGTTTGATGGGTCCCTACCCATGGGCCTCCTTCTGTGAAAGAAACAATGTTACAGACTCGAGCTAGAGGCCTGAGTTCACACCACAGCCTTGCTGCTTGTTCGCCGTGTGGCTGACCTTGGGCAGGTTACCAAAAATCTCTCTGTGACTCAGTTTCCTCATCTGTAAAGTGGGGGTCAGAAGAACACCTGCTCTGAGGATGTTAGAGAGCCAATGGTATGTAAGGCCTTGAGGACAGATTCCAGCGTGTGGGAAACACACACTGGGCACTGTGGCCTGGGCTGTTGGCTCTGTAGTGTTCACGTGGCATCACTGAGTGTCAGACGGGTAGGGTCCTGGAAACGGCCCTCGAGGTCGTCAGGATCAGTCTCCTGGGATGTTTGACAAAAAGCCGTGCCGAGATCGGGGCACCTGGGCAGCTCAGTCGGTGTCCAACTTAGGGTCAGGTCAGGAGCCTGTGGTCTGGGGGTTCGAGTCCCGTGTCAGGCTCTGTGCCGACAGGTCAGAGCCTGGAGCCTGCTTCAGAGTCTGTGTCTCCGTCTCTCTCTGCCCCTTCCCTGCTCACACTCTGTTTTTCTCTCTCTCAAAAATAAATAAATATTTTTAAAAAGTTTGTAAATATTCCATGTCAAGAGGGATATGGGGGCTTGTAGATAATTATGCCAGCAGCTTGCTTTCATGAGCGCTTACTATGTGTTCCAGCTGCGACTTTATTTTTTTAATGTTTTGTTTTGTTTTGTTTTAATTTCTGAGAGAGAGAGCGTAAGCAGGGGAGGGTCAGAGAGAGGGAGACACAGAATCTGAAGCAGGCTCCAGGCTCCGAGCTGTCAGCACAGAGCCTGACGCGGGGCTCGAACCCACGAACTGTGAGATCATGACCTGAGCCGAATTCGAACGCTTAACCGACTGAGCCACCCAGGCTCCCCATGCAGCTGGTACTTGAAATACTTTACATATTTTAACTTAATCCTCACTGCAACTCCCTGAGTTCTGTGTGAGGACCCTGTGCCCAGGGTCTGCAGCTCTGAGGAGCAGAGCCAAGCTCTAGCCCAGGTACCCGTCCAGGACGCCGTTACACTCTCAGAGCAAGGGGGGGCCGCTCGCCTCCCATCCGACGCTCCTGTGCCCTTTCTCCCCTTTCCACTTCTGTCTTGCTTTGAATATACATCCGAAGGTTGTGCTGTCACTACCGAGCGGCAGGGACTCCCCGCGCTACCTCAGAGGTGGCTGTGGTGGTGGCTGGGCGAGCGGCTCCTGTGTCACAGAGCAGAGCCTTCCCGCCAGGCGCACGGCCACCCAGCGCTTTATTCTCTTGCGCCCTCCTGTGGTCATGGGCTTGCTGACTGCTGTCCAGTGCCTCTAATAGAAGGTTCAAAGCCACCGTCCTTGGGCTAGTTATGCGGCCTTCCGGGACAAACCTCAGCATTCTTGTCTGTAACTGGGGGGTCCTTATCCTTGTCCCCATGTTGTCACAACACAGAGCCTGTCTTCAAGGGCTCTCAGCCCCGCCCGGGACTGTCCCTCGTGATTCGCTCCTTAAAGACAGAAGCACGGGGGCAGTGGAGCACAGAGGAAGGCCGGGTGGGGGTGGGGAAGATCAGGGAAGGCACCGCACAGCCCAGCCAGGTGACGATGAGCAGGCCTAGCAAGCAGGGGCAGGGGGTCGGGAGGGTGCTCCAGATGGAGGGCCCCGAGGGTGCAGAGGCCCGGCGGAGCTGAGAGCCAGGCGTGTGGGGCAGCCCGGCACCGGGAGGGGATGTGTGTGGACGAGGCTGGAGACAAGCCAGGCCTGGTCCCTGGAGCCTTGCGCGCCGAACCCTGGGGTTCGGACGTGGTTTGAAGGCAGCGGCTGGAAGGTTCGGGCCAGAGGACAGGGGAGCAGGTAGGAGGCGAGGGCCACAGGGCAGAGGTAGCCGGGGCCTGAGCTGGCCGTGGCCGTGACTGGGGCCAGCGGGAAGGAAATGGAGAGGCGGTCTGAGGAGGCACGATTGCAGGCGTGCAGAGGCTGACGCGGGGCTCTGCCCGGGCCGTGCTCGAAGGCGGTGGGGGGTAGGAGAGGGGGGAAGGCGTCCTTCCCTCGAGATGTGGGGCCTCCTGGACACGGCAGCACCCCTACCTCCCGCCCGCTTCCATGGGCCTCACGCTCATTCTGCAAGAGCAGCTAACCTCTGAAGCTTCCGCACCTACAGCGTCCTGACTGCCTCTGGTCCACACTTCCTGCCCTGGGGGAGTGTCTTTTCCAGGAATCCTGTCCTAAGTGATGCCACTGAGGTAGGCCATGGCCAGGCCCATTCCAGAGTCTGACCCCAGGGAGCCGCTTATAAAGTCAGACTTATTGAGTCTTACCTTTGAAGATCTCTTCAATCCCCACGTCTCAGGCTCTCTGAGGCTCGGAAGCCGAGGACCCCTGTAACCTTTATTATTCCTTCGCCTTTCTTTTCCAGGGCTGTGGAGGCCAGAGGCCCAACTGACTGGGGAGGGGTGGCCATCAGAAGGGTGGATTTTCCTCCTTGGCCATGGGCACGGACTGAATCTCTTTCCAGAACAGCCCTTTGGGGAGGGCTCCCTGTGTACTAAGTGCTTTCTGTATGTCACCCCATGTCGGCCTCTCCACGTCCCCAGAAGGGGTGATTTTGTCCACATCCAAGGAGCAGACACAGGAAGCTCAGAAAGAGAGCCGGGTGGCCCGCCTTCCATTCCCCGGGAAGTGTGGGCACTGGGTGGACGCAGTCAGAAGACCCGTGCACAGGGCACTGACCCAGGCTGTTTCCCTTCCCAGGACGCCCTGGAGAGAACAATGGGGCGGGCGCACATGGCAAAGACGATCGAGGCCCTGAAGCTGCAAATCCAGGAGGAGACCAGATGCCGTCTGGCGGCCTTGTCCCGCAGCCTGGAGCTGCTGGCCCTCGAGGGGAGGCTGTCCGCGCGGCAGAAGGAGGAGCTGCTCGCACAGCAGCACAAGGCCTTCTGGGGAGAGGCAGAGCGCTTCAGCAGGGGTGAGTGAGTGGTGGCCTGGTCTGGGGTGCAGCCTTCCCGGGCCTGGGAGCGAGGTGTGGGGGGCGGGCCTGGGGGATGGGGTGTGGGGGGGCTGGGCCTGGGAGAGGGGTGCTGGGACAGGCTTGGGGGATGGGGTGTGAGGGGGCCGGGCCTGGGAGGAGGGTGTGGGGGGCCGGACCTGGGAGGTGCCACCTGTTAGTGTCAGGAGATGTGGAGCAGCACCCACGATGGCCGTTGTGCCCCCGGGAATTGCATCTCGTAGTGTCTCTGAGCCTTGCTTGCCTTCGCCATAAGGCAGAGTTCGACACAGGCTGCCCCTGGGGCCAGGGACTGCCCTCTGCGTCTACTCCCCAGTGATCCGGGCTGACGGAGGCCCCAGCGTCATGCAGCAGAGGACAGAGGAGGTGGAAATACCAGAAAGGACATGCCACTCAGCTGCAGCCTGCAGCCCTATGCAAGGCACAGGGCCCTGCTCTGCAGGGCAGGTGCGGGCGGGCAGTGGCTGAGTGTGTAGGGCAGGAGAAGAAACCCGACGTGGCGGGGGCAAGCCCTGGGAGGCTCTCGGTCAGGGTTCAAGACACTGAGGGCATCCGAGACCCAGTCCAGGTCACATCATTAGAAAAATGGAAGCCATGTCTTTTGCCTGCAGGGCACAGGCTGCCCACGCCAGCTTCCCCAGGCTCTGGGCCAGGGTGGTTCCGTGATGGTCCAAGGCCGCGTGTTTGCCTGGGGCTATGAGAGCCAAGGGCCTCTCTGGTCTCAGGCAGGATGTCTGCGGGGCACGGAGCCTACATGCTTAACAGTTGCCCCCGCGGGTTTCCACGCCCGCACAGGGATGGCCACTGTCCGACCAGGGAGTGCGAGGTGTCTTGGTCAGCTCCGGCCGCCGTCACAAGATAGCGCAGACCAGGGGGCCACACAACAGACATTCCTTTCCTGCCAGTTCTGGAGACACTGAAGTCCAAGATCAGAGCGCCAGCCGCTTGGGTCTGAGAGACCACGCCCTGCTTGCAGACGGCCGCCTTCTCTCTGGGCCCCCAGATGGCAGAGAATGAGCTTTCCTGCACCTGTTCCTCTTCTCATTAAGCCCCCAGCCCCATGGGATTCGGACCCCAGCCTCGTGAACTCGTCTCAACTTAATTGCCTCCTCTAGGCCCCGTCTCCAAATGCAGTCACGTGTGTGTTAGGGCTTTAGTGTATCAATTTGGGGGACGCAGTTCCGTGTATAGCCAGCCAGTGACCTGGCTCTCTGTCCGCAGTGGTTCGCGCCCCCTCCACCAAGCCTGCCCGCTGCCTGGGGAGACTGGGGTCAGAGGGCAGGCCCTCAGTGCTGGGACCTCAGGACTCCAACCAGGCCATTCCACGAGGTCTTGTGTCACTCGGTGTCACGGCTTCTCTGCCCACGTGGAAGCCTGCTGTTGGCTCAGGCTCTGGATGTGTAGAATCTGAGCACGTCTGGCCTTGGGGGTCATCACACATACTGGCCCGGGCTCTCCCAGCAGGAAGAGGCCTCAGCAGCAGCAGCGAGCGGCAGGGACAGGACGCACAGCCCCCACTGATCAGGCTCTGTTGAACTTGGGCAAGACAGGGGGTCAAGGAGACCATCAGGAGGTAGAGGGAGGACCCTTGGGCAGAGGGAGGACTCTGGCCTTCCTGGACACCTAGTCACACACATTCTTTTCTTTGCTGCCAAAGGCTAGACGGATTCTCAGACAAAACCCAAGGAAGTGTGCCTGGGTTTCAAGTGTGGAAGGGGTGGGTGTGTGTGGGTGTGTGTGGGTGTGGGTGTGTGAAATGCTGAAGCAAACATCTCCAAGGACTGCAGACCCCTGGTAGCCGGACCCCCGTGAACTTCTCCAGCCTCTACACTCAACATCTCCCCCGTCTGGGGAGAAGGACTGGCTGACTTCTCTGTCTCCTCTCCCAGAAGCCTTCTCTGGGGTCCCACACTCCCCATTGCCCCTCACCCTTCTCACCCCACCGCCCCGCCCCTCATCCGCATGGCACTGTTTCTGGTGGGATGGCCCCGGCGCCCGTGCTGTGCCTGCCACACTGCTGGGCTGAGTGACCGGGGCGGGGCGGAGGGTGGACCCAGCCTCTCTCCCCCTGTAACCTCCGCACCAAGCAGAGACCTTGCCCTTGGGCTCACCCTCCCTCCTTGCGGCCCCAGCCCTCCCCGCCCCTCCCCCCAGGTCTGCAGATTTAATAACTCATCCTGGTTTTTGACCCAACTACAGCCTGAGATGTCACTGTCCCCCGGCAGACCCCGGCTCTCCTGTCCCACCCCTGTCCCTCCCCGCGTCACCCACCCCTCCCTCATTTTGCCCCAGGAAAATGCCTCTTCTTCATCCCCTGGTCGGGTCGGCCGGCCGCCCTGAACAACAGCTAAGCGAGGCCTTGTGTGGTGTCCTGAGCGCTGGGCCCGCGGGGAAGTGGCTCAAACAACGTGGGGCCGTGGGCTCTCTGCAGGGCCAGGAGCTCCTACCGCCGGCCACGTGTGCCTGAAACATAAAACTGCCGCTCCTCCTCAGTGCCAGGAGAGTCACCTACGTGTCCTGTGGCTTGTTTCCATTTCAGAGTTTGTCCGGCGAGGCAAAGACCTGGTCAAGGCGTCGCTGGCTCGCCGGGCAGAGGGGGCGGCGGAGCTCAGGCTGGCTCAACAAGAAGAGCAGCGGCGCTTCCTGGCCGAGGCACAGCTCACCTGCGACCCAGGCCAGTTCCTCCAGGTGAGCTGCTCCTGACTCTGCCCCTCCCCCACACCCACGGGCACAGCTGTCCCGGGAACGGCCACGCGGGTTGAGTGCTGTGGCTGGGTCCTCATGACCGTGCAAGGAAAGCCAGACACGCTGGCACGTGCCAGGCACTGGGTCAGCTTCTCGCCCCCAGACGTCAGCCCAGGGGCATTAGCACGTTCCAGGGGCACGGGGACCGTGCATGTGAGCCCAAGTCGGCAGGACCGGGGAGGTGGCCGAGCTAGAAAATGCCCTTGTGTTGACTCGGAAGGGGACCAGGAGACTCGCCAGACGGGAGATCAGAGGTCCCTGTCCTTGAGGACGAGGAAACGAGCTGGCCCGGCACAGGCTGGAACGACCCAGCTCCGCTCCTCAGGGAGACGAGGATCCTGCCTTTGCCTCGTTTCCCCCTAATGGGTGGGGGCGGGGTCTGCTTGTCCATCCTGCACGGTGGTCAAGCCATTGGGCACCAAGGCCGCCGGGAGGTGGGTTGGAATACTGACTCTGCTGCTCGGGGGCTGAGTGGGCTTGGGCACATTGCTCGCCCCCCAGCCCTCAGCTTCCTTATCTGCACAATGGGGTAATGGCACGTAGGTCCCACGAGACTGCGTGCCCGGGCCCTTCTGCTCTGCGTTGGCCTGTGGTGGACCTTGTCCTAGCGCTGCCAGGGGGGATCGAGGCACAGTGACCGGCATGATCACAGGCATGGGCGCCCCCCCTTGGGGGCAGCTTGGGGGCAGCAGCAGCTCCCCAGTGAGAAGCCAAGAGAGAAGACCCCTGAAAACAGAGGAGAGGCATTGAGGTCCCTTTAAGGTCCAGTCACCCCCTTCTCCAAGGAACCTCTTCCCAGGCCCCTCGCAGGTCATAAAGTGGGGTGCAGGCTGTTTCTGTCCTCAGGAAGATGTATCAGAAATAAGAGTGACAGGCTGTGGTTATACTGGCCCCTCCCCCAACGTCACATTGCACAAACCTGAGTGCGGAGAAGGAGAAGGGGGCGTGATGGGCGCTGCCAGGTCCTCCGTCCAGGTCAGGCACACGTTGGTGCTCAGGAGACGGGTACAGGAAGGACAGGCTGAACAGATGTGTAAAAGAACAGATGAACGAGCAAGTGAATGAGCAAATGGATAAATACGTGAATAAAGGGATGAATGAATGAATGAATGAATGAATGAATGCAGCTCTCACCCAGACCCAGTGCCCTCTCTTTTCTGGTCCCTGCCCTTCCCTGTCAGCCCACCTCCCTCTCTGCACCCCCACCAGGGCCAGACGGATTCTTACTGCCTGGTGCCAGCTGCGGCGGCTCCTGGAACCCCAATCGTGTGGGCTCCCCGTCTTCCCTCCAGGGAAACTTCCTTATCCTTAAAGACTCAGCTTACACGAGGAGTTTCCCCCGTGGACTCTGCGGGAACTCTGTCCCTCTGCAGCCGTGACCCGCCATGCCTCTCTGATTGTGTCTGGGACACCTAGTGCACACCCGTCTGCCCCATCTCCCTGCCCTCCTCCGGGCTCCTCAGGGCAGGGCCCAGCCATGTGGTCGGGGGCGCCTGGCTGGGCACTGACCACACTGACCTCTCATGACCTGTGTGCATCAGCCCTGCTGGGCAGCGGGCTGCACTGGGTGGTCTCCCAGGGCCTGGGTGCTGGTCCCCAGCGGCTCAGTCACAGAGTGATGCCTGGGCGGCTCATGGCCGGGAGATCGGGTTTGTGAACTGCAGCCATGTGATATCCCTGTCTGTGCCTCTGTTTCCATGTATATACATTTTTTGAAGTTTTTTAAAAATTTATTTGGGGGGGAGCAAGGGAGGGGCAGAGAGAGAGAGAGAATCCCAAGCAGGCTCTGCGCTGACAGCACAGAGCCCGACGTGGGGCTCGAACTCACGAACCTCGAGATCTTGACCTGAGCCGACATAAGTCAGGGATGGACGTTCCTCAGATCTGAGAGGCCGGGGTCCTTTGGGGAATTGTTCTAGGAAAAAAATCGGCATCTTCTTGTGGGGTTCAGCTCCCGTTTTACTCACAGGCTTTTCACGAAGTCCTGGAGAGGCAGAGGTTGACCCAGAGCTACCTGAACGAAGAGGAGGACGTCAGAACCACCGAGGCCGTGGCTGCTCTCTGCCAGGTACGTGGCCTCACGGTGGGACCTTCAGAGAACCCTCGGGATCTGCGTGTGCGTGGGAATCTCACATCCTCCAGGCCGGGGCCCCAAAGAAGCAGGTTCGGGTCCAGCCCTGCCCCTCTGGGTGGGCACACACCCGCCATGGGTCCCTCTCCACGTCACACACCAGGGTCCTGTCTGAGTCACCTTCCGTTTCTGTGGAGCTCAGGACTCTTACCTCCAAACGTCCTTAGAGGCAAAGGCAAAGGAAGTGAGTTCACCCAGGATGGAAAGCAGGCCGGCTTTTGTGGGTGTCGTCAGGGTAGAGCCGTGATGAGGAGAGAGCGCCAGCGCTGAGTGCCGGCACCCCCTCTTTCTCACTGGGCAACCTCATGCAGTTCCGGAGCGGGGAGGAGGAGGGAGCCCTGCTTGCCTGGAGGGCTGGCTTGGGGAGAAGAGGCGCACACCCCCGCCCTCCAGAGTGATGGGGGCTCCCTGGGATATGGTGATGACTGGGACACAGAGCGCCTGCCTTGGGCACACACCCAGTCAGAGCTGCTGGGAAGGTAGACATGTCGTCATGAAGGAAGGTGACAAGTGCCGTCGTGATGCTCAGCGCCTGAAGGGTCCACTCCAGACTCAGGGAGCCTGGGTCAGCGTCTTCACTCTTCTCCTTCCTCACTGGGTGGCCTCCACACTTTCCTGGGCCTCTCTAGTTCCCAGTTTCCCTGTCTGGGAAATGGGGAGAATGACAGCCCTTCTTCCGCAGAGTGGTGTGAGCACCTAATACAGGACAGGCCCTAGGCAGCTGCTGACATTCGGCCACGCCCCATACGGGCCACGCCCCATCCAGCTGGCTCCTGTACAGGGAGGAGGCACAACCGATGCCCTGGGGTTAAGGCCAGGTCAAAGACAGCTGTCTGCAGGAAGAGATGCATGGGCCAAGCTTTGAGGAGGGGACAGTCTCTGTGGACAGGGAGTTGGGGGAGGGTGGGGCATCCCAGGCCAAAAAAAATGCGTGGAGGTGGGAAGTGCAAACCCTCACCATGTGGCAGCCGTACTGGGTGAATAGTGTCTGTATTAGTCAGTTCAGCTGCTGTAACAAAGGGCGCCAGACAGGAGGGTGGGGAGGCTTAAACAGAGGACATTTATTTTCTTACCGTTCTGGAGATCAGAAGTCCAAGGTCAAGGTGATCTTGGGTTCTGGTGAGGGCCCTCTCCCTGGTTTGCAGATGGCCCCCCTTCTCCGTCTCCTCACTTGGCCTTTCCAATGTGCTCATGGCGAGGAAGAGCACTCCGGTGCCTTCCTTGTGTTAGGACACCAGCCCTGTCAGCTGAGGGCATCCCTTATGACCTCACTTAACCTGCCGTATCTCCTGAGGGCAGGTGCAGTTGCGTTGGGGTTAGAGCTTCAGTATTTGAATTTGGGGGACACTGCCCAACTCATAACAGCGTCTCCCCGAATTTCAAGTTTCCCTGCAACCCCAGAACGTGACCTTATTTGGAAATAGGGTCTTTGAATATGTAATTCATTAAGAATGAGGCCCCAGTGAATTAAGGGGGCCCTGAATCCGATGACTGGTGTCATCAAAAGGTCATGTGAAGATGGTGGTGCAGCTGGAGCGGGAAAGCCACGCATTCAGAGCACCGCTGGCCACCAGAGCTGGAGGAGGTGGGAAGTACCCTCCCAGAGAGCCTTTGTGGGGACCGCTGCCCTCATGACGCTGTGATCTCTGCCTTCCACCTTCACAACCGTGAGAGAATCCGTTTCTGTTGTGTAAAGCCACACGGTTTGTGGGATTTTGCCATGGCGGCCACAGAAAACCGATGGAGGAGCTGATCTTTGTTCCGGGCAGGCTACTGTCTTAAGTGCTTTCTGAGTATTTGATCGCTAAATCCGAAGGAGAACCCTGTGTTGTGAAAACTGCATTTTCCTTCCTACACAGATGAGAAGCTGGGAAGAGTTTTCTGGAGAAACGTGCAGGGTGGGATTCAATTAGTCAAAGTTCCGGACCCCCCACCCCACCCCCGCCCAGGCAGGTAATGAACAACCTTGTCAGGACTCAGAACTCTGAGCGGAGAGTGAGAAAGCTGAGTTCCAGTCCCGCCCTGGATCCTACCAATGCTGTGTGACTTGCACTGGTTACATAACCTCTCTGTGCTGGCCCAACCATCCTGCTCAAGATCAGAGTCAGCAAGTAGTGAAGACGGGATTTAAAATAAGCCTTTCTACCTTCAGTGCTGATGTTCTTGCCAGAACCGTGTCACTCCGAGTGGGCTGTGTGGTTGTGACATCTTGGCCGAGTTGCCAGACGGCCTGGGTTTTAATCCCAGCCAGGCTGTTCACCAGTTACAGGATCAGAAGCAGCTTACCAAATGTGTGCCTTGATTTCCTCCATCTTAACGACCTTCTGATGCAGCAGAGTTTAAGAACCGCTGTCTTGGAAGGGGGTGGGGTGGTCCAGTGACCTAACACTCATGGGCAGATGTTCTGAATGCCCCGCCCTGTGGCCCCTGCGCCACCGCCCACCCCCAGCAGGCTGACACTTCCTCTCATGTTCTGTGATGATCCTTCTGGCTTCTGTGCAGGGAAGGCGCTGTGAAGGGCAAAGGTGGAGGCAGGGACCTGGGGAGGCACGGCAGCGGTCCTGGCTGGAGACGGCAGGGGACCTGCGCCGGGATGGCAGTGGTGGGGGCGGCAAGAAGTATGGGATCCGGGTCTGTTTGGATGGTCAGCATCTCATCTCCTATGTTCCAATGGGAATAATAAGCTTTCCTCATAGGACTATCCATCCAGAGGCTAAATGAGCTCACACATATGTTGGGCACATAGTGAGCACTCAGTCCGTTATCGTGACCCCGGTCATCATTACTGCCTGCCTGGGAGGCTGTGTGCACAGAACATAGGCAGGCGACGACTTGCCTTGTGGCCTGGCTGGCTCGTCCACAGACCCAGGCACCGGGAGCCGTCGTCTGCCCCCCTCTTTGGGCAGGACGCCAATCATGATGTCGTGGGCACGGAGGCTGTGAGATAAATTCGATGACCACCTAAGGGTTCTCAGGCTGCAGAGAAAAGTGCATTTTTCTGAATTCCCACCATCTCCTGGCCTTTAAACAAATGGTAAATTCTCAGTGAGATTGAGACAGCGCTGCCAAATTACACATCTCGGTGCTTCATGAAGAGACTGCTGGCATGAGCCCAGAGTTGTCCTGGTGGTGACGGGCACACGGCTGGGCTCCACCGTCCCCTCCCAGGGAGCCGCGTAGACCTGTGTGTTGAGTTGGATCACGCCGCGGACTGTCCCAGCTGTGTCTGCTGAGGAGTCTCAGCTCCTGATTCTCACTGCAAGAGTCAGGGCTGAAGAAAATAAAAGCAAAAATGAAACTGTCCTGAAAGAAAGCAGCAATCATAATTATAGGCACCCAGGGAGCATTTGGGAGTAATCCCCAGACACCCTCATGCCTGATACCACGTGCAAGTTTGGGGGTCCCCAAGACGACCCTCAGGTCTAGAAGGATTCCATGGAAAGCTATTCCACCCACAGTTACGGTTTATTTCAACACGAGCATACAGAGTACAGTCAGCACACGGGGCAGAGTCTGGGGCTCCAATCCCGAACCTTCCAAGTGTCCTTTCCCACCGAGCGTGGACGGCACTAACTCCTCGCGGCAGAGACATGCAGCGTCACACACACATCATGGGGCCAGCCACAGAAGCCCGCCCGAGCCGTGGCCCGCAGTGTTCACTGGGGCTCAGCCATGTGGACCTTCTTGATCTGAAGCCCCAGTCCTGCTGGAGGATACACTGATACCACGTAGCCAGCTCTTTGCTTTAAAGTCTAGGAGTGGCTTTTAATTTCTGCTATAATGAGCATCAGTACTTTCAAGTCCACATCCTGTAATTATGCTCCTGGGAGAAGCTGAGGGCTTGTTTTTGGTGTCTGTTGTCTGTTGGGTCTGTAGTGATGTTGTTTTGTCTCATGTGCCTGTTTATTTTTTTATTCTATGCCTTATTCCAAATGTGTACATTTATTTGTGAAAGCAGGCGTACAGTCATGTCCTGTAAAGAGGAGTTGCAGTTGTTTAAACTGGTCAGAGCCTGTTTCCTTCCATTGCATTCATGGTGAAGCTTTTTGGGTTCTGACACTGAGCATGGAATGATTTACCGGGCCCACCCTTGGGGAGCCACGAGCTTCACCTTCCATCCCTTTTGAGCTGGTGGCCGTCGGAAGTCCCATCAGCTGCTCAGCTGTCTCCCCGCCATGGACCCACTCCCCATGGCTGAGCACAGCCCCAGAGCTGGGCATGCTTCTCCGTGCCTTTTCCCCGACCTCCGTCCATGCTCTTCTCAATGCCTTGTTGGCTCTTGGGACTTTCATGATCATTTAATCAGCATTTGGTCCAGCTTTGTTTTTCATTCATTCTCATGGGTGGATTGGTCCAAATGACCCGGCCATCCATTATCGGTAGGCTCTCTAAATCTTCGAAGAGATGTGGGCCGCTTATTCCCCATCACTATCACTTGACTCTGAACAAACTGCAGCTTGGCTATGAGCTCCTTAAGGCAGGACATCCATTGGGTTTAATTAACATCGACTTCAATTCAATTTAACTTGTGTTCATTGAACGCCCCACGTATGAGCTGGGTGCCCCCTTCTAGGTGCTGAGAGTATGTTTATTTTTCTTGAAAAAAAAAAAGTAATGCTATCCTTGTAGCATCCTGGTTATGAGCATGAGTCCAATAATCCGATGGCCAGGGCCCACTGTCTGCAAACCACATCCGGTTCCTTTCCTGATCAGTGCCTTGGTTTCCTCATCTGTGAAATAATGGTAGTTATAATAGAACACCATCATCGCACTGTTACAAGATTGAATGAGATTATACAAGAAGAGTGTTCATGGCCTCCTCTGGTACATAGGGTAGGAATTCATAATTATTACCAGTTCTATTTTACCTGCTGTTGGCCAGGTGCTGTGTCAGACCCTGCAGATGCTTAGGTAGTAAGATAAGACTTTGTTAAGGAACTTCCTGGGCTCGTCTTTGAGAAGGACAATGACATAGCCAGTGACCACAAAGGGTGGCGGGGCCAGAGGGGTAGCTGCAAAGTAAAGGCTCCTTTTTGGTGCCCCCAGATCACTCTCAGGTTTGACCATTCGCTGGGAGGACTTGCGAGAACTCAGCACAGAGCCTCACGTATGCTAATACTTCTGTGAAAGCCTTCAAAGCAGAATCGTCAAAAGGAGCAGGTGCATGGGGTGAGCGTAGTCCAGAAGGAACTGAGAGCAGGCTTCCAGAATCCTCTCCAGGGGAGCTGTGTGTGATTCCGCCCCTGCGGTGTGACAGCCTGTGTGAAGTGGTGTCACCGGGGACTCTCTCCTGAGCTTAGGAGCCCAAAGATGTTGTCGCGGGATCAGTCACACGGGGTACTCTTTGCTTGGCATGCACCGAGGTCCCAGACCCCCAGAAGGAAGGAGGTGTTCAGCCTAAGTCACACTGCGTCCAATCCAACCCTGCAGTCACGAGGGCCTTCCCAGGAGCGGAGACCCCTAATTGACTTTTGGGACATGTGTGGGGAGCGCCTAGACAGAGATGGGCAGAGTGGACATTCGACATCACATCCATGTGTGATACATTCAGGAACTGAACCCAGGTGTTTGGTCCAGGAGGGTGCAAGATGTGGGTGCAGATACGACTGTCACGTGGCCTCCACTCTCAGAGAACTGTGGTTTGGGGGAGCGGTGACAAATAAATTGCAGTTTCAGTGGCCTGGGGCAGCTGACCACAGAGCTGTGGGAACCTGGGGTCAGAGATAGCCATGTTAGTCTGAACCACCCAGGGAACGCTTCACAGAGAAGGGATTCTTTTGCTGGGGTTTTGCAGGATGAAGAGGAGTCCACTCCAGGTATGAAGGTGTCTGGATTCGGGACAAGGGAAGTGGCTTGAAAAAACCCTTTGTGTAATGAAACATGCCACAAGGTGTCACTTATGTGGATAACTCACATAAAAGTCACATTTATGGACATGATATTTAGGGAGGGTGTAGACAGCCAAGCTGGAAAGAGAGATGTTGCGGTCATGGTGATGGCTATCTCTGAGGATGCTGGGAGGGAGGGGAAAGAACCCCAGGAGGAGCATGAAGCATTCCAATTTCACCTGTAAATTTTAGTGTTTTTAATCTACAAAAAAAAAAAAAAAAAAGATCTGAGTGGCGGGATTACAGGTGTTTAATATATTATTATACATGCGGTTTTTTGTTTCTTTGTTTTCCCCAATTTAAAGAAATACGTTGTCGGGAAAAGCCTGGAGCGGCCAAGGTGGGCCGAAGGGAACAGAAGGGTGGGAAGTGAGCAGGACTTGCCGGCAGCCCCGCTGAGTGGCCCTGACAGTGACCGGGAGAGAGGAGTTCCGGGTTATTTGAGCTGGAATTACAATAAGATCTGTGGTTTATGCAAATAACCGGCCTAAGTGTGGAGGGTGGAGGGAGGCGGAGAGGCCAGAGGTGGTAAAAATAATCTGGAGGCAGGTTTCGAGGGGTCACCAGAGAGTCAGGGCCTGTGGGTCAGCGGGCAGGACTGGGTGGGGGTGAAAGGGCTGGAAGACAGCAGGCACATCCCGTGTGTGTGTGTGTGTGTGTGTGTGTGTGTGTGTGTGTGTGTGTGATTTGAGAGCTCCCTCCGCTGGGCTTGCTGTGTCTTGCGGGAGGCCCACAGCCCTGCCCAGGGTGAGACCGTGACTTGTAACTCCGTCGTGTGGCTCTCGGCTTCAGGAGCTGTACCAGAGCACCATGGAAATGTTCCAGAAGCTTGTGGACATCCTGTTCCTTCAGACGCTCCCGGGCATGACCGGCTTGTCCCAGGCAGAGTGTGAGAACTTGAGGCAGGAGGTCCAGGAGAACGCAGCCTGGCAGCTGGGGAAGTCCGATCGCTTCCGGAAACAGCAGTGGGAACTTTTCCAAGATCTCCTGGAGCAAGACAAGCAGGTGCGTGTTCTCTCAAACCAGGTCTGGGGTCTGCATTTTTTGCACTTTGGAAGAATAGGGAGGGATTTCATTCACGGAGCATCCCCTAGTCCTGTGCTGGGCACGTTACCAAGGTTGTGCTTGCCAGCCCTTGGCCGCCAGGGTGCGCCAGAGAAGAGAGCAGAGGCTGGGAAGTGAGAAGAGAACGTCTCCAGCTGCTCCACCAGGAAAGGACAGCGATGTCTGTGCTTTAGAACGACCAAAGGCCAAAAGGTGGCTCATAGGGGAGTGGACTTGGCCGTGGGGGGAGGGTGCTGCACACGTGGAATTTCTGCTTTTCCGAGCAAGTCCGTGTCATTATTAAAACCACGTATAAATGCGGTAGATAGAATAATGGCCCTCGGAGATGTCCACACCCTAATCCTGAGAACCAGTGGACACGCCACCTAACACGGCAGAAGGGACCTTGCTGATGTGATGATATTAAGGGTGTTGGACTGGAGACCGCTTGGAGTCACCGCATGTCCCCAGTGTAATCACAGGGTCCTTGGAAAAGGGAAGGAGGAGGGTCAGAGTCAGAGAACGAAAAGTGATGACCTGAGCAGCGGCCGGCAGGATGTGACCACACACCAAGGGATGCAGGCACCTCTGGAGGCTGGAAAAGACTGAGTGCAGATCCCCCACCCCACCCCCCAGAGCCTCCAGAACTGTACGATCATGAGTCTGTGTTGTTTTAAACCACAGAATTTGTGACAATGTGTTACGGCAGCAGTGGGAAGCTAATATACGTTAATTTTATTAAGAGCAACTCTAATGTGTCGAATAAAGGAGGAATTTCCAAATGTGACAGACACTCTGACACCTGCATGTCCTTTCTCTCTCTTGCCTTCCGCACTCTAGAGGCTATAAAACTCACGTGGCCAATATCCCAGAATCTAGCAGTGGCCGAGTCACACAGTCCTGGCTTCAGAGTGTGGTCCCTGCAAAGAGCTTCTCTTTCCTGATACCTAATACAAAAGCCAAGTGTTGCTCGGAGAAGTCCCCTTCTTAAGGACTCCCTGTTCTTCCTGCCCAGAGCGTGTGCAGGAGGCCTGGAAAGGCCTCCTTCCTTTGACTCGGAGGCAGGAGAATGGAGGCTGACGTGCTCAGGATGGTAGGGACAGAGAGAAACAACCCCACGATGGGTGTCCAATGACACCCATCATCACAAAAGAGCACTGGACTGATGAATGGAACAGATTTTCCAAAGCAGCTAACGGGAGCTGTCCAAAGTACCAAGTGACTAAATGGAAGCATCGCGCAAGCACATGGCCACTCACAGCCACGGGGCGGCACAGGACATAGTTTCCTTCTAATTTATCTCAGTCCTCTGTCAGCTACATCATGCTTTCCTTTCATGGTAACTGTCTCCTGCCTTTGGCTCTAAGGTCCTGGAGGACAGCAACACTGCTTTTCACTTTTACCCGTTTGGAAACCCAGGGGCTGGGACACAGCAAGGGCTCAGGAAAACTTTGCTGCCTTACCAACTACAATGCAGCTTTGGAAATTAGCACAGGGAATTACCTCCCTTCACCTTCAGTGAATCTGGATCGTTGGATTCAGCCCAGGCCACATCATTTACAGTCTCTGGGGAGGGATGGGGACAAGTCGCCAGCTGAGTCTAATGCGCCCCTGATGGAGGCTCCCTAAATGTGGACGGGCTCCTCACCTTGGAGGCTGGATGCATGGATTTGAGTCAGCGCAACCCGTTAATGGGTTGACCTTGGCTGGTTAGCTGACTCCTCACGGCTCTGGGATTTTGCACAACTTGCTAAATGTCTCAGAATCTCTGCATCTGTGTGAAAAATAGGGATCAAAACACCCAATAGGGCTGCTGTGAGATAATGCAAGGTAAGACCTTTCACACAGCATCTGTTTCATCACTTAATGATATTGACATTGAAAAAAGATTCAGAATTTCATTTACAATAAATTATTAGACCAACACCCACAATGCATCTGAAACCCTCTGGTTATGAGTCTTTAGTTATTTTAAGCAAATTGCAGACAATGCACCGCTTCTGGTTATTAATTCCTATGTATTTACTCTGTGAGTATATGTGTGCATGTGAATTTTCCCTGCCTTGCGTAGCAGTGTTTCAGGAGTTTTAGATGCAAGAAGAGAGCAGGATAGTTAATGACTTCATCAACTGATTGAATAAATATGACCCAAGACCGTTTTCTCAACGTGTATATGTCATGGTTAATTTACTGATTGGTTGTTTAATTGCAGTAAATTTCCACAAGATACTTAGAGGTCCGTGTGCTCTCTCACTTACCACATTTCCTCCTTGATGATAATAGTGACAGATGAGCTTTCTGTGATTCAGATGAATATTTAGTCATAAGAAGAAAAGTACCAACAAACTATCTGTGGAAACTGAAACACACACCCAGACTGTGAAATTGTCTTCTACCCAAAGGGCCTTGGTAATTTCATATCTTGTTACTCAGGGAAGTTGTTAAATATTATGGAGTCTGTTGATTACCCAATTGGAACAGGTTGTAGAATGGTGGTTCTCAAAATGTAATCTGTTCTAATGTCGGGTTCCTGGGCTTCTCCTCAAACCACTGTGTGAGGTCCCCCCTCCCCAGAGAAGCCTCCATCTTAATTCCCAGCAGCTGTGATCATGTGACCTCAGAGGCAAGAGGTACTTTGCAGATGTGATTAAGTTCAGGATCTTGAGATGGGAAGATTCTTCTGGACTATCTAGATGGACCCAGTATAATTATCTGGGTCCTTACAAGTGACGGGGTGGGGGGGGGGTGCAGGAGAGTCAGAGAGGTGTGGTTGGCTCGAGAAAGGCTCAGCCAGCCATCACTGGACTGAGGATGGAGGAAGTAGCTACTTGTCAAGGAATGCAGGTGGTCCATGGCAGCTGGAAAGGGCAGGGAAATGGATGTTGCCCTAGAGCTTCCAAAAGGCATGGAAGCCTGCTGATGCCTTGGTTTTAGACCCTTGAGCCCCATGTTGGTCTTCTGGCCTCCAGAAGTATAACATAATGAGTTTGTGCTGTTTCAGGCTACTAAGTTTGCGGACCAAACAGCAGAAGTAGGAGGGTAATAGACCACTACGTAGGAGTTCGCACCTTTGACAAGGAAGATGGTGGCTGGCGTGCTCCATAGCACTTACCAGTGTAAGGGACACTGCGCTCACTCTCTCCTGCACCCTCTCTATCCCACTCCTGGTGGGTTTCCATCACCTGGCCCCACACCTGCCCCCACCTGTGCTGAGCTCTCAGCTGCAGCACTAGGGCTCCATCCAGGATCTCTCCCACTTCCCGTATCAAGAGCTCCCATTCTCTGAAGTTGGGCTCGCCCTTCCTCCTTGGCTCACTCTCTTCTGCTACCTCAGTGGTGGCTCTGCCTCAGTCTCCTCCTCTGATTCCTTCTCATCTTCACAGTGTCTGACCCCTGGAGCACCCAGGATGCCTCCTCTCAAACTGCACACTCTCTCTTGGTAACCCATCCAGTCACACAGTGTCTGCCCTGGTTTTCTGATACTGCATAACAAGTAACCACCAAGACAGCAGCTTAAAGCAACACCATTCATTCTCTCACAGTTTCTGTGAGTCAGGAGTCCAGACACGGCTTCACTGGGTCCCCTGCTTGGGCTCTCACAGCTGCAATCAAGGCTGTGGCTGGAGTCTCATCCGGAGGCTCGTCTGGAAGAGAATCGTATCCAAGCTCACTCACGCAGTGCTCGGCAGGATTCTGTACCTCACGGTTGTCAGACTGAGGCCAGCAACTCCCTGGTTTATGTCTCCAGCTCAGAGTGTGTCCTGACCCAGGTCTCTGCCTGAGGTCTCTGTGCATGTGATTAGTAGGCATGTACCTGTTACGTGCCCAAGAACTGCTAGTCTTCCTGCCCAACCTGCTCCATCCACACTCTTCCTCCATCCACACTCGTCTTCCATCCATACTCTTCCTCCACCCATACTCTTCCTCCATCCACACTCATCTTCCATCCTTCCTCCACCCACACTCTTCATCCATACTCTTCCTCCATCCACACTCATCTTCCATCCTTCCTCCATCCACACTCTTCCTCCATCCACAGTCTGCGTCCATCCATACTCTTCCTCCATCCACACTTCCTCCACCCACACACTTCCTCCATCCACACTCTTCCTCCATCCATACTCTTCCTCCGTCCACACTCTTCCTCCATCCATAGTCTTCCTCCATCCACACACTTCCTCCATCCTTTCTCCATCCACACTCATCTTCCATCCATCTTTCCTCCATCCATACTTGTCCTCCACCTTCCTTCATCCTTCCAGTCAACTGGACCAAGACCCTTGGGGTTGTCTTGACTCACCCTTCTTTAGCACCCACATCCAGTGGACAGAATTCGCACGACTGCCTAGTCCGGAGTGGAACCACTTTCACCACCTCTGCTCTCGCACCTGGTCACAGCCACCACACCTCTTGTCAGATCACCGAGACGGCCAGTCCCCTGGTCCCCCGAAACCACCTTACCCTGCTGTGAAGTATTCTCAACCTGCAGCCAGAGTGATACTTTAAAAACATACCACATGACGCTAATTTTTAAGATGCACATTTTAAACATATTTTCACAGCCTGGAAGTTGAGATGCATCATAATTTAATTGGCAGTGATTTTTCTCCCTTAGCAACACTTAAAATGATTGTGCATCTTATAACCTCCAGCACATCAGATTTGCTAAAAGACGCTGTCACACTGTGTCACTTCTGTGCTCCAAACTCCTAGTAGCTTCTCATTTCGTGCAGTGCAAAGCCAGTGTCCTCACAGTGACCTATGAGGCCCTACATGTTAGGACCTGGCTTTCCTGTGACCTCATTTCTCCTCCCGACTCATGTGCTCTGGCCACACTGGCGTCCCTGTGCTTCCCCAGCTGAGGGGCATGCTCTTGCCTGGCTCCGTCTGCAGGGAGTCTTTGCTCGCATGTCACCCTCACACGAGGCCACCCTCACAATGAGACCTACTCTGACTCTGCTTTTTAAAACGGCAATGCCCCCCTCCCTCTGCACTGCATCATTTGCCTGAGGTGCTGGCTTTAGAATCCCCACCCCCACCCCCTGCCTGTAAGCCCACCCTGTTTGTGGGAGGACACTACAAAACCCTTAGCATGTACTGGGCATGCCCTGACTGCTGGCTCCTTTCCCCTTTCTCTCCTTAGTGAATAAACGTTTGAAACAGAGAGTAAACTTGTCCAAAGCCACACAATTACCTGTAGCAATGACAAAGGTCAGCACTCTAGCCCACAGCGATGGCGTGTTGCTTCTGAACATGAGCATTTGCAAGCCAGCATTTGACAGCATTGGAGACGTTGGTGGGCACCAACCATGTAGGCTGAGGCCCTCAGTCCCCTCTGTTTGAGTCCTGACGCTGGTTTTACCTGCGTTCCGAAGTCCATGTATACTTTAGTGATGATGTTGACTTCCCTTTTAGAGAATCAAGGCTGTGTAGAATTTTCTACAAAGTTCTAGCTCACTAAGCCGTTTGACAGGCTTTTGTAGGCTCCTTCAGACTGACTTGAACGCAAAGTTCTGGGTCACCCAGGGTGATTTCGTGAGACTAAATGTAGGTGCCGTGAGTCCCAGCACCCAGCTCTGAAGCCAAGCTGCCATGCTCAGGTGACGGCCCCTGTGTTTCACCACCAGTGGCCTGCGCCATCTGCAGGATCTCCTCTGGGAAGGACAGTGGAGGACACATGGGGGACTGTGCCTCCACGATCTCACTGTACCATGGTCTCACTGAGCTAGTGCACACCTGCCCTGGGAAACGAGGTGGTCAGGGAGGAGCCTGTGGAGCTGGGGGGACCTGAGACTTGGAGATGCACACTTAGATCTGAGTCCCCATCCCACCCTTCTGTTGATTAGCTGTGTGGCCTTGGACCACACAGGGTCTTTACAGGTAAAGCCACACTAAGGATGAGCTAATGTCCAAGGTTACAAAACACACAGGTGCGATCCATTGTGAGTGCAAGTCAACACACAGAACAAGCACCAGGTTTTGACCATGACAAGCACCAAGAAACTCAGACAAAGGGACCATTAGAGGCACTTGTAAAGGACGTATGTTTAAAACAATAAAAGAAACCTTAACAGATGGTTATACTAGCCCTGGAAACAGGACATAGTGAAAAAAGACAACAGATTAAAAACAAAACATAGACTTTGATGAATGAAAATTCTAATGATGGAAGCAGAAATCCAACAGATGAGCTAGTTAGTGAAACGGCAGATTGAACAAGGCTGACAGGGCAGGGTGTGAACTTGAGAAGATGGATGTGAGAGTGGTCCAGAATGCAGGGCAGAGAGGGGACATAGCACGGGGGGGGCTGAGGGACGTGGGCCACAGAATGACAGTGTCCTACAGGAGCTTTCTCACGGGACCCTAGAAAGAGAGGATGGAGAGAATGAAGGAAAGGAAATACTCAAAGTGACAGGGGATCAGAGACTTCCAGAATTGCAAGTCTCTTCAGAATAAAAGCTGTAGGATCCCTAAAAATATATCTGACCAATGTGTATAAAAGCTTAATGGAGAAGTTTATAAAATGTCATTGGAAGCATAAAGTAAGACTGAGAAGAAATGCTGTGTTCTTGAATGGGAAAACTTGATCTTGGAAAGATGATGATCCTCTCCAAATTAATCTATAAATACAGTCCAACTACAACAAAATCCAAAAAGCTTGTTTTCCCAAACTTGACACACCGATGCTAAAATTCATATGAGAGGGAAAGCAACCAAGAATAGCTAAGACAGTTTTGTGTAAGAGAATATGGGAGGACTTGCCTAGCTATGAAGTCTTGCTATGAGCAACAGCAATTAAAGCAGTGTGGTATTGATGCGGAAATAAAGATAGAATAAAACAGAGAGCCTGGAATGACATTTGTCTGTAGACGGAAACTAAGACAAGGTGGCATGACAGAACAGTGATAAAAAGGCAAATTATCTAATAAATGGTGCTGAGACAATTAGCATCCATTTATGCAAGGGAAAAAATAGATCCTTTCTTCCAACCGCAGAAAATGAATGTTAAATGGTTTAAGATTAAATGCAAATAAGAAACTTTAAAAATCTCTAGAAGGAACTGTAAGAGGAATCTTTAATGAAGTCAGGGGAGAAAAGGATCTTTTAAACAAGACACAAAAAGGGATGTTCCAACAAAGCAGGGAGGGGCGAAGCGATCATGAGTTGACCCCGGTTCCTCTGTGCTGGGTTTAGATGTGGATGGAGGAGCATACCCTGTCCACCATGCTGCAGATGCACCTGCGAGACGACCACCAGAGCATCATCCATCAAGTCTTGGGCCGACTCGGTGGCCTCAGTGAAGAGTGAGTACAGCTTTCTGCAGGGTGGGGTTCTATGTCCTGTGTGATCTCCATGCTAGCCACAGTATTCTCATCTGTAAAGTAGACACATTCACTGTCCTCTGCCATTTTTACAGTGTGGTTTTGAGACCAACCAAATTGTAAATGTGAACATAGAAGAGAGTGATAGGGTGCCATGGATAAAGGTGTGGACTCAGAATTTGGGGGCGCAAATGACTTACCATTTCTTACCCTCAATTTCCTCACCTATAAAATTGGCTAATCATGGGGTACCTGGGTGGCTTAGTCGGTTAAGCGTCCGACTTTCGCTTGGGTCATGATCTCGCGGTTTGTGGGTTTGAGCCCCGCGTCGGGCTCTGTGCTGACTGCCAGCTCAGAGCCTGGAGCCTGTTTCAGTCTGTGACTCCCTCTCTCTCTGACCTTCCTCTGCTCACACTGTCTCTCTCTCTCTCCTAGAAATAAATAAAACATTAAAAAAAATTGGCTAATCACACCTACTTCATAGAGCTGTCTTTGATAGGAACTTCTTAAACACTTTTTTGGAGGTGTAAAATACATACATTATTTTAATTGTGCAATTCAGTGATTTTTGGTAAATTGACAGAGTTCTGCACCAATGACCATCATCCAAATTTAGAACGTTTCTATCACTTAAAAAGACCCCTTTGTGCCCATTTTCCATCACTCTCATTAATAAATCTATATTCTTGTCTATTTTTCTATTAATGTAGTACCATATTTTCAACTTACTCTGAAATATTTCTTTTTCCTTGTTTTATATGAGAATAATTACTTTGATAAAACTATTTTTCTAGTTGCCAGCCTTTTCCAGAAGTAGGGAGATAGCTATCATATTGGATAATACAGGGGAAGGACATGACAACCACCAGGGAAATACTGTGAGCCTAAGATAATAGGGAGAAGTTGCAAGATTTGTCCAGCCAAAAAATTTACATCTTTTAAGTGTACTAATATTCGGTCCGTTTCTATTTAGTGTACATCTTAATGCTGATATATTTGGATTTTTAATCTATTGTCTTACTGTTTATTTTATGTTTTTTCTCCCTGCTCTATATTCCTTCTCTCTCTTTTCTTGCCTTTTCTTGGATTAGGTGTATTACTAGGTGTATCATTTATTATTTTAACCTATCTCTCTTTTGGCATGTTAGTTATGTATTCTTTTACTGTGCCTTTAATGGTTAAACATTTTTAAATTTTTTCTGTGTCAAAATCTGATGTACATTAATGTATTCCTTCTTCCAGGCAGTGTGACACCCTACAATACCTTAATTCCATTTATTCTTAAACTTTTGCTGTGTCAAAATCTGATGTACATTAATATATTCCTTCTTCCGGGTAGTGTGACACCTTAGAATACCTTGATTCCATTTATTCCTCCCTCATAAATTATGCTTTTCTTAGTTGGTATGTTACTGCTCTATCTATTTTCAACCCCATGAGATATTATAGTTATTGTTTTATGCAGTCAGTGTATATTAGATTTGCTCACATATTTACCCTTTCAGTTGCTCTTGATTCATTCCTGTACCTTTATTTCAGATCTACTAGTGACAAATTCCCTTGGGTTTTGTTTGTCTGAAAAGGTCTATCTCATCTTCTTTTTGAGGAATATATTCAGTGGGTATAGAATCTTGTTTGGTTGTTTGTTTTTAAATATTTTTAAAGATAATCTTTTGTCTTCTGATTTCAATTATTTCTGGCTGCTTTTAAGATTTTATTTTGTTCTTTGGTTTTCATCAATTTATTATGATATAATTAATATGCATGTGGGTTTTCTGGCCATTTCTTGTTTATTTGTGTAATGAATCTATAGTGCTTCTTGAATCTTCTCTGATTTGCTATCTTTCATCTGTTTTTGAAAATTCTCAGCCATTATATCTTTTAACATTCCTTTTGCCTGTGTTTTTCCTACTTTTCTGGGGCTCCAACTATACATTTTATTAGAACTTGTCACCTTATGTCACATACGTCTTACATATTACCCTTTATTTTTCATTCTTTTGTTCTCTGTGGTTCAGTCTAGACACTTATTTTGCACTATCTTCCCATCCATACTCTCTTATCTCTTATCTGCTGTTAAATTCATCTACTGTTCTTAAGGTTGGTGCTGAGAACCAACTTTCAGTTCTAGAATTTCCATTGGATTCTTTTCATAGTTTCAGTTGCCTCTCAAAACTCTTCATCTTATCCTTTAATTTATTTAACAGATTCATGATAATTATAGAAGTTTTGTCTGATTATCCCAACAGCCAGTATCTTTTGAGTATGTTTCTATTGTCTGTTTTTTCTATTTTTGGTGAGTTCTTATCATTTGCAAGTCTAATAATTTTTATTGAATGCTAGATACTATAGCTGAAAATTTAAGATTTTGATAATTTAAGATGATCTTGATAATTTAAGAGAAAATGTAAGCTTTTGAATGATGGATCTTCCTCCAGCGAGGGTTTATCTTACTTCTAGCAGGGATTTCACAAAGTGGCAGATTCGCTGCCCCATTTCTGAAGTTAGCTAACTCAAAATTAAGCCTCTGTGAGCGATGCTTCCTTAATCTTAGGACAAGAGCCCCCAGCTGGAAGCCTGGCATGTTCGCCTGGTCTCTCCTCCTTGGCAGGCTGACTGCCTCCACTCCGTTCAGCTTTTCAGGCTCTCAGCAAATAGCAAATGCTGGGCTTCCCTGGTAGACCATCGTCTTTCACTTGTCGTTGAGATGGGAACTCGAAAGGAGCCCCCGATTTCAGTTTGGGGTGTGTTGGTTTTGAAAGTTATGTAAGAAATTCCAAGCGGCTGTGTACGGAAGAAAGCTGCATAAAATGCATCAGAAACTTGGGGCAGGATGTGATAAAGTGGAAGAGATGAATAAAAGAACAAAGGGCTGAATATAGATGAGTACCCGTGCCTAGCAGAGGACAGCATGATGCTTTGCCGCCTTTCTGGGTACCTCAGTGTATTAGAGTCATCCAGACACAGGACCAACCAGAGAAATCTCTGTAGACTGAGGTCCCAAGATCTGCAGTGGGCAAGCTGGAGACCTGGGAGTGACCATGGTGTATTTCCAGTCCTGAATCTGAAGGTTTGATACCCCGGAAGGGCTGGTATCTCAGTTCAAGTCCAAAGGCAGGGGGAAAAAACCCAAACACATGTTCCAGCCAATGCAGACCATGGAAGGGTCACCTTTTCTTATCATCAGAACTCCCACTGATTGGACGAGGCCCACCCACATTAGGAAGGGTGGTCTGCTTTACTCAGCCCGCTGCCCCAAATGCTCATCTTACCCGGAAACACCCAGAATAACATTTGACTGGGTGTCCGGGCACCTCGTGAACATTCCAGCTGACAGAGTTGACGGTCACCCTGGGGGAAGCCAGCGGCACTGACTCCCGGCCCCCTGCCCGATGTCCTCAAAGGTCCACGTGCTGCATCCTGCAGGCGCACGACTTGCTCCTGCGCTCGGCCCTGCGGAGGCTGGCCCTGCGGGGCAGCGCCCTCACCGCCCTGACCCACATGAGACTCTCCGGGAAGAAGGGCCTCCTCCAGGAGCTGCGTGAGCAGCACGCCCTTGAGCAGGGCTCCTCCCCGTGTCTGGAGGAGCACCAGTGGCAGCTGCTGAGAGCCTTGGTAAGATGGGCGCGCCGGCCCCTCCCCCTCCCCGTGCCGTGTTTGCCGGAAAATCCTGCCACACCTGTCGTTGTGGGTGGGATGATGGCAGCCTCCTGCCATCGAGAACTGTGCCAAACATGCAGATCAGCAAACAGGTACGTGCAGGAAAGGATCTGGATGTTGCAGGCTTGGGATCGAAACCCAGAGAGGCTGGCTGTCGGCCTCACGGAGCCACTGAGCTCTCGGAGCAGCCGGTGTTTTTGACCCTTGAGGGAGGGACAAGCTCCCAGGGACTAATGTCCTGCCCAGGAGCGCTCAGGGGGAAGCAGGCAGGGCTGGCCCTCCTCCTTCTCAGTCCCCTCCTCCTCCAGCTCCGACTCCCATAAGGAAGGGCGGTCCCTGGGCCCCGTAGGCCCTGCCTTGGCTTCCATGACGTCCCAGACTGTTCTCAGACTCCGGTCTGGCTTAGAAACCTAGCTCTGCCGTGTGACTTCTACAAAGCTACGTCGTGTCTCTGAGCCTCTGTGTTCCCATCACTCCCAGAGTTCAGGGCTCACGGTGTTTGGGAAGAACGAGGAAGTTCTTGGATGTGTGGGAGGCCACAAGGGGTACTGGGCACACAGTTGGTGCTCAATAAATGCTTCGGGGATCCTTCAACAGATACCCCGGCTCATCCACCATTGGGTTTGCAAGCCCAGAGTCCCCACTTTCTGCCCCTTCTCAGTCCCTCCCCCAACCCCCCTGGGGTCCTGGGCAGGACCAGCCCCACGGCGCTGGCCCCAGCCGCAGCTTCCGTGCAGGGCGGCAGCGTGGGCTCCTGCCTCTCCCGTCCCTTCCAGGAGGCGCGAGTCGTGGAGGAGGCCAGCAGGCTTGAGGACGAGGCGCAGCAGACGCGGCTGCAGCTCCAGCAGCAGCTCCTGGCCGAGGCCCAGGAGCTGGGGCGGCTCCTGCAGCAGCATGCGGAGCGGGCCATCGGGCAGGCGCTGCTGGCCCACGCGCGGAATGCGGCCACCAAGAGCCGGGCCAAGGACAGGGACGACTTCAAGGTGCGAGCCAACCCCTGTCCCCGGGGACCCGAGAGGCCTGACGGACTGTGGGGGTGGACGGGGGGCCGGGCAGGCACGGGGAAGGATTTGGACAGAGCAGCGGCATGGGACGCTGGCCCTGCAGAGCTCGGCAGAAATCACTGGCTTCTCCGAGCCTCCCTCTCCTCCCCGAGCGCTCCCTCACAGAACAGTGAGGTTTCCCGCCTGTTAACATTATTCTGAGCACTCGCCTGGCCCTTCTGGCGGCTCTGAGAGGGACCTGGGCTCACCCGGAGCCGCCCAGCCGGTCAGAGGCGGACACCGGATCCAGAGGCAACCTCTCCCAGACCTGAGCCTCTCCTGCCTCCGGCCGCCCCAGTGGACACGAGGCTTTGCAGAGTGGACCCTGACCGCCGAGTGCGGCTCGCATCAGCTTGCCTTGAGTGGGCAGTGGTGTCCTGCTTGAACTGACACCGACCAATGAGCCGTGGGGTAGATGACAGCAGCGAATTTGGAAGTGTACCCAAGGGCTCAGCCGGCTGTCCTCACACCCTTGCCCAGAAAGGATCCTTTTCTCCCCTTTGTTCAGATGGGAAAACTGAGGTTGGTCATGGGCAAAGGACACGGTGAAAGCCTCCCAGATTTAGGCAGCGGCAGAGCTGCGACTGGACCCCAGTCTTGCCCGCACGGCCGGCACGCTCTCTGCCTCCCCGCGGCTGCCTCCCAGGCTCAGACCATAAGGAAAGGCGAGGCACCTCTGCTTGGGGCAGACGTCCGTGGAGAAAGCGTCCATGGCCCGAGGCTGGCATCGCCCTGCGCCAGGACACTTCTGGGCTTCCTTCACAGCCCCTTCATTCAGACAGAGTCACCGTACTTCCACGCACAGCAGAGAGAGGGTGGACACCCACATTGCCGAGACACGCCATCTCGCTGCAGATAGCTCACGTCTGCTGCACGCATCCGGCCGTCAGGGCCGTGCCTGGTTTGTGGTGTTGTGGGGGGATCACCTCCTTTCCCTCAAAGTCTACGACTCCGCCCTGATACACGCTCGCGGCATGAAAATGGAAGGAAATGTGGGCATGGCGTCCCTTCCCAAAGGGAGCCTGAGTCAGGAGAGGGTAGAAGTGCTCCCGCCACACACCCCTACGAGAAAGAACGGGTGTTCAGTTTCTGGAAGAAACTTCGTCAATTCAGGCTCCAGTAACAGGGCTTCTTGGACCCAAGCCCTGCGGCAGGTGCTGGGCTGGTGATCCAGGCAGGCTGCGTCTGTCTGTGGGGCCTGCGTGGGGCGGGACGCAGACTGCAGTGAACAGCGCCCCCTGTGGCAGGAAGACAGGAAGACAGAGGCCTGATGGTGCCGGTGGCTATGCTGACTTGGGAGGGAAGTGGAGAAGAGGGGCTTCCTGTCTCCCAGCTCCGTGTTCTAAAGGAAGGTGAAGGAGGGCCACAGCCATTGGTGGCAGTTCCTGCAGAGAGTTCGAGGCCAGGTCCAGGGTCCTTGGAGGCATGGAGTCGGAGCCCCTCTGCGAGGATGCCGAAGTCAGCAGAGGGGGAGAGGGATGAGCAGGGCCGGGGGTTCTCAGATGGTGCTGTGAGAGTGACCAGCCCGGCTCTAGAAACATAACATCACCAACCTCACAGCAGTAACTGCTCAATAATACATGGGGATAATTTTGTTCTTGCCCAAAGCCTGGAACCACTTGATAAATATTTGTCGAGATGGGGCCTCTGGAGTCTGGCTTTTCTGACCCTTGCCCAGCATCTTATGACGTGAAGGGTGGTGACTTTGCTGGCGCACAAGGGACACGTGCCTCATGATGAGGCATCTCAGCCTTTGCTCTCTGCTTTGGGTCCGAAGGGGTATCACTTATGAATGTCTGTATCTGTCGATAACAAATAGACATCCTAAAATGGCAAATAAATAGAAGCTGATCATCCCACACCACGAGAAATGTGGAGGTAGTGGTGGCTCCAGATGGCACAGGGCCTGAGAGCAAGGACCAGGCTCTTTCTTCCTGATCCACCATTCCTGACATTAGTTCACTGCCTCATAGTCTCAAAATGGCCACTGCCCTGCCAGACATTAGATCTGCATTCCTGGCGGGAAAAAAGAAGACAGCAAAATCTTTCATGCACACTAAGCTTTGCCTTCGTGTTTGTAAAGGGAAGGTCACCAACAGATTTTCCCTAACGCTGGGTCTCGTTGGCCAGAAACAGTCATACAGCCGGCCCTAGGACACTCCTGACCTAGGGAATAAGATCGCAGAGACAGGGGTAAGCCACCCACCCGCTCTCTGCCCGCTGCCCCGCTGGTCAAGGTTGGGAGTGGTGGAAGCCAAGAACCAGGACGCGGGGTGGGGGACCGCGTGTGACTCCCCAGCTGTGTCTTCCGTCTCCCGCCCCAGAGAGTGCTGATGGAGGCGGCCGTGGAGAGCGTCTACGTGACCAGCGCCGGCGTCGGCCGGCTCGTGCAGGCGTACTACCAGCAGATCCGGAGGGTCATGCAGGATCACGAGGAGAGGAAGCTTCAGCACCTGACAACCCTGCAGGGTACGGCCCCCTCCTCGGGGAAGCCCCACATGCGGCAGGGGCCACATGTGCCTTTGATTTGGGACACAGCAGCTTTTCAAGTGTTATTAGGGACGATTTGATTGATTGATTGATTTCCTGCTTTGACCCCCTAAAACAGGCTTTTCAAAAGCCACTTAGGGGCACCTGGGTGACTCAGTCGGTTAAGCGTCCTACTTTGGCTCAGGTCACGATCTTACAATTCGTGAGTTCGAGCCCCATGTCAGGCTCTGTGCTGACAGCTCAGAGCCTGGAGCCTGCTTTAGATTCTCCGTCTGCCTCTCTCTCTGCCCCTTCCCTGCTCACACACTATCTCTCTCTCAAAAATAAACAAACATTAAAAAAAAAATTTTTTTTTAAGTAGATGAATCAGGACAAGGATAGGACAGTGAGATGGGGTTCAGGTGAGGTCATGATCGGGGACATATGCCATCAGATCCCTACCTGGTGGTGACATGGTTTTGGCTCTGGGCTTCCTGGTGGCCAAAGAGATAGGAACTTGGTTAGTTACAGCTGTGCAGTGACAGCGAGTACAAACAGGCCAGTGGCCCACACGATGTTTCTGAGACCAGAGAACTTCCTCCATGCACCCTCATACGAGGCCACCCGGGTGATGGAATAGACAACGTCCCCGAGGTCAGCAATAACGTGTAGAATAGTAGACTCAAGCCAGTTTCTTCGGGGCCTCTGCTTGTAATGTCCCTTGCTGCATCCGGGGCCTCAGAACAGGTTAAAACCCCACCTTCCCAGCTGGGTTTCGGCTGGATTGACTGTGCAGAGACCAACAACGGGCAGCAGATCCTGGAAATATTACTCCTCTCGGGGGGCTCAGTCGATGCCGTTTCTTCCCCTGTCCTGGGGACTCTGAATCCCAGATTCAAATATAAATCTGGGCACATGTCTGGAAATATGCCCAGTGACTCCAGATACTTCATCATTTTCCAAAGGAAGGGTTGGGATAGGTCAGCAGGAAACAGACGAGGTGGTCACTGCAGAGTATTCAGGAGCCGGGACGCTCTCCTCCCTCTCTCGGCCTCAGTTTCCCCATCTGTGAATCTCGGGCTGGGCTCTCCCTCCCCGCATCCTCTCAGCTCTGGCTTCCTGCTCCCCTGACACCCAGGCTCCGACGTGAGGACTTCTCAGTAAATACATCGAGATGTGCGACTTACCTGACCACATAACCTCCCTTCGCTTCATCCAATGCTCTTCTTCACTTAGGACTCATAGAATGTCACGTCCCTGCAGATCAGCCAGGTTAGAGACCATCCAGCTTACACCTCTCTGTTCTAGAAGGCTCTGATCCAGCAGGGCTGGTGGGGAGGTGGGCCATCTCACGGCCGGTCAGCATAAGTTATGATCGGACCGCAGTCCCGTGCTCTTCGCACCCGGGACCAGACTCCCCACCCCACCCCCGCTGGACTAGCCCGCAGCACCGCCTGCCCAATGCTCGTTCTTTCTGCTCCACATTTTTATTTGTGGTGGCCTCTTTGTGCTAAATCTTTCTTATTCTCCACCCTTGCTCCTGGCACTTAAAGAAAGCGGGATCTGAGCACTTTGCAGGGAGAGCAGGGGTCAACTACCTCCAGGGACGCGGCGTCGGTGACAGAAGCTGCAATGTCTCACTGACGCGGATCCTTTCCCAGGGGCAGCGCGGGTGCTGGGTGAGCAGCACATGATTCGAGAGTAGGTGTCCTGCCCATCTTTGTGCCCGCCCTCCCCAACCTGGCTGGGAGGCGATCCCCAAACCTGCCCCCCTGATCTTGTGTGCTAAATGGTGCAGGCGAGAGAATGGAGAATTACAAGCTGCAGATGAAGCAGGGGCTCGGAGACCTTCCGCCGGGGAGCAAGATGGCGAACGGAGCTGGCGAAGCCCGCGAGGCTGTCCACCGGAGGTGAGCTCGCCCCTCATCCCGTGGGCCCTGCCCTCCTGCCACACGTCTGTGCCACACGCTCAGCGTCCGATGGTGCGTGCACGTGGCCGCCTTCCCAGCCAGCGCGAGGCCCCTGCTGCTCCCCACGCGGCCCCGGGTCGAGCAGTCTGGGGGGGGTGGGTCTCCTCACCCCCGTGCATGATGATTGGGGCAGGCTGTTTACCCTAGACGTGACCCCAGGAAGCACCTCAAGGGAGCAGGGAGGTGAAGCCCCCAACTGCTTCCCGCCAGCCGCGCGGCACACGCTTCTGCGGATCTGAGGTCCTCGCGGCCTGCTGGTTTTGTGGGCCTCCCACGCCCCGCTCAACGGCTCGGCCGGCTGGGCTCTTGACGACACTCTGGGGAGAATTTTTCCAGGTTCGCGCACATTGTGGGCACAATGCAGCTCCCTGTAGAACTGAGGTCTGGTCCTCGCTCATGGCCCCAAATCTCGAGACTTGAAGTCCTCCGCCTTCCTCCTCTGCCTCACCTCGCTGACTCCATTTGGAGAAGCGTCCCTGCTTGTAAGCGTTGCAGGGATTGAGACCCACCTGGTCCAGGAGAAGGTCCAAACCCTGCAGTCGGTGACCCTAATGCAGCCTGCAGAGACCCGACTACCGTGTGCTGAGCATCTTCACGGGCCCAGGGGCACCTGTGGGGGGCACTGCGCAGCCTACTGCAACGGAAAAGCAGCAAACAAACCCCGTGACACCAAGGGGTTTCCACGGCATCTGAGTGAGGCCTCACCCCGCTCGGGACCCTCTGGGAGATAGTCCGAACTTCAGCTTCCAATCATGTCAGCAAGTGATGCAGAAGATAGGGGGTGTTGCGCCCTCGTTGAGGGTGTTAAGTCACCGGCACTTGCGGCCCCTGAGCTGGCCAGACACACCCCCGTGGCCAGAGAAAGCCCCAACACACACACACAGACAGGTGTGCAGCGTAACAAGCCACTGGCCCGCATGGAAACCGTCCACCGAAGTGCGGACAGCCGCCCGGTGCGCCCTGGTAAGCGCCTCCTCTGTGCTGGGCCCCAAGCCAGCCACCGGGGTCAGTGCCGTCACCCCAGAACTCACAGCGCAGAGGGAGACGCGGACAGGGCAACGGCAATAAATCCGCGCAGGTGCTCCCCTGAGGGAGGGGAGGGGCGCTGAAGGAGGAGGCAGCAGACAGCCACGGCCCTGCGGGGTGGAGGCGTGGGCTCTGTGCTGGGCCTCAGAGTGGATTCCAGCCCCTCGTGGGGCAGCTGGCTTAGGAAACAAGAGCCATAGGGTCCCCTGGGTCAGACTGAGTCTCGCACGCGCCCTCCGTAAATCCTCTGGCGGCCACCAGCAGCGGTCAGCAAACGTCCTGCTGTCGAGTGCCAAGGCGCGACCTGGCCCTGACTGTCGTGTATCCGTCGAACTCTGGCCCAGCCGTTCTCAGACGTGGGAGTGTCATCTCGCTTGGGTCTCCTGCCAAACGTGCAGATCCCGGGCCCCCCCCCCGGGACACTCAGACCCGGGGGCTTTGAGGGGGTACCCAGGAATCTGAATTGTTAAGCCGCTCCTCGCATCCCAGGATTCTGGTGGACGGACTCTTGAGGGCTTCACTTGGACCTCAATGACCCAAGAGTGGAGGCCTCAGCCATCCCCGGTCCAGCCTCTGCCAGGTTTAAGAAGACAGAAGCAAATCCCCGTGGGGAGGCGGACGCACGACTGACTCTCCCTGTGACTTCGAGGCTCATACGTGGCCGTTGGTGCCCTTCGCTCCCTGCCCATCCACCCCCAGTTTCTAGTGAAAGTCAGCCAGAGCTCCTGGGGACAGAACCGTGTAGTGAGAACGGATAGGTGATTTAAAAGAACATCCCAAGACTAAGCCTTTGAAGTGATTCTCAGCCCAATGGGAAACTCCACCTTGCCTCCCCGGGGAGCAGTGGGATTGCAGGAGAGCCCGCCTGAGGGGTGCCAGGTGGCCCGGTGGTGGCCTGGGCACAGGCGGGCTAGGTCCCTTCACGCCCCGAGCCTCAGGCTCCCCATCTGTGAAGTGGGCTCACCGTTGCATTACTGTCAGGACACACAGAGAGTGCAGCGCCCACAGGGGGCCGGCTGGCACCCAGCGCCCTGATGCTGTCACCGCCGGCAGAATTGCCACTGCTGTGCCGTCTGCACGGTGCGCGGGGCGCCTTGAAACTGTTGTACCGTCAGAACTCTTCCAGGATGGAGGTTTTTAAATACCCATTTCCATAATCAAATAGGAGTCCAAAAGGAGGGAGTTTATGACCCGTCCAGGCGACTGGGATCCTACAGCCAGGGCATTCTCTCCTTCCGGAAGGTGCCGGACGGTCAGCAGTGCTGAAGGGGCTCGCGCTTGGGAGCCAGGGCAGCGCTCGGCTGTCCCTCTGCAGGCGTAGAGCTGCGGCCTCTGGCCTCCTGCCTTGTCCTGCTGTGTGCACGCAGCCAGGGCGTTGCATAAACACGGGCGTCTCAGTCTCCCCTGGACCCTTGCGTGGATCTCCGGGCCCCCCGCCCCTGCGTAGTGTTCTCCCTGCCTGGCAGTCCCGTCAGCCCGTCCGTGGAGGGGGGGGGGGCAGACGGGCACTCGGGACGCCAGCCGAGAGTGACCGGACTGCTGGATGGCCGGGTGCAGGGCCGGCTGCTCACGGCCAGAAGCTGCCTGGCCGCTGAACGGGGGCCCCAACACGCCTGTCCACGTGCCAGTCCCATGAGCCTGTGCGTGTGGCCCGTGCGGAGGAAGGATCTGTGCACACATCAGTAGGTGGAAGATCTTGAGATGGGATGGTGCTGGATTTTCCCAGCGGGCCCTAAGTCCAAGGGCGAGCGGGCTGGAGAGAAATTTGGTCACACACAGAGAGAAGGCCACGGGAAGACGGAAGCAGAGATTGGAGCGGTGCGGACATGTGCTGGGGTTCCGCGGACGGGCACGGCGCGGGCTCGCTCCTCAGGAACCGTTCATTGATTGAAGTCTTCTGGCTCCAGAGCCGCGAGAGAATAGACTCCTGTTGTCTTAAGGTCCCCACCCCCCTGCCTCAGCTTGTGGTCATTTGTTAAAGCGGTTCCAGGAAATCAATGCAGCCCCGTTGAGTGTGTCAGGGAGCCTGTACTGTAGAGCACTGAGCTCATCCGTGTCACTTATTTGCTCCACATCTACCCCCTACCCCAGCTCAAAGTGGAGCTTCGTGAAGTCAGGGACCATGAGTCTCATTCGCACCTGTATCTTCAAACCACAGGACAGTACCTGGCAGGCCAGAGATGTTTCTAGGTATAAATGAAGGAGTGGATGGATGGAATCGGGATGGGGTTTTGTAGGATGAATAGGAGTTTGCCAGGCCACTACAAAGAAAAGGGGAAAGATATTACTAGCAGACAGAAGAGCATGAAGTACAAGCAAGGTGAAATTCTGTGCTTTCAAGTAAACTCCGGGAACAGCTCTTGACACTAAAGGTGGCTTCCCCGGATCTAGAAACTCACAGATGATCAGAAAGAAAAAAGGCAGAGGGCGATTATGAAAACAAGGTGGATGGGATGGAATGTTCCTGTTTGCTGAGGGTCCGAGGAAGGTCAGCCAGGGCAGGAAGGGAGGGGGATTCAGAGTGGGGAGAGGAGCAAGGTGGGGCCGTCTCCAGGTCAGGGACCCCGCCACTGTCCCAGCTCGGAGCTGTGCCACTCGGAGTAATGGGCCCCCGGCCTTGGGATTTCCCGGCTGCTGCAGGCTAGGAGGTGAGAAAATGTTATCCGTTTTCGTAAGGATGGGTAACTGGGGGTCCCTGGTCCCTTCAGGGGAATGTGCCTCCACCCCTGGGATGAGAGGGTTTTCATGCTCCGGGCCCCCAGGGATGCCCCACCCCCACTGAGCTTCGCCTGCCCTGATTACTCTACTCTTTATCCTGCTCATATCACAGAAGACCAAGCAGGACGGAACAAAAACCATGCATGCGAGATTCTGCAAAGCCGCTAGCGTGACTTGCATTTATGATGAGTCAGCCCCCTGGTGGGGGGGACTCCAGCTGCGGCCACTGTCAGAGGCCGGGCAGCCACCATCCAGTCTGCCAGCCAAGGCCATTCCCTCTCTCTCAGCTCCGCGGGCCCGAGGACGGCTTCCGTCCCCCGATTGCCACGACTCAGCAGCCCCTAGGGCACGTCTGAGCTGGGTCTCTGATTAACCCGCCGCCGCCGCCGCCGGCTGGGGTGGTTGCTGACAGCCTCCGTTCCTTCTGCCAGGATGGCGGCACGGCAGAAGAAGTTTCTGGCCCAGTTCACCGTGCACCAGCGGGTCCGTCTGGACGCTTGGAAGCAGAAGGTGAGGACTGTGGATCGTCTGGAAGTCCAGCTGGAAACCCAGCTACAGGTACGAGCATCGGAAAAGTGCCTTCACAGAGCGGGCTGCGGTTTCGACGGGCACGGGAATAGCAGGCCACCTCTGGTGGCCACAGATGAACAAAGAGACCTTGGTGCTGGCAGAGTCTCGCCGGCTGGTGGCTTGACCAAGAGCCGTGGGGCGGGCAAGGCCGTGTTGATTCCCGAGCACCTGCCCTGCGCAGCTCGGGGCCAGGCCCTGGGCCCCGATCTGCTCACGGCCGTTGAGCTGGGGAAGTGAGCTCCTCCCTGCACGTGGCTCGCCACCCCGTGGGCCTCTCCGGGATACAGAGGCATTGCAGCCGCTGACCAAGGCCTGCACTTTCCCTGGGACACATGGGCAGCTCGGCCCTTGTGAAATAAAGTGGGTAGTTCATCTTGGGAAAGTCTCATAAAAACACGGTTATAAAAGCAAACTGAGCGAGTTTAAAAAAAGAACCGGATATTCGAGAATGGAAGCCCTTAATAGAGCATGGCCCCTCCGGAGGATTCACCACCGGTGTGGCAGCCACGAGGCGAGAGTCACAGTGGTTAATGTGCGTGCACTGGGGGTCTGTCATCGACACGGAGCTAAGAGCGTCATGCATGCCGTCCCGCCTCACCCTTCCGTGATGGGGGACAGGGTCACTGTTATATTCCAGGCGACGGTGGGGACACTAAAGCTCTGAGAGCCAAGGTCACTGGTGTCGCACAGCTAAAAGTCACAGAACCCAGGTCGGTGGTTAAACCTCAGTGTCGGCAGCTGAGAGCTCAGACCCTGGAGTCAGGCAGAAGCGAGGGAGCCCCTGGCTCTGCTGCTCCTGCCCCGTGGCCCTCCCTGAGCCCACGCCTCAGTGTGCTCATCTGTAAAATGGGGGTCCCTGGCTGGCGTGAGTGAGGATGGACGGCTCCCTGGGAGGAGCTGGAAAGCGCCTGTTCCTGCCCTCACACATGCGTCCGCCCTGCCCCCCCATCTCTGGGCTCTGCTTGGAGAACTGTCGGCCACCAGGGACACGGGGCCATCGGCCACCCTGGAGACGTCAGCTGTGCTATGGCGGAGAGGCAGGACGGGCAGGGGGCAGGCCCCAGGTGACCCTCCGTCCTTGCATCCAGGAGGCTGAGCAGAGCTTTGTCTCGGAGCTGGCAGCATTAGCCCGGGTGCCCCTCGCCGAAAGCAGACCGTTTTCCAGCAAGCGTGGCGCCTCAGGTAAGTCACGGAAGGTGGCACAGAGCAGGGGGAGGCCCTCGGGGGCTGGGGATAAGGGCTCTAGACCCACGTCCCCCGCTAACCCTCTGTGTGGCCTCAGGCTCCATGCTTACCCTCTCTGGGCTTCTGTGTCTTTGTAAACCCTTGCTCTCCACCATTCAGTATTTCCAGTTCTTAGGTCTGCAGCTCACCAGCCGGATGTCCGTGTCCCCGCCTTACAGATGGGGGTGATCACCCCCAGCCCCCTGCCAGCGGCAACTAATGTGACCTCACGGGTGGCATAGCGGCTGGTGGCTTAGGGACAGGGAGCGTGTGAGAACACAGGGGCTCCTAAAACAGCGCTGCTCTGTCAGGGCCTCACTGCTTCGGAGGCTCAGGCCAGCAGGCTGTCGTAGAAACGCAGTGGGGGCCTGGCAGCCCCGTGTTCAAATCCCAGCTCTGTCGCTTACTGGCCGTGTGAGCTCGGGAGAGCACATCACCTCCCCGGGCCTCAGTTTCCCTACGAGTTAAACGGGTAGAACAGCAGAAAGCGCTGAGTGGCTACTTGGCCGCAGACGAACTGAGCAAATGCCCGGCTGGGTTGGGATGAGGTCAAGAGAAGCCATGACGTGCTTGAAGTGGCAGAGCCCATGTCTGGGTTTATGTGTCTTCTGCAGAGAAGCCCATGCGGACAAGAAGGAAGAAGCCCCCACCCCGGGAGAAAGGGACCCCAGCGGGGCCCCCCGACGAGGACCCTGCCGCAGGCAGCCACCCCTCGGGATCACTCAGGTACGGTGGGGGGGGGGGCGGCTTACCGCCAGTGGACGCCTACTGACCGCTGACAGACCGCGCAGGAAGACAGGCACCTTCCTCGGAGCTGTTAGCACAGGGTCCCAGAAGTGATGAGCAATGATGGGAACCGTCGGCATCCCTGTCTCCACTATGATTCGTGTCCCATTTGGCCAGGTCGCTATGACCTGGCTCCACGTCCCCCAGCACCCAGCCTGAACCTCCACGCACCCCCTGCCTCGCCAGGCCCCCACTGGCTGCAGATGCTTTGGGACCTAAACGGGGTCAGTGCGTCCCGGGGCGCCCGGTCATCTGAGTCGGGAGTTTCCTTTACCCTGTGGCCCTCAGCGAGCCCCCCGCTCCCCCCAACACGGAGGGAAACGGGGGGCTGTGTGTGCCTCTGGACATCCCTAGCGAAAGGAAAACTGTTTTCATCCAGCCTGTCGCACTGATCAGATCAGATGAGTTCTTGCATCGGCACAGATCTGGAGTCGGGTTCTGACCACTGCATTGCTTCCGTGTTTTAAGCAGCAAACGGCCGAATCAGCAAGAGAATGAAGCTGGCGATGGCCAGAACTCCAAGAAGCTGCTAAAGGAAAGAAGCAATTCGTAGTTTACAGTTTGAGTCGGGCCGACGTGGGAGACGCAGCTGGAATGCCACCTGCCTGCCCCACCCCACCCCGGCCTGGGGACAGGGTGGAGGCCACTGGGGACGGACAGACGACGGAGAAGGGCCCGAGAAGGCCTGCATGGGCATGGCGGACCCTACCGCCTGGCCCATGGGATTAGAAACGTGTGTTGGAAGCCTATCTGCAGTCCTCTCTCTCTCTTTGGCTTGGAGACGTGGCTCCCTTCCTCAGGGACCTCTTCCGGCCTGGCTCTCCGAACCCCACCCCCACCCCACTGTGCCCTGATGCCACCCGAGCCTGCCTGCCCAGCGTGAGGCTGCCCCACTCTAGCCTCGGGGCCCCCTCTCCCCGGACTGTCCATGGAGTTCTGCTGGCAATGCGGGCTCTCTGGGCGTGGCTGGTGCTTCCTGGCCTTTCCTCCATTCCTTTATAAAAAAAGTTTTTATGTTTATTCACTTTGAGAGAGAGGGACAGCATGAGCGGGGGAGGTGCAGAGAGAGGGAGACACAGAATCTGTAGCAGCTCCAGGGTCTGAGCTGTCAGCACAGAGCACAAGGTGGGGCTCGAACTGATGAACTGTGAGATTATGACCTGAGCTGAAGTCAGACGCTTAACCGACTGAGCCCCCCAGGCGCCTCTTTTTCTCCATTTCTGTCACCCCTGTTCTCTCTGTCCCATGAGATGTGTCCCAGGCATCTGGCCATGGGCCTCTCATCTGGACCCGTTCCCGTTTGCCTCAGCCAGCAGCTAACGCCAGGTCATCTGGGACGTTGTCTCAGGGCCCCAGGACCCTGACACAGATCACGGAATCCCTGACCTGCAGGCCTGCGTCACCCACCCTGGGGACCTGAGCCTCACCGGTACCTAATGACACCTGCAGTGGCCCCACTCAGCCCTCGGACTGCCCCTGGGAGGGGACAGGCCATCTGCCAGATGGCAATTCTCCCTCAGGAGACATGTTCCCAGGGGCACTGCTGCTCCCACTGGGCAGGGACAGCATCCAGAAGCTTCCAGATCAGCCACACTTAAATCACTGCCAGGAGAGGCCTTTCCCACCAGGAACGGAAATGACTCTTCTCATTGAGATCAGGGATTCTCAAACCCAGTGCTATGGACATTTGGGGTGAGATAATCCTTTGCTTCGGGGTGGGGGCCGTCCTGTGCCTTGTGTGATGTTCAGCAGCATCCCAGGCCTCCACCCGCCAGATGCCAGGAGCCCTTCCCGGTTGTGACAACCAGACACGTGTCCAGATGCAGCCAGATGTCCCCTGCATCGAAGCGTGCCAGCCCCTGGGTGGGCCCAGAACATAGTGGGCTCCAGGCTCCAGGAGATTTCTGGACCAACTGTGGCCTGGATTCTCATTTCTTGAAATCCAAATTAGATTCTGTTAGTCAGCAAAGAGTAGCTGAGACAGAAGAAGTAACAAGGGCAGCTCCATGGCTCGTTCAGGGTGCTTCCTCTCAGCGCATCTGGTCCTGACGGGTCAGCAGGCAGGATTTCCAGAGTTAACCAGCAGCCCCCTCTTGTGGCGAAATAAAGCATTTCATTATTCTGCAGAGTCTGGTAACAGGCTGTGTTTGTTTCCTTCTGGCCGTGTTTTGAGAACCTGGTTAACGTAGAAGTCACTTTTGTCACACGGGTCCTGTGCACAGAGGCATTCCAGAGTTGGGAGTGTCTGGTTTGATGACTTGCATCTGGTAAATGCAGACCCCCGCCCCCAGCAGCACCAGGCTCTCTGAAAGATGGAAGGGCAATCTCAGCTTCCATAGATCAGACAATTATTCTGCTTCATGAGCGTAGCTCCCTCGGCCCACGGGACTGTGTCACATGCCACTGCTTCTGGACCCTTCCTCAGTCCTGCTGCCTAGCGACTGTGCTTGGTGCAGTTAGGGGCGCATGATTCAGGAAAGACTGTGAACTCTTGCTGTTTTCATGCCATCTCTACCTGACTTCCAGCTCCCAGGGGGAGCAGGGAACGAAACGTGGGTGCTGGAATCCACAGGGCACTCGGTGTCTGGCACCGGCTCTGGGACGCCCGAGGCCGGGCTGCGCGAACACAGCACACACCCCGTGCAGGGGAGACCAAGGACACACCGTGACCCCCTCCTCCACTGGGTTCCCGTCCCTGTGCGGGTTACGGGCTCTGGGTTGTTACGGAAATGGAAGGAGACGGAGCTGGTGGGGATGCGAGTGATGATTCAGTGAGAAGTTAGCAGATTCCTTTTCTGACTCACACCTACCTTCTGGTCCGAGCTCAGCTGCGAGGAGAAAGGCCACAGACCCTCTGAGGACCTCTCTGGCCAGCCTGGGGTCTGTCTGCTGACCTAGACGCTGCCACAGGTAACTCCCAGCTGCTGCGCCCCTTGCCTCCTGCCCTGCCCCAGCCTCCTGGTCCACACGTTACAAAACACACACCAGTATCCTTTGCTCTAAGGAGAAAAAGGAAATCTTTAACACGGACCGCAGAACCCTGCAAGGTCTGGTCTCAGCCTCACATCCTGTCTCCTCTCATGGACTCATAGGTGCCCACCCTTGCCTGTCACTGGGCGTTTGCACAGGACTTTCCTGCTTCTGCCTGGACCAGTTCTCCCCCCTTCCCATCCCCTTTGCCTCCCAAGCGTGTAACCATCATCCATGCCCCTTCAGCAGGACTTCAGTCTTCAAGAGCCTTCCCTGCACCCCTCAGACAAGACCGGACCCTCCTTTTGGGCTCTTAGCACTGAATATTTCGCTGCCAGGATGAGGAGGGGAATAAATAGCATCCTTTTCCCATCCACATTTGGAACCAGTTGAGATACAGGCAGAGCAGTCAGACAGAGGTCTGCACATCAGCTTCATAAGCCATGGAGCCGAGTTGGGCCATGTGGCCAGGAAGGGCTTGCTCACCCCTCCCTGGCCACGCACGTGGGGACACAAGCCTCCACTATGGGGACAGCCCTGAAACACGGCAAGGAAGGAGCCGGAGGGGGACCCAGATCTGGGCGGGAGACGAGCTTCATAAAAAGCCAGTGAAACTACCAAGGTATGAGAGTGATTGTATGTTTCGAATGAGGGAGGGGGAGATGAGAACAAGCGATATATTTTAAAAGCCTGATGAGTTCCACAGGATCACAAATCCAAAAATGAAGTAGTGTTTCAAGCCAACGAATTGCCTGATCCACCCATCTCTGCACTACCTTGTTCTGATATTTCTCCACTCAAAATACGACGCATCTGACAGCTGGGAGATTTTCCACGGACCACCTTCTGGCTGTGTCCCTCCCCCCGTGCCACACACTCCCGGTGCTGGGTGCCACAGGACCCGGTGCTCCGCTATGTGACGCGGCACTGGCTGTTTGTGCTCCAGACAAAAATGTCCACGCTGAATCTAAGTCAAGCTGCCCTACCCCCATCCCAGAGATGCCCGTGGCCTCCCCAGTATCAACAGACACGCGGGGACATTGCAGCGAAAGGCAATAGTGTCAGCGGTTGCAGTTCAACACCTGGCTGCGTAAGCTGCAAAGACACGTATGACTCTGTGCTTACATCACTGAGCCCACCCCCCAGCCTGGGTGGGGGTTTGTGCACACATCATTCACTTTGTGGGAAACTGCATCCGGGGAGAAGTATGTGTCCTGAGTTCGTTCACCTCCTTGGAGAGAGCAAAGGACACCACTCAGCATGCTCAGTTCCTTCTTCCCAGACTGAGCAAGCGGGTGCTTCTCCTTTGCTGGGGAAGAAGGTTCGAGAAAGGCCAAGGGAGCCCCGCACCCCTCCCCCAGAGAGCAGACACCCCTCCCTCTTTGGAAACACGAGGAGCAGGAGACGAGCATCTGCTTTTCTTCCTGGCTCTGGGCAGAGGGTGCAGCTAGAGGTTTGGGGTAATAATTTAATCCCTGACCTTCCCCCGGAAAGCATGCCTTCGCGTTCCTCCTGAGGAGCACAGCATCTGGCCCCAAGTGGCAAAGCACAGACACTTGGTGGAAGGCAAAAGAAAGGAGGAGGGGAAGGGGGGAGGGGATTTCAGTTTGGTAAAATCCTCCTGGTTCAGAAATACTCCCCTTGCTCCTCTGCCCCATAAACTGACATCGCTGGAGAGAAACTTAGAGCCAAGGCCACTGCAAATCAAATGCGCATCATCAGGGCCGACGCTTGGTGCCAGAGTCATGACTACATGTGCTTTGGTCCCAAGACCAGCCCCCGAGTGTGCGGAGATCTGACACTCAGCCTTGGGGAGCAGTCCAAAGTCCTTCTCCAGTCCACGCACCATAACCAAAGTGGCCAAGCCAGCTCTGGGGCCAGAACATGGTAGGTGGTGTGGAAGACACTGGAAAATGGTTGGGGCTTCACGTGCACAGGGGAAATGGGTATGAGGAGACCTTGGCCGTTCTGTCTTCACTTTTTATAGACCATGTGCAATACGGGTGCAAAAACAGACCAGCCGATGTAGTGGGGCCGGGCCAGCCCTCACTGGGACACCAGAGCCCACTTACATTTTATGAGTTGCCAGCTTGCTAGCTTCACGTTGGTACTTTGAAACTGGCTACAGTGGAAATTAGCAAGCACGGCAGACTGGGGCTCCCAGCCCGGCCCAGCCCTGGGCTCCACATCCATTTTGCCGTGCACCTCAGGACCACTGGATCAGAAGACATGCACACTACGGTCATCTGATTTACAGGAAAGCCACCGCTGCAGCTTCATGAGAGAAAGGATAGTCTTTTCCATTAATGGTGCCGGGTCACTGGATATGACACGGAAAGAGTGAGTCTTGGACCCTTCTCTTCCGTATACACAAAGATTAGTGAAAGATGGACCATATACCTGAACGTGGCAAGATAAAACAAAATTTCTGGAAGGAGACTTAGAAGACTTGGGACAGCAGACTAATCCCCTCTCCAGGATGTCCACGTCCTGACTCCCGGAGCCTGGGGCTAGGCTATGATGTGGCAAAGAGGAGTCATAGGTGCAAATGGAGAAGAGAATGGATAGTTTTCCAAGAAACACTGCTTACCTCTTCCTGCCTCCTCGGGACATGAAAGAGAAGCATATGCCTTACAAGGAATGTTTCAGCACAGCCTCCAAGACTTAAGGCTCATCTGTCTCACACCACCCAGGCCCATGACTGTGCCTCTGGGAAGTGCTGGGGAACGTCGCGTGGGACACTGGGTGCTGGGGGACTCAGACGGTTGTGCAGCTGGGTGGTAGCCCCTCCAGGGTCGGCCTTAGAGAGGGTGTTATGGCTGCTTCTGCTTGCATTCCCAGGTGGGCTGGGGGAGGGGGGTGGATGCCGGGAGGAAGTGCTTTCCAGAGAGTGGGATGAGTAACTTGCTGCTGCCAACTTTACTCATTTGGACGTTTCTTCATTGCCCATTCATTAGTCTGAATGAGCCAAGGCCAAACATCAAAAGGCCTTGACCCTCCCTGTATTTAGCCTTGTTTCAAGAAAGTCCACGGCAGACTGTGAGCCAACACCATGTTGGACCTTAACCAAGATATCT